CCATAGGCCCCATACTAGTTCCTTTTTGGCGTTCATATGTAGAATCCTATAAGCTAAAAGCTACTTTGGGGCCTATGGGTAAACCCTAAGCCCTAGACAAAAAGACGCCGATGGTCCACTGAGGCTCCAGACCAACCGAGAGGTCCTGCACAGACTGCGCCAATGAAGCGCTTACAGGATCATGGGACTTAGCAACTAGGGTTATACTTTAAAGGGCTCCTTCAAAGGGGATCTATAGGGGTTCTACTATAAGAGGGGATTCATAGGATGTACTGAAAGGATCATGGGACTTAGTAACTAGGGTGAAAATTAGGATAACTATACTTATAACCCCAATTAAGCTACTTAGAACCTTACTTACTAAGTCCCATGACCCTCCAAGTGCGCAGAAGAGCGCAGGTCCTTCGGTTAAGGAATGTTCAGGGGCTTTAGGTTTAGGGGTTCAGGGTTTAGGGATTTGGGGTTTTGGTGCTTTGAGGTTTAGGGTTTAGACAGGTTTTTAAAGAATTTCAGGAGCTTAGGGCTTTTCAGGGGTTTTCGGGTTGAGGGGTTTGGGGTTTCAGGAGCTGCAGGGGCCACAGGCGGTTTCCCAAAGGCTCCATGTGCCTTTATAGTAGATACTTAAGCCTTAAATGGGTCCCTATTTAGGTACTTTAAGACCGAAGTATTTACTTTATGGGTACATGGAGCCTCAGGGTTTTAGGATTTGGGGCTTAGGGGCGGGGGAATGAGGGACCCGGACGCTGACGGGACGTAGACCCCTAAACGCCTTAAAGGAGTAAAAGACACCACCCCGAAGAAAGAAGAGTTAGTACTTGGAGGTTCATGGGTAGTTATAAGTGGGGTTATCATTAGAGCAACCATAACTATAACATATCATAACTACCCATGAACCTCCAAGTAGTACCCAGAGAAGCCAAGGCCCTTTAGAATCGAAAACTGTACTTGGAGCATCATGCGACCCTAATATGGGTTATAAGTATAGTTGCCCTAATTATAACCCTGATTACTAAGTCCCATGATCCTGCAAGTACGGGCTACTTACGATGTCCTTCAGCGGCATGGACTGACCACTGTCGGAACTAGAAGGGTCTTGGGGTGTTGGTTTTCAGGGTTTAGGATTGGGCTTTAGTAAGAGCGCTGTTCCATGTTAGCCATAGTCTTGTGTTAATGGTACCTTCGGACGATCTTCGGCCCCAAACCAGCAAGCCCTCCATGCAGCAAATCCCAGAGGACCTCCCCATCAACATGTGTCACAAGAGGCAAAGTCCTCCGAATCGCCAATGCCCGCAAAAAAAAGGCAAAGTGGTTGGCCTGCAACTTCCCGGCTAAAACATGTCCAAATCTCGATTTCCAGACCCTAAACGAAAAAACACGCCATCAACAAATCTAAGAGGAAGCGTGCTTTCCTGTGCCAGGCACAGTAGACTCGATATGGGTGGTTGTCAATATTATGGCCCCTTTTTGGGTCCCTACTATAGTACGGCACCAACTTTGACAACCACCCATATGAGCATCACTTGTCCAAGGGTCCAATAATCCCCGCTCGAGGATGTTCAAGGTTGTTCTGGCTGGCGGTGCGGAGTTTACTAAAGAGGCAAGAATAATTACCGATATTATGGCTAGGGTTCCTTCCTATATTTATAGTATAATGGGCCCCAAAACCATACTCTAACTATTAAGGCCCCTACTTTTGCGAACCCTATCATATCCTGGACGTTCCGTGGGTTGTTGGTTTGGGGTTTAGGGTTTAGGGGGTTTGGGGTTTAGGGTTTAGGGTTTCAGCTGACAGCAGTCCCACGCTTCCCCCCCCACTTAAAGGATCATGGCACTTAGTAACTAGGGTTATAGTTAGGCTTTAGGGTTTAGATCCTTCAAAGGAACCCTTAAACTCCTAAACCCTACTTAAAGGAACATGGGACTTAGTAACTAGGGTTATAAGTAGGGTAGCTATACTTATCACCCCAATTAAGGTACTGAAAACATTACTTACTAAGTCCCATGATCCTCCAAGCACCCGCAAGAACGAGCAAAACTTAGGCGCAGTTGTCACCCCTCGTGCAGAAAAGCCATAACCACTTCCGAAAGAAAGCTTATGCGCTGGGAGGCCGATCCGTGAGTCAACATCAAAAACTAAATCCAGATTTCTAAACCCCAACACTTTACAACCACCCACTCCAGAAAGTCCAATACTTGCAACCTCAAATCCAGAGATACCTACTTAAAGGATCATGGGACTTAGTAACTATAGGGTTATAGTTAGGGTAACTATACTTATAACCCATATTGGGGACTTATAACCCTACGTATAACTACCCATGAACCTCGAAGTAGGGTTCAAGCTTCCAGGTCTAGCGCAAGATTCCCGCAAGTCCTACTGGTGAGCTTTGGAGTCATCTTTAAGTTTGGAGTGCCCGTCGTTCGTTGCTCAGGTAAAGGAAACCGCAACTGGATCCATAATACTTACAGGATCATGGGACTTAGTAACTAGGGTTGTAATTAGGGTAATTATACTTATAACGCCAACTAAGGTACTTATAACCTTACTTACTAAGTCCCATGATCCTGCAAGTAGGGCCTGGTCCCTACAGGATCGGATAACAGGGTCCCCTTCACAGGGTCCCGTAAAAGGTGGCTTAATTGGAGACCTGGAGCCCGAAGCAGCACGTTTTAGCAAGCAGGGCTTGCCCTAACCCGGAATAACCTGCCTTTTTAAGGATTTATATAAGAAAATCCTAGAAAGGGCGGTTCTTCAGGGTTAAGGTGGGGGGTGGACATCGGAGGTTGTAGTATACTAGTAGTAGCCCTGACCCTCAATTTTCCTATAGCGTAACACCTTAGGGTTAGGAGTTTAGGGGTTTGGGGTTTAGGGTTTAGGGTTGGCATCCTAAACGTCGATTTTGGCCTGCCTGCCTCTGCGGCTCAGTCTCAAGCATACAGTGGCGTCCGCGACACATCAAATCATACAGTCATGCTGGAATGGATTCCATGGCTGTTTGTGCCTGAGCTGCGAAGCAAGCTTGGTTTTTGGGCGTTTCAGTGGAGGCGTATACTTTCGGGATGGTGTTTGGCTGCTTTCCGTGCTTCCGCACCCTAGTGATTTTGCAGCACACATAGCTCTAACTCGTCAACCCTAAATCCCTACAAGCATGGTTCTGACGTATTCGTTTGAGCTCGAAGCTGTCGTTTTGCTGCTGGCATGCATGGAATTGCCTCTCGCTCTGTCATGTTGCACACAAGATCTTTCCGCGGCCGGTAGCAGGTCGCACCATACAATTACATGTACACATACGCATGGACGACATTTACGTGTAAATGCATCCCACCGCATGTGCAAATACATACAATACATCTTCAAGGACATCTACATCTACATTCTACATGTTAGGGGACTCTGTCTCCAGAGCTAATGTAGGAACCTGATTCAGAAACCCCTTGCCTATAACCCCAAAATAGTAGGATTCATATAAGGAACCCTAGTAAAGGCCCAAGGTTTCTGAATCAGGTTCCTACATTACCGAGGTTCGGGGCGGCGTGGTGGTGCTTTGAAGTCGCCACGGCAGCTGGTGCCGGAGCGCGTGGGCTGAGCTCCACCAGCAGAGCGAAAACCTAAGAGCCCAAGTTTCTGTAAAAGAGCCTGGGAACGCCTTATTATAAAAGAGCGCAGTAAGTATCATGTTCGGCACCAACATATATACTACAAAACTAGCTTACAGGTGCATAAAACCATTCATAGGCCAGCAGGTAAGACGAAGCCCACGGATTTGAATGCATCCTTACACCAGCACGCTTGCCTTTGACTTGGCACGTTATACCACCTCTAAACCCCACAACCTGACAGGCCAAACCGCAAGCTTCGACACCGGTACCGCGACCCCCATGCTAAGACACAGAGTCCTTCTAAGCCGAACATCGGTACATCTGGCGACTTTTCCCGTCTGTCGGATGCGCCCGCATTGGCGCCTCCGGCGGACCTGGCTGTGGCTGCTCGCTTCGACAGCTGCCCGGCGGCAGAATGCTTTTGCAGAACGGCCCAAGGGCGTGAGGGTTTTCAAGGATCTTCGGTTTTTTCGGGTAGGGCTGCCGGATTTAGGGGTTGAGGGTCCGGGCTGTGAGATGCGGCCGAAACCCCAAAACCCTACTAAGAACTCAAGCTCCCCTTACAGTCAGGTTTCTCAAGGCCGCTGTTCCGAGGATGGAGTTTCATTCTGGGATCAAGATCTTGCGATCTACCTCTACCAAAACTGGCTGCTGGCTATACTTGTAGCCTTCTCCGCGAATTATCGCGCTCCGATAGTCGAGAGTTCGTTGCAATGTTCCATCTTTAAACGTGCCCTGACTTGTTTGTGTTTCTACGCAAAAGGGAGTGAGTGCGTGTGTGTTTGTGTGTGTGTGTGTTTATGTATGTATGTCCATGTGAAAGACCAGACCTCCGACGACATACCCTTTTCCTCGTAACAAGAATCTGCTGGAAGGCTTGGGATCCGAGCCATAGCAGCCTCACGGTTTCCGAACACCGCAGGGATAAGCGCAGCCGCAACAGGGGTTTGGTGTGTAGGTTTAGGCCCCAAAGTAGTTCCTTTTTGGGATTACCGTATAGGATTCTATATATGAACCCTGAAAGGAGCTACTTTGGGGCCTCTGGGTAGGGTTTAGGGTTTAGGGTACTGCCAATCAGCAAATTTAAACACGTCCAAAGCAGTCTCGGTGGGGCTGGAAACCGTTTGACCTACTGTACAACGAGGTGATACGTTGCAACCTGTCATCGCAGAGTAGCATAGGCCCAGAATGTTGGATCTAATTCCTCAACATACCAAAATGCTATACTATACACTATACTATACTGCTACTATACTATTCTATAGTACTCTTGCTGTCTATGCGATACTATACTATACTTTACAAGACTTTACTATGCTGTAATTTTCCAAGCCATCAAAACCCGAGTCTCATCTTCCAGTTGTTGCCTTTGCAAAACCGATGAAAGCCCACTCGATCAGGCGAGCCTGGCGGAAGAAGTCTGCGATGGGATCCTGGCCGGGACAGAATGCTGCGAGCCTGGGTAGCGAGTTGGGGTGATCTTTCAATTTCCGTTATTGTTTAATATAGAACCCTAATTATGTTTGTACAGAGCCCCAATCATAAATAGTTTTGGGGACTGTTGAAATCCACACCTAGGATCCCAGCGAAGAAGAGGCTACTGGTGAAGCCTTTCAGCGGAACATGCAGAAGCTCCTTGTCGAAGTCTTTTGGGGGCTCAGGGCTTGAAGTTCGGGCTCTGCTGCGTGGTGCGTGCCTGACAAGCCTATGGTCCTTGACTAAAACCCTAAAACCCTAACGTCTGCGTGAGTCCAAAACGAGGTTCATGGGTAGTTATAAGTGAGGTCATAAGTAGGGTAAGCATCAGCAAAACCCATATTAGGGGACTCATAACCCCACTTATAACTACCCCAAACCGTATACAACCCTGAAAAGAACCCTTAAAAGAACCTTAAACCCTAAACCCTACAGAACCCTTAAAGGAACCTTAAACCCCACTTATATAACTACCCATGGGTTTAGCGTTTTAGGGTAGTTATAAGTGGGTTATAAGTCCCCTAATATGGGCTACAACTATGGTTATACCCTACTTATAACCCCACTTATAACTACCCATTTACGTTCAAGTAAGCGAGGTTCGGCCGGGTCATGGGCGAAGGAGCGCATCGCTACGAGTCGTGCCTCAATCCTTCGGTGTGCCTCGGTGCTGACGCATTGCTTAGGGTTTATGGGTTAGGGTTTTGGGGTTTTAGGGTTTAGGATTTAGGGCAGGTCCTAAAGCCATACTCTGGACACAAGGTCACTAGGATTGTGTACAGTTTCGGATGTTTCCAGCAGAAGGATCTGAAATTGCGGTGTCATATGAGTGGACATCAAGTATAGATTAATGTTGTACTAAGTACGAAGATCTACTTCACTGGTTCACATGTCAAATCTTTGTGTCATTGGATCTGGGCCCTGGAACCAAGAGCAAGCAAGGTGTGAGTTGGACTTCAAGCAGCTGGCTGAGCTGAAAGCATCGCTAGCTGCTTGGCTGCACCCAAACCTTCAACCCTAAACCCTAGTGTACTGGTTGGGCTTTGAGGTCTGGACTTGATGTGATGTCTTCGAAGACCGGACCCATAACTTCATGCTACCTCGCAGTCGTAGTGGTAGTCGTCGTAGGTAGTCGTAGTGGTCGTCGTGGTGGTAGCGGTAGTGGTAGTGTTGTTCTAGTTTTTGCTGTCGTATATAGCATTGTGTCTGGAGAACACTGCACGCATTCAAGAGTGCACTGCCGCCGCCAATCCCAAACTGCCCAAAGCCCAGATGCCTTTGCGGGACCGCTCCGCGCGGACGGACGCGGCTGAGACCATGTCGCGTACACAGGCATTTGAAACCTGTGTTGCTTGGCTGAGGATTTTTTTGTTGAGGGCCTGCGGTCGCGTGACACCCTAAACTTCTCTAAACCCTACCTTAGCCCGCCAAACCCTAACTTTTTGTAGGTTCTTATTATGAACTCTAATATGGAGTTTATAGGGGCCCCTACAAAACGGTAGGGTTTGGTAGGTTAAGGTAAATTAAACCTACAAACCACTGGACCCCTGGACGCTAAACCCTAGCATCCTCTGAGAGATTCGGAGCCGAGCTATGTCTTCCGGCCTTCGAGTCCAATATATCTACCCCTGATTGCGTATTGCTTGGAGGATCATGGGACTTAGTAGTTCCTTAAAGGGTTCCTTATCATGGGACTTAGTAGGTAAGGTTAGAAGTACCTTAATTGGGGTTATAAGTTCAGTTACCCTAGTTGTAACCCTAGTTACTAAGTCCCATGATCCTTTAAGTAGCACCGGGTCACTCGTGAAGTCCGTCAAAGAGTCAAAGCATTATCAGTTTAGTCCCAGGTGAACACAAGTTGTTCAAAGAACTAAACGCCCTGGAAGCCAGAGGAACCCTCTCCTAGAGATGTTTTCTGAGGCAAAGCATCACGCGCGATACGTCGAGATAGTCGTGCAGCTGCAACAGCCGCGTGCTCTTTTCAGTCGCTTCTTCCGATTGTTGTGTTCGTTCGCAGTCCACGGCTAAGGCTAAGAAATAACTATCTTCCGAAACTCTACCACCCTATAAACCCTAAACCCCGAAATCCTAAATCCTAAACCCCAAAACCCTAGAAACCCACAACCTCCAAACCCCATAATCCCTAACCCCTAAACCCCCAAAACCCTAAATCTTAGACCTTGAATCTTAAACCCAAAACCCCAAAAACCCTATACATAAACCCCAAAGCCCAAAAAACTGTTAATCTTAGACACCAAAACCAAAAGACCCTGAAGCCCGAAAAGCACGCCCCTACACTATAGAACCGACCCCCTTTAAGGTATCCTTTATGGTGACCCTCGACACTATAGGACCTACTATAGACCCCTTATAGACCCGCTGTAAGGTACCCGTTAAGTACAGACCCCCTTTTTCAAAGTACCCGCTAAGGGAACCATACTTGAAGGTTCATGGGCAGTTTTAAGTTGGGGTTACAAGTCCCCTAACATGGTTTATGATTCTGGGTACCCTACTTATAACCCGACTTATAACTACCCATGAACCTCTAAGTACTTTTGGGGGGGCCTATATAACTGAATATGTCTTCTTCAGATTATAGTAATTATAGTATAATCATGATAGGTTATGGGTATTCATAGTTATAGTATAATCATCATAAGGTATACAGGTGTTTTTGATTAGAGTAAATATCATCCTAAGCCCTACACCCTAAACCCTAGAACCGAAGCCCTGAACCCTACGCCCGAAAGCGTAAACCCGACATCCTGGAGGGCAGCTTGGCTAGAGGCGCTCCAGCACTGGAATCAAGGCCCCTGTCTTCATCCCACTTGGTTCGTTTAAGGGTACTATAGGGCTCCTTAAAAGGGATCCTTAAAGGGATCTGTAAGGGTTCTAGAATGGAGGATCATGGGACTTAGTAAGGTTATAAGTACCTTAAATGGGGGTATAAGTATAGTTAAGAACCCTAGTTACTAAGTCCCATGATCCTTTCAGCAACCTGCCCCCCCCCCCCCCCCCCCCAAGGCCGAAAGCGAGAGTCATACGCCACCACCTGAGCCCTACATGAAACCCGAAAGTCTTAGGGCTCCTCATTATGATTTCTGTATATAGGTACAAGCCCTCAAAAGGTAATTAGGCGATTTTGGGGGCTTTGGGGTAAACACCGAGAAACTCCAGACCTGAAGCTGGCTGAGGACGAAGGATTGCAACTTCAACCATTCGGGTGCCTTCTGTGCCCCGGTGTCCTGCGCACTTCCCTACGAGAAGCTGGGCGAAGAGTTTTGAATTTTCTTTTCGGGACTATATGGATTAGACGGAGTCTTTCTTTTTTCTTTGGCTTGTGGGTTTCGACTTAGGTTCAGGGGTTCAGGTGTTCTCGTTCTGATGTCGGGGGTTTTGGGGCTGCTTGTCCTTGGCGACCGGCTTGGGGTTTAGGGTTTAGGGTAACTCAATCGTCTACAATCTAGGGCCTGGAGAATCGCAAGTTGTTTTGGTAGAGCCCCGTATGTTTATAGTACGCAAACAAAACATAGCCCTAGTCTGAGCTTCAGACTTCTTCACTACCCTAAGCCCTAAACCCTACTGTAAACCCTAAACCCTAGGTTCTAGGGTGCTCTTTCCTCCTAAACCTTAGACCCCAAACCCTACCACAGGTTTTGGGCTGCTCTCTCCCCCTTAGATGCAAGGAAGTGGATCCTCTCTGCCGAGTACTTCGCACACCAGCTCTTCGGCTTTCGATATCTACATGGGAGTTTCCGACAAGTAGGGGTACCTTAAAGGGATCCTTTAAAGGGTTACTATTACAGGGGTACTACAACGGTTCATCTAAAGGGCTTTATAAGGGTTTAGAGTTTCCGAATATCAGGGGTACCGCGTTTTGGCATCCTTATAAGAAGGATCCTACTGTTTAGGGTTCTATATCAGGGTCCCCTGTTTTCGGAAACTCCCAAATGGAAGTGGTAGAAGATAAGCGCGCCCAATACTAATCTTAAGCCCTAAATATTTAGTAGGGTCAAGTGAAGGGATAAAATCACAACCACCATAAGATACCCTGTTCAGCCACTTGGATTAACGAAGCCCCTCTAGGGCATTTATCTACAAGTCCCGTATAGAACACCCTGAACCCTAAACCCTGAACCCTAAACCCTTTAATTAACCCCAAACTCCTAAACCCCCCAAACACCAAATCTCAAACCCTAAATGAGGATCCTGAAAAAACAGCGGTTGCCTAAACTTCAGACGCCTCAGGCCTGCGGCTCACAGCGGTCTCCCCACTTAACTAGGTTCCTGAGTAGTGCCCTTTTGGCCTTTTTTGTTGGGGGTCTCCCTATTAAAACTGAATGTTTTTGGAAAATGATACCTTTATTATCAAGGGGCTACGTAGGAACCTAGCTCATTCCTGGTACGGACTCTGTCGTAGGAGATCGAGGGTTGAGTGTTCAGGGGCTCAGGGTTTTAGTTGGTTTAGCGGGTTGTGTTTAGGGTTGAGGGTTGAAGGGTTTTAGTATTTTTTATTTGGTTTAGAGGGTTTAGGGTTGAGGATTGAAGGGTGTAGAGTTTTGAAGGGTTTGGGGTCTAGGGGAGGCATCTACTCACTTAAACCCTACATTCCCTAAAGCCTCATGATCCGGCCTGCGTCCATTCTGGTCCTTGGAGCTTGCACCTGCTAAGGCAAGGGCTCATTGCAAGCAAGGAAGATGCCCTTTAACTCCTTACAGACTGTATGCTTTCTCTTACATATCACGAGACCTTCCATATTATAGGTTATATGTATATATATATATATATATATATATATATATATATACACATATATATATATATGTATATATACTTATTTTATTTATTTAATAGATATAAGTGTCACATTTTGCACCTACTGAAGTTCCGAAACCCACCTTGGGGCCTGCAGCGCTCGAAGCGCAAGCTTTCCACACGGGACAAACGACTCCCAAGTCCCCGAAGCGGTGCAGCGATGAGAGATTAGGGTTGAGGGTTTAGGGATCACTTGGAGGTTCATGGGTAGATATAAGTGGAGGTAACCATAATTATAACACGTATTATGGGACTTCCCCTAATATGGGTTATAAATATGGTTACCCTAATGATAACCCGACTAAAAACAGCCCATGAACCTCCAAGCAGCTCACCAGAAGCCCTCGTGGGCCGACCCAACCCTTACCAGGTTCCCGGGCTGCGCAAAGTTCGCCGCCCAGCCCTGCGTGTGGCAGAACCTGGGCCCTTGTTAAGGAAGTTAGTTTAAGTTGCTGTAATATGGTGCTATTGCAAAACGTATTAACTGCCTTTCTCTATTATACTGTAGCACTCTATGGTAATTATTTTTAGGGTTAGGTTGCTTAACAAGAGCCCAGGAACTCGGCAAAGCTTGAACGCTTTGCCCACCTTCGTGGCTCGGCCGAGAGAGCACCCAGGGGTTTTTTATGACCCTCGTGTAAAGGGAAGGGACCTACAATTACGGGACACTAGTCCTTTGATTGCGCTTGGTATCTTTCGCAACTGAAGGCGCAGAGTTTCGGGTTCCGGCGTGGTTTGATTCCGAACAAACAGTTTGCTGTAGGTATTTTTGCTAGTATGAGACGGTATGCCGACGTTTTGCGCTCTCTGTCTGCTCTGTCTCGGGGTTTGCGGTGCATGTCTCCTTATGTCTGCCTTCATGTGGGCTAGCCTCACTTCATGTGGGATGTTGTCTCCGCTTGCCCGGATTCGTATTGCTAAGCTTTTGCTTATCGCCAGTCACGAAAGTATTCGCAAGACCCGAATCCTTAAACTACGCTAAAGCCGACTCCCCAAAGCCCATGCAGAACGCCCACAAAGTAGTTTTGGTGGCTTGCGGATCCTTAATGGGCCCACAGACTTCAGAATGGCAAGCAATAGTACCCCTCTATAACGCAAAACAACTCCACAAGAATCTTTGCAAGAATCCCCTATTAAAAGCCCGTTAGGAAACCCGGAAACCCAAGTTCGAAAAGGTGACGTTCCTCTCCTCTTCGACCACCTGGAGTTGCTTCCCCAAAGTGCCTTGGCATTGAAGAAGGGTTTAGGGCTTAGGGTGGGGACGAGGGTCTGCAGGCCTTGTGGTCTTAAACCTTGGCAAGTAGCAGAAATTGTGGCAGCCACAGGGAATGGTATCAAGACGTTGACGTGCAGCATTCATTTGTCTGCAGGGTGTTCTTCCGCGGGAGATGTTGTTTAAATGAGTTGTGCGTCCTATGGGCTGTTATCTAAATGGAACCAAGCAAAGGTGTCGTCCAGCGCTCGCGTCCCCCAGACCCACTCCAGCGTCTTGGCTGCGTATGTCATACTACAACGTAGCAACGAAAGGAATGGCATGATTACTTGTTCAGGCGTACATATATATATATATATGTACAGGTATATGGTATGGGGCCTGTCTGTGGTACTACAGAGGAACCTATTTGCAATTTTTCTGGCCCCCTACAGTCCGAAAAAAAGGCCTAGAAGCTTTAGACATCTCGTATTGTGGGGGGAGCCTTCGATAAACGGTTCGACCACCACCATCGCCAGATCAGATGCACACATTCGGGGCTCGGTGCCGTAGTCGCTGGACTATGAAGACGCAGTGTGACTCCCTCCACTTGTGTACTTAAAGGATCACGGGACTTAGTAACCAGGGTTATATCTAGGGTAACTATACTTATAACTTATAACCCCAATTATGGTACTTATAACCTTACTTACTAAGTCCCATGATCCTCCAAGTAGGGGTCTGAATAATGGCTGACAACTTTGACGTACCCCCAGACCGCCCATGTAAGTATGCTATGATATACCCCGGAAAGCCAATACCAGCTATTCAGGCCAGCCTCTCAGACCCCACCAAAAGAAGCGTAGCACCTTTGAAAGCAGCCAATTGCTAGTATTGTTATTATTTCAAATAAAATAAGACTAATAATAATAGTAGAATAAAAATTTTATTCTACTAATATTATTAGTCTTATTTTATTATCACTACTATATTGTTATTGTTGTTCTTGTCGTCATCATCCCTAGACCCTAAACCGCAAGGCCATGAAATCGTCATCATCCCTAGACCCTAAGCCCTAAAGCCTTAAAACGTCATCATCCCTAGGCCCTCACCCTAAACCCTCAAACTGAAAACGGTTGTTGCTATGAGTCCCAGAAACTCAGCGCCATATCCACTTGGAGGATCATGGGACTTAGTAAGTAAGGTTACAAGCACCTTAATCGGTGTTAAAAATATAGCTACCCTGATTATAACCCCAGTTACTTAATCCCATGATCCTGTCAGGAGACCCCATAAATCCCCTCTTATAATAGAACCCCTGTAGATCCCCTTTAAAGGAGCCCTTTGAGGTATAACCCTAGTTACTAAGTCCCATGATCCTCCATTATAGAACCCTTATAGATCCCTTTATAAGGATCCGTCTAAAGAGCCCCTTTATTATAGAACCCTGTAGTGCCCCTAGTTACTAAGTCCCACGATCCTTTCAGTCCCATGACCCTTTAAGCAGACCCTTCCAGGGCTTCAACGGTTCGCCTCCTGTCAGCGCTGGAAGCGCTGGGTGATGACGATGCTTTGCACCTCGGACGCTTCGGGTTCTTGGGTTTCAAGGGGTTCCTTTTAAAGGGATCTATAAGGATTACTATAAGGGTTCCTTTGAAAGGGATCTATAAGGATTACTATAAGGGTTCCTTGGAAAGGGATCTGTAAGGCTGTAAGGATTACTATAAGGGTTCCTTTGAAAGGGATCTATAAGGATTACTATAAGGGTTCCTTTGAAAGGGATCTATAAGGATTACTATAGGGGTTACTATAGGGGTTTAGGGGAACAGGGTTCTTGGGTTTGGGGCGTAGGGTTTAGGGTTAGATCTCTAGAGGTTTTGGGGTTTAGGGCTTCAGAGTTTTGGTGCGTTAGGGTATAGGATTGTTGGGAGGGCCTTCGGGTTTAGGGATTCAGGGCATTTGGTGTGTTAGGATTTAGGTTTTAAGGTATAGGGGTTACGGATGTTTTGGGGTTGGGCTCCTTTCGCAACCGTAAACCCCAAGCTGATCAGGGAGGTTTGGAGCATTCGCGGGTGGCAGCCCCAGGAGGACTGGGTGCTCCCTAGGCTCGAGGCTCGCACGTTTTTACAGCATCTTTACAAAACGTCAAACCCGAATTCGTTAAACCCAAGAAAGCCTACAACACTGAACCCTTATAGCAACCCCTATAGTAATCCTTGTGGATCCCGTTAAGAGGAACCCTTATAGCAATCCTTGTAGGGAGCCCGATCCCCTCACCCTAGTGCTCTGACTCTGGCTACTTACGTGCCCATTGACCCGTTGTCTCGCTTACGGGCCCTGAAGCTTTGCTGGCCCTTAACCTTGAACCCTAAACCCTAAACCCTAAACCCTAAACCCTAAACCCTAAGCCCTAAACCCTGAACCCTAAACCCTAAGCCCTAAACCCTGAACCCTAAGCCCTAAATCTGAAACCCCTAGCCCTAAACCCTAAACCTTAGAGAGCGGCCTGCCATGGGGCCTGGGTTTTTGCAACCCCACTATTTTGCTATATGCATAGGGAGATATCAAATAATCTCGGAGGCTGGATGACATACACGTCGTTGAAATACCTTAGATGCATCGAAGCGAAGCTGCAAGCGAAACATACACGGGTTCCAGACGGTGCATCAGCATTTTGCCCCACACGTTCCGCCGACTGTGCATGTTTGACCGAGGTCCTTCATACTCGGCATGCCGGACGCTTCTTGAGAGCAGTCTTCTGGCACTTCATGCTACAGCTGTATGCCTTTGAGACTTTCTTACGTTTGTAGGGAAACTGGCTGAGGTAGCCAGGCCGCCCGCGTCGACACACATCATTATGCAGCTTACAGAACACCAAGACTTTGAGATGATGCCGGTGCGGGGAGAGCTCATTCAGAACTCTAGCATACTGGCGGAACCACGAAAAGACCTGCTCCGCTGCTGAAGTGTTTACACTAGCAAAGCGACGGTTCAGGCGACGGACATGATGGGGGTTGCAAGGGCATTGGTCACTGTGTTTGGCCCCGTGGAAATAGTCGACACACCAATAGCCCACCTGCGCAAACTTCCTGGTGCGCTTTTGCGTGAGGAAGGAAGGCACAAGCCCTGTCCATGACGACGCCGTCGAGGAGCGGATACTTGGGGAGGAGGCGTGTGAGGATGCCATCCATCACTTCATTGCCCTCCGGCTGGTGAAGGCAGGAAACCCCGAGGACTCGTAAGGTGCGAGGATCGACGGCCATGAACCAGCCGTAGCCATAGGGCTTCCGCTTGCCGTTCGCCCGAGGCTTTCCGGGGTGCTTCTTGTCCAAGGCCCCGCATTTCACATGCACTTTAGCATGGCCGTCGCACACAATCTCCGTGACCTTCCGCTTGTTAGACGGAGGGAACGCATGGTTGTGCACGTAGCGATCGTAGGCTTCAACCGATTGACTGGTGGCCTCGTGACCAATGGCAAAAATCATGGGGATCGATGCGGCCGGATACTCAGTCAGAGCGATGAAGTACATGATTGCGGACCCATGGACATCTCTGAAGTGACCCCCTCCACTGCAGTGCTCGATGTCGTATACCCTGCTATACACATCGAGCGCTGCTCGAGCTGAAGCGAAAGCCCGGAACTCCAAGAGCATGTGGTAGCGAAGGTAATTCACCGTGAAGCCAATCTTGGGACTGATAAATATGGCTTCCCCTGCAACATCTACATCTGGTAGGGTGTTGATCTTCTCACTTTGCTCGATGTAGAAATTGGGACCATACGTTCTTCTGCAGGAGTACGAGGTACAGCGGACGGTAACAACCGAGACCTTCTCGGGACCGGACATCCCGTAGAGGGTGGCGTCGACTTTGTGAGCTTCTGCAAGGTTTCCTTTGCACAAACATCTGAAGAGATGGGAGCGGAAGATCCTTGAAGTACTCTGGGCGGCAGGACGCTTCATGCTGACTACCGACTACCGACTACCGACTACTGCAGCGATGGCGAGCTACTTGGAGAGCGTGGCTGAGGGTAGAAGAAGCAACAGTGCATGCGAGGCATTGCACAATGACAATGGTTCAGAACATCAAAGGCCTCAAAGGAATGGCGACTAATGCATGTTTCGGCGGGCGATGTTTTCCTACTGGCTTCAGTGACCTGCAGTGATGCAGGCATCATAGCAAAGTCAAAATCTGAGCTTGGCCTCGCTCAGAATCTGAGGTGCCTAGGTCCTAGGTTCACTCATCCTCCGGGGCTTCACCAACACGAGGCAGGCCATCGTCATCTTCAGACGCAGACCCATCGCCGTGAACCCTTCGCCGCTTTGCCTGAGCAGGCCTGGGGCTGGGGGTGTCCAGATCGATCGGAGCACTACCGGAAGCAGTGGACAGAGATGCGAAGACGCCTGGCTCCTTCTTGACGGGTACCGGGGTCCACGGTGCTGGGGCAGGCCTCGTTGGCCGAGACGCATCAGCAGGTGCAACCAGGTCAGTGCTCTCCAAGTCCACAACAACCCGACCAGAGAAGGGGAGGTCGGGCTTCCTTTCGACACGGCGCTTGGTTTTGTCAAACAAGCCCTGCTCGATGATGACTGTTGTTCGCTCCGGAGAACGGCCCTTTTCGAGAACCAGGGAGACGAAGTCATGCGACCACTGTCTCTTCTCCAGCCAATCAGATGGTGGGCTCTTGTCACCATTCTTCATACGATCTAGGAGTGCCTTGCCTGAGTCGGCAATGAAATCCTTGATGCCGCCTTCGTACTGGATGAGTGGCACTGGATTGGTGCTCGTGCCAGCCTTGCGAACGTAGCAGGCACGATTGGTGTTCACCACCCAATGCGAGCGCTTCAACAAAGCCATTTTATCCTGGGTGGAGGACTTCTCGGGGAAGGCTGGAGCAATGATGTCCAAGAAGACTTCATGGGGAATGGTGGCCTGGCCAGGCGAGATCCATTTGTCGGCGTCCTCATCGATCTTGTTGTCGCAGAGGATGCGAAGTTGGTTGCGGACGAACTTGGAAGTGGTCCAGCGTTCCACCGTGAAGGACTCCTCCAAGGAAGCATCGAGAAAGGCCTTGAGCTTGGGCATGGGAACCACGTTCATGTCGGGATCGTCCAGAATGTCTGGAACATGTTTCTTTCCAGGCTCCCCACGCAGCTGATCCAAGCTGGAGCAAAGACGAAAGGAAGGCTTGACATCCCAAGCCATGTCGTCGACTAAGATCCAGTATTCGGAGATGGCGAGTGCGAGCGCTTGGGCTGCGGGGGTTTTGCCCTTCTCCGCAAGCCCCATCATGACCAAGGTCTTGGATTTCATGGTGGGCAGAAGAGGAACAAGAACATCATGAAGGAACCAGCCTTGGAGATCATACAGAGTGACGAAGAAGTTGCTGGTACAGTCGGCGAAGACATTGGAGTTGGCATAGCCGCGAAGCGACTCCTTGACTAAGCCCGCTGACCAACCGAAGATGGGACTGCCTTCTTTGTGAATTTCGACCTCAGTCCACTCTGTCTGCCGATTGTGCATGTTGGACCGAGGTCCACTAGAGCGGATGAAGTCGAAGCCTTTCTGCAGATCCGATGTTTCTTTCGTCTTGGTCTTGGGCTCCTTCATCTGAGTCAGGAACCACATAACGCTCCATTGGCCAACATGTTCCAAAAGATACTGGAAGCCCTTGAGACCGCTGCGGAAGTTGGTGCCGTAGTTGATGAGGTGGAGGTCCCCTGCGAGAGATGTCTTCAGAAGCCGAGCGGGTATCTTGTCCTCAAAGATGAAGTGCTTCAAGAAAACCCACCGACCATCCGAAGACTGCTGGCCCACAAGCTGCATTCTGAATTTCATGCCGTTACCAAAGCTCACAGACAAGGGGCCGGGAAGGTCCTCATACTTCCCGGTGGAGATGAGGTGGTAAAGGTGTCCGAAATCAAAATCCTCCGCGGACATCGGTTCGACAACCTCAACCACGGACTTTAACGAAGTGGAATGTGTGGCTGATTTGAGCGGTAGTAAGTCAAAGCTGCCAAGCTCGGAGGTTCGTGAATGGATCACCGGGGCGTCCAGTGTGCGAAAGTCCAATGGAGCCGCAAGCAAGCATGCCTGAGCGAAGTCGGCCGGAGGCTTGGTGGACGACATGGACATGGCAGGCGGGTGAGAGGACTGCGAGAAGTGGCACGATGAACTTGAACCTAGCTACCGAAAGGTATGTATATGTTCGGCACGACAAACGCTTTAATCACTTGTTAGTAACACGCGCACATCCTGCACACGAGCCCTTTTGCTCCGGCTCCGTGACTGCTTGGTCTCAGACCATGTACAAGGGAAGACGGCTACAGGTACATTGCAGACTGTTCTAGGGTCTGTTACACCCTAGTGCCTGATTAGCCCAGAAGAGATCCTGCGAAGTCTCTTTCAGATCGGCTTTCAACTGGGAGTTCATAGCCTCCAGCTTTTTCACCCGTGCACGCAAGCCGCTCTTGGTCTTAGGCATGGATGAGTCTGACCCGGACGAACGGGAGGAAGACGAAGATCCCGAAGAGGACGAAGAGGAAGTGCCGTCGTCGTTCGTGTTGTTGTTCTTGTCCACGGTCGCCGAAGTGCTGGTGTTCGGGGTCTCCTCGATGGCCAAATTCTTGGTGTCTGGGGTGTCTGCGATAGCCAATGCTGAGGTGGTTGGCGTGTCGGTGATGGCCAATGTCCTCTCAACGGCCTTCTGTCTGAAGCCCTTCTTGGGTGAGCTCAACCACGAACGCAAAGCGGCTTCGGCCATTGGGTTCCATTGGCCTTTGATCCCCACCTGAAGGCTGTGCCGATTTTGAAGATAACAGAGATGCGAGAAGATCTTCCGTCCAGTGAGGTCGCGCTTGCTCTCGTGCGTGGCGTAGGTGCCGTCCTGGATCTTGGTCAAAACGTCCGCAATGGAAGGTGGTCCTTGCGAGCACGATGGGGAAGGAGGCGATGCGGAAGGAGGCGAGCCGAAAGGAGGCGAGGAGGCTGCGGAGGAAGGCCGAATGGACAGGTTCTCGAGCTGGAGGCTGATGATGCCATTGTCGATGTTAGCGATGCCAGCAACGTGGGCAGAGCGCTTCATGTTCAGGCTAGGCTAGGCGTAACTAAACAAGCTACGTGCGGATGCTACAGCCACATGCCTTCGAATACAAGTTGTAGCTCAAGGTCCTGTGCTACGCAGTCCGTCGTCGGAAAGTTGAGTCGCAGACCGCAAGAAAAGTTTCAAGGAAAAAACACCAAGTGCAGCCGAGGTGCATAGGAAGAAAAGGCCATACCAATAACAGAACATAGAATAGCTAGGGAATGCTTATAAGCAGAGGCATTGCTTATAAGCACCCGGAATGCTTATAAGCACCCGGAATGCTTATAAGCAGAAGCCCTGCTTATAAGCAACCGGTTTGTTTATAAGCACAACATAAGATACACTAGACGGTAGTCTTGTTAAAGTAGACCCTTGACGCAACCCAAAAGAGCAGACACAGCGTGAAGTTGTCCGGGCGCGTCACCTGCAGCGAAAACCAAAGAAACCAAAAAAAACAAAGAAACCAAAAAAAACAAAAAAAACAAAAAAAACAAAAAAAACAATCATTTCCGCACTAGTGGTAATCCTTCAGACTAGTGTGGAAATGATTGTTTTTTTTGGTTTTTTTGGTTTTTTTGGTTTTGCTGAAGGTTTAAGGTGCAGGGTCTAAGGCTAGTGCTAGTGTAATTACGGCTTGCAGGGCTTCCAGACCTTCCGAAGCGTACACGGCAACCCTGAACCAGAAGTAACGAACGACCTACGAAAAGTGCAAATCAGTGGGGTTGCAAAAACCCAGGCCCCATGACAGTCCCTTCTGAAACCTTAAACCCTAAAGTGCAGAGATCCTCCCAGAGAGGCTCCCATGGTCCCTTCTTCGGCCCTTTGCTGATGCTGCGCAGCCGCCTGGGCGTTCCCCGGACAAAGCTATGTCGCCTTCAATTCAAAGAGGTGACTCTAGGGGGGATTGGGTTTAGGGGTTTTAGAGGTTTAGTGTTCAGGGGTTATCGGTTTAGGGTTTAGGGCTTAGCTTTTAGGGTTTAGGGGTTTAGTGCAAGACCCTAGGCTTAGAATACAAGGTAGCCAAGAACAGGAACTTTAGGAGGCTAAAGGCAACCCTGGCTCCTTAAACCTCCAGGTGTTCGAGAAGCCCTTAGTAGCTGAGTGCATACGCTTTACACTTTCTGGGCAATATTACCCATTATAAAACTGAAAGCCTACACTTTTTTGGGGGCTTATGAATTCAGCTGTAAGAAACAGCTAAAGTTACGATTTTTGCTGGGGGTCTAAGTTCAGTATAGCTACTGTAAACTTTAAACAGTTTAATTCAACCTTTTTGAGCTAGGGTACTCAGCCCCTAAGAGTTAAGGTTTGCAATCCAAAGTTTCTAAACTCCTAAACCCAATACCGAAAGCCGATCAGCTGCAGACAGAAATGGCCCATGTGAATAAGGATCCCGAAGCCCAAAACCCTAAAACCCTAACCCCAAATCCAAGCCCGGAAACCCCAACCCCCGGCCAGAACGCAGACCCCTAAACCCCTTAACCTAAACCCACACCCCCTTTAAAAATCGGACCTCTTCTCGGTATCTCTTATTGAGTTCTTCACAGCCCCGCAGCAATCATAACCCTTCTTGTAAGACTTAGCCTTGTAGTATCCCTTATAGAACTTATAGAACCCTTAAGCCAACCGCACCCGAAACCCAAACCCCTAAACCTAAAACCCGCCCCCCCACCAACCCTCATGGAAACCATATACTACCCCTCTTACCGAACTTCTTGAATCCTGAAACCCTAATCCCCAAACCCTAAACTCTAAACCCCTAAATCTTCCACTCCCACACCCTAAACCCAATCCCCGAAACCCTAAACCCAGCTATAGGGAACCCCTAAACCCCCTAAACCCAAAGAGGGAGCCCCTAAACCCCAACGAAGCCCGCCAGAGCTGGTGTAGGTGCCGGTCCGCTGCGCGTCTTTCGCTCGACGCCAGCTCTCCGGCGTTTGCAAGGACAGATGTTTAAAGTTTAGGGCCTAGGGTTCATAAAGGCTTAGGCTTAAAGAGCTTAGGGTGTAGGGGTTTAGGGAAAATCTGTGTTTTGTGAGGCTTTTTGGTGTTTCTCTGGCGTTTTGTTAGGAATTTTCCGTCGTTTTAGGCCTAGGGTTCTTATCAGGGTTTTGAGAGTGCTGCAGGCTCTTCGAAGGGTTTTGCAAGGCTTCGAATGCTGCTAGGACCATGCGGATTCCGAACTATCGCGACAGAGAGTTTACTTCCAAAGCTCTTCTAGTTACCAATCGCCATTGTACGGGGAAGAAAAAACTTGGGTTTTATGTGGCCATAATTACAGTTGTATTAATAGTCTGATATAGGGCATGTGGGTTTCTCAGGTTTTTTTGGAGTTGTTGAAGGGGTCTTGTAGTTAAGATGTTGAATACTGGTTTACTCCACTGAATATTTTGAAATTTCGTGCGAAAGTAGGAGACACTTGGATTTAAGGTTTCGGGGCAAGATCTCGACCATTCTAGATGCCCAACATGACCCGGACAGAACGCTTGCAGAAGACCTGAAACAAGCCAAACCGACTGCAAAGATAAGCTGGGGATCTGCAACGCTTATGTACTACCCTAAATGGTAGGATCCTGATTATAAGGACACCGAAATAAGGTAGCCCTAATTTTCGGAAACCCCCACTTCTGCAGGACTGAAGATCATCCTTTACGTGGCTGCCCCGCCTCTGTGCCTCGGGCCGGGGGTAGATAAGGTTTCGGGTTTAGTTTGAGGCTTAGGGTGAATACTTGGAGAGCCAGGGTAAGGTTGCAAGCACCTTACAGTACTGCTTAAAGGATCATGGGACTTAGCAAGTAAGGATATAAGTACCTCAATTGGGGTTATAAGTATAGTTAGCCTAGTTATAACCCTAGTTACTAAGTCCCATGATCCTTTAAGTGGAGTTACATGTCAGTTTGATCATCTCTTGTACTTGTCCCTGGCCCGACTTATTTAAGTTCCGCCCCAAATCCACCAAGCGCTCTTAATTCCGAAGCCTTGTGTTCAAGGAGCGAGAGCTGCAGGGGATGTTGTAGAGCTGTGAGCTGTAGGATCGACAGCTTTTCCTCTGAGCCGGATTTGGAGCAGCAGAACATGGGGTTGAGGGTTCTGAGGTTCAGGCTCGCGGCCTAAACCCCAAATCCCGAAACCCTAAACCGAGTTTGCTGAGGATTTCTTGGCCCTTGAGTGGGGATCTGACCAGGTCGACCATCGAGTCAGTTTTGGTTAGGTCTGGGGACGGGTTTAAGTTTCTGTCAGATTTGGTCATTGGACCCCTACCCCCCTAAAGGTCCTACTGATTTGGGGTTTGGGGTTCACGGCTTACTGTTGTGTGCTAGAGCTTTCGGAAGCCCCGTTTAAATCCCAGAGACTGCAAGAAATGACCCTCAATGGAGGAAGGTTCCCTAAACGGCAGCAGCAGGAAGAACTAGTAAGAATATCCCTTTTCATCCTTTTGCAGATAGTCTTGAATGTAGGGCAAGCCATATTCGAATTATGTTGGCCCTTTTCGCATAGGATCCTTAACGTGGAGTTTCTGGAAATGTCACAGGGGCTTCCAACCCAGGCTTAGGCCTAGGCAGCCTGAAAAGACTTTTGGAGATGCTCAGGTGGAACCTGTTGTGCCTTCAGGAAGCATGGGACGGGGAGGACGGTTGACATATGTTGACATGTTCGTGTTTCGTTTTTATTCTTGGGTGGTCAGAGGTTTTATGGATACATGTATATAGTGCTTTCGGGTTTTGTGTATGGGGAGACCTCGAAATATCTTGCCTGCGGCGACGTCCGCATCGTTGCCAAGTTTCCCTAAGGAATGAAATCAAGTCCAGCTATTGAAATTCGAGTGCTGCGGATTCGCTGAAAGCCTCTAGTGTGGCCCAGAGAGCCCAATATCTCGAACATAAGGAAGATATGTTAAGTCGTCTTAAATCTTAGGCCCCCAACATGCAAGGTATATTCTTAACTAAGGGATCTGAGGATGGCGGTTTAGAGATCAGAGGACAGAGGCACTTGCAATCGTAGTGTACTCGACCGCTGTAACTTTACAATCCCTTGGGCTGTAAGTCCTTCTGCCCTGCTAAAGCTTCTGCAGTTTTAATTTGTGTGCAGTGGTTCGCACCTGAAGACTGGGAGCCTGGTGGCAACGGCAAGTCAAGGGCTTGTCAGGTGTTTCTGCCAACATATCAGTACAAGAGACACGTATAAGTATATCAACCTATCCGCTGCAGAGCTTTCTGACTCCTTGTGGTTTGCTCGTGTGCACGCCTGCCTGAGTCCGCTCGACTATCTGTCCACCTACGTCCTCATGTTCCTGCCTGCTTCACTTCCCTCCCTCCCTTCCTTCCGTCCCTCTCCCTAAGTGGCCTTTTGAATAGTAATCATGGGAGCAGCCCTTATAGACACCTTTTTAGCCCTCCTCCCAAACCCCTATGCCTGCGCCGCACAGTCTCAACACCAGAGCCTACCCACAGCAATCCTGAACGCGACTGCAACCTTCATAGGGATTCCGGAAATCAGGGCTTTGGGAGGGATACTATGAAGTTTCACCTTTATACCTCAACACCAAAGCTCGAAAGCCCTAAACCTCTGGGCCTCTGGGTAGGAACCTGTCTAGGAGCCTTCCTAGCATTTTCTAGCCAAAGCCCGAAAGTCCTAAACCCGTACAAATCTACGATAGCAGCCCTTCTCGACACCTCGAGAGTGCTGCAGGTGCCTAAATACTATATTTGTAGTACAATAGGTCCCAAAACCCTATTCTAATTATTAGGGCCCCTAGAGTACCACCCAAGCCTGTAGGAAGCGCTGCCGGGCTTCGTTGATCGCCTGGAAGTGGCTCGCCCGAAGCTTTCCGGGTTCTTAACGGAAACTCAGAAAATCATAAGGTTGATGTAAGGGTCTAGGGTTTAGGGTTCCGTTCGGGTTTGCTTCAGGATTGCTGTCAGGGTTTCTATAAGGGTTCCTGTATGGCTTCCTTTAAGCGTCGGGGTTGAGGGTTTGGGGTTTACTCTGGGCTCAGGGTTCCGTCAAGCGTTCTGCAAGGGTTCTGTTTTGTTTTGTTCCTATTGAAGGGTGCCACAAGCGAAAAATATAAGGAGTATCTTATGGGTTTAGGGCCTGAGAAAATGGGCTTGAGGGCTTGTTTCGGGTTCAGAGTTTCGAGGTTTTGAACGTTTCGATGTATGTGCAGCGACTCTGCGGTTCTTTTTACGGACGCGTTACTAGGTAGTGCTTTGGGGACATTTCACATTTTCTCTTATTGGGCTTAAGAGGATCTTACCTACTCATATTTTTCAACAGCTTCAAAAGCTCCTCGTAGTGTTAGCGTTTTGCAGGGGGTTGTATGTGGGGTTTGCTTTCAAGTTCACAGCTGGAGTTGATGGAGTTCGGCTTTGGGGCGTAGACGGGGGTCAGAGATTTAGGGTTTAGGGTTTAGGGTTAGAGATCAAGGTTTGCGACCCTGGGTGCTGGCCCAAGGTTTAGGCCGGCTCATGCTTCAGGGCTTATGACAGCGCCCAGTTTTAACCCTAACTCGCATCGTTATAGAATCACCCCTCCCCCAAACGGTACCGTAATTGCAAGAAGGGTCCTAATATGTCCCGACTTCAGAATTCAGGATGTGTTGAACCAAAAATAATACGTAGCTCAGGTGCCTCGATTCCAGTCGGTCGCATCTTAAGAGGCTTGGAATTCCCATAAACCGGCCAACGACGTGCGACTGACCTGCCTACGGTTTAAGGCTTACTAGGATGCCCAGTAGTACCCTTATTGCCTTTTTGTAGTCCTAGGTTTCTTATAAAGTTACCCAATACCAAAAGGGGAGCCCTTGTTTTTCCTAGGTTACTGGGCATCCTAGCTTAGGATTCGAAGTTTCGAGGCCTAGAGTTCAAAGGGGAAAAGGAGGGACCCTTAATGGGGACCCCATACCCTACAATGGGCTAGATAATGGGTATATAGTGGCTATATTAAGGGTATATACCTAGGGGTCCGTATTAAGGGTCCCTCCCTTTATCCTTGGACTAGAGTCGGGAACCACATACAACAGGGCCTTGGGCTCCTTGCTATAATCCTACCATGATATACCCCCAAGACCCAATGCTAACTAAGCTCTGGGGTTCCTTTTCATATGTATACCATCACCCCCCCCCCCCCAAAAAAAAACATAAATAAACATAAAAAGGCTAGTCCGATTGTGAAGCCCCCCCCCATATTCGGCCCTCTCGGGCAAACTTGGGACCTGAGGCACTTCGGTCTAAGCTTCTAGGGTTTCCTGAGGGACTTTGACCTCGAAGCGCTGAACGGTAAGGTCCGGAAGCAGGACAGCCCTGTTAAAGCTCCACGAGCCATGTCAAACCTGTTTCAAGCACCCTTAGGAAAATGTAAAGGCCCTAGTGAACCCTATGAAGCCTTGAAGCCCCACTGCCCAGGCGGATTGCCAGCCACAGCATCAGGATCACCTCGAAACTCTGCTTGCCTCTGCGACAGGACTCTCCTCTCGGGAACCCAGAAGGCACACACAACCTAAACCCCTAAACCCAAAACCCAGCCCAAAACCCCTAAACCCTAAACCCCCAAACCCTTAAACCCCTTAAATCCCTAGACCCTAGACCCCTAAACCCTAAACCCTAAACCCCTAAACCCCTAAGCCCTAAAGCCCTAAACCCTACTGCTGCCGCATTTCAATCCCAAGCGGAACCGAAGCCCAGCCCGGAAGTCCAAGATCCTAAACCGACTCCCGCCGGGATGCCCTGCTGAAAGGATCGTGGGATTTAGTAACTAGGGGCACTATAGGGTTCTATAATAAAGGGCTCTTTAAACGGATCCTTATACAGGGATCTATAAGGGTTCTATAATGGAGGATCATGGGCCTTAGTAACTAGGGTTATCCTTTAAAGGCCTCCTTTAAAGGGGATCTACAGGGGTTCTACTGTATGGGTTATAATTAGGGTAACTGTGCTTATAACCCCCGAAACTTATAACCTTACTTACTAAGTCCCATGATCCTAAAGCCTTTACCTTAGAGGCATGAATCTTTCGATAGTGCGGCTTGTGCAGAAATCCTCGACTGATAGGCACAGGTGCAGGTTTAGTGTTTTTTTTCCGGTATTGAGGGTCGGTGGTTTAGGGTTATTGGATGTAGCGTTCCGGCTTGGGGTTGAGGGTTTCAGGGTCTAGGGTTGGGTTGAGTACTGGCATGCTTTAAGCTCCTAGAACGATCTGAGCTGCCCCCGATGTGCGCTGATGTTTTGTCTTGTGGGTATCGTCATACTTGTTGCGGTCTTTGCAATCGGGTTCTTTTTGTTCTGGTGTCGGATTGGCTTTGCTGTTGTTACTACTGGTTTCGGAACGCTACTGGGCTAGTTGTATTTACTGCAATTGTTCATGTTGCCAGTTTTGATGATAGTACTGATGCCCGTGCTACATGTACAGTTGAGCTTTCGTGGTTCTGCCACTGCTAAAGTCGTCAGAACAACAGCGCCAATTAGGTAGCGGTGTTGAGGCGACACCACTGCCGAACAAGCCAAAACAGTAGTGCTATATAACGCCTATGCTGGTGCTGCAACTATTATCACGACCACCACTACCGGCTGCACCACCAGACCTGCGTACTGATGCTGTTGCTGCCCTACTGCTGTCAAGGCTACTTGGAGGATCATGGGACTTAGTAAGTAAGGTTATAAGTACCTTACTTGGGGTTATAAGTATAGTTACCCGAACTAATTATAACCCTAGTTACTAAGTCATTTTGAGCTTGAGGCGCTCTCAGAGAAGCCGGGAAAATGCTTAGCCGTGCTATTCTCGTTTGGGCCTTCAAGTTGGACTGCTTGATCGGCGGAGTCCTGAGTGGTACTTAAAGGATCATGGGACTTAGGAACCTAGGGTTATACTTTAAAGGCCTCCTTTAAAGGGGATCTATAGGGGTTCTATAATAGGGGGCTTATAGGGTCTACTGAAAGGATCATGGGACTTAGTAACTAGGGTTATAATTAGGGTAACTATACTTAAAAACCCAACTAGGGCACTTATAACCTTACTTACTAAGTCCCATGATCCTCCAAGTAGACCCTAAACCCTAAACCCCTATAGATCCCTTATAGAACCCTTTAAAAGGAGCCCCAAGGAACCCTTTAAGGAAGTACTAAGTCCCATACCTCCAAGTAGACCCCAGGACCCGTGGAAATACGCCTGCCACCGAGGCACAGTCGGAATGTCGGGCATCAGGGTTAAGGGCCGAAGCTGAAGCGGGCAGTGGGTTTAGGAGCTTAGGGTTTAGGGTTTGGGGTTTAGGGTTTCGGGGCACTGAAACAATTGAACCAGGACGCTAGAGCCGCTAGAGATGGAAAGCGGTTCTGCATGCTGACATGATGATGCGGAAAGCATGCTGCATGGTTTTGGCAGTCGCGGGCAATATGGTTTATTCATCTGAAGTGTACATATGCGGTTTAGACTGCATCAAATCATCGTTTAGATATACCCTAAAACCTCCTTTGCAACTTGGCTCAAGGAGTTAATGTAGGAACCTGATTAAGAAACCTTGGGCCTATAACCCCAAAACAGTAGGATTCATATAAAGAGCCCTAATGAAAGGCCCAAGGTTTCTTAATCAGGTTCCTAAATTGTAAGGTTCCTTGAGACCCAGTGGATCCTTAAGGGGGGGTGGTTCAAGGGGGGAGGGTACTAGGGAGCTTTGGGGAACCTTAGGGAAGCTTAGGGAGTATTGGGGAATAATGGGGATTACTAGGTTACCTACCCCCCTTGGACCACCCCCCCTTAAGGACATCCTAACTCCGAAAATCCGGAGACCCACACTGAGCACCACGAGGCCGAGAATTGCGAAGCTCTGCAGCGAGCCTTGGCGCCTCGGTGACGACACAGCAGCGGTTTTGAAGGCATCTGAGGGTTACGTGGAGGATCATGGGACGTAGTAAGTAAGGTTACAAGTACCCTAATCGCGGTTATAAGTATAGCTACCCTGATTATAACCCCAGTTACTTAATCCCATGATCCTGTCAGTAGACCCCATAAGTCCCCTCTTATAATAGAACCCCTGTAGATCCCCTTTAAAGGAGCCCCTTAAAGCATAACCCTAGGTTCCTAAGTCCCATGATCCTTTAAGTATGAGATCACAGGGCTTCAGGTTCCAGGCTTCGGGAGATTAAGGGTTTGGGGCCGCAGACCTTACACCCAAACTAACTCCGGGTTTAGGGGTATAGGGTTTAGGGTTTCGGGTTTCGGGTTTGGGGTTTAGGGTTTCGGGTTTAGGGTTTAGGGTTTAGGGTTTAGGGCTTAGATTCCGAGTCTGTTTGGCTTCGTCGTGTCAGTTGCAGACTTAGGGTGCCGCGTTTGGTTGTGTTGGTACTTTGCCTTGCCCAGAGAAAGCCAGAGGGAAAGCGCTGAAACCCTGAACCCCTACACACCCTGAATGCATATAGAGATGAAGGTTAGAAGCATTAGTAATAACATCCCCTTAACTTCTACAGGCCCAATATATCCGAACACCCCTGACCTCCTAAGGGGTGACTGTTGAAAGCTGCAGAAGCCCAGGCTCACAGTAGCTTCTCGCTTGGAGGCACGGTTCAGGGTTTCAGGTTGGGTACTGCCCCCACCCTGTAGGAGTTGATGTCAGGGGTCAGATTACAGGCTCTATGTGTATATATATATATATATATGTATGTATATATATATATATGTAAGAGAAACCTTCATGTATTATATGATGGATGTCTTTGTTGCTCTTTGCCGCCCTCATTTTTTCAGTGTTTTGTTTTATAGTTTTTACTTTTTTTTAAAACTTTACAAATACGAAAAACTCAAAAAAATCTAAAACACGAAGGCCTTTGGGATTTCTAAAAAATTCTGAAAACTTTAAAAAAATCCTAAGAATTATAAAAGTTGTTTCCTTTTGGCCTTCGTTTTTAGAAATTTTAAAATTTTCTGCATTTTTTTCAAATTTTTAAAATCACAAAAGTTCTAAAAATTCCAACAATCGAAGCTTCCGTGGGCCTTTATTCTTTCAAAATGTTTAGAATCTTTGGAATTTTATAAATTTTAGAATTTTTGGAAATACTAAAACATTCCGGGGTTCCCTCCGGCTCCCTGCCGCCTTGATTTTTAGAATTTTTGGACTCTTCGGCTTTTTTAAGACTTTTAGAAACACCAGCAATTCGAAAACTTATAAAACTCAAAGCTTCCTTGTGCCACTTTTTAGAATTTGTAGAATTTTTGAAAATTCTAAAACATCCCGGGGTTCCCTGCGGCTCCCTGCCGTCTTCATTCTTTAGAATTTTTAGAATGTTCAGCTTTTGTTGAAATTTTAACAATATCACAAAAATTCAAAAAAAACGAAGGCCTTTGGGGGCGCCGGCATTTTTTAGAATTTCCAAAAGTTCTAAAAATTCTGAACATCCGGAAAATTTTAAAAATTGTTTCTTTTCGGCCTTTATTTTTTTGATGTTTTTAAATTTTTTGTTGTTTTATAGAATTTTATTTTAGAAATCACAAAAATTCTAAAAATCAAAGCTTCCTGGGGCTTCATTTTTTTTGTATTTTTTAGATTTGGGGTAATTTTGTTAATTTTTTCGAACCCTAAAACATACTGGTGTTCCCTCCGGCTCCCTGCGGCCTTCAATTTTGGGCTTGTGCTGTTTTCCGAAAGGATCCCGTAGGCTCTATTTTACCTGTGGTTTAAAGATGTCGTTTATTCTGCATCTTCTTGTTTTCGGAATTTTTGCTACTCTACATTCCTAAGAACTTCTGAAAAATGAAGGCGTCCAGACATAATTAGCTTGAGGAAGCCACTGCGTCATCTTGGGATGCTTCCACATTATCACTGAAGCGTTTCACGACGGCTGCCACCACAGTTGGCAGGCACGACAGCTACGAGGATCGGTCATGTGGATACTAGCCCCACTTCTATTGAAGGATAGACACCGTTGAGGCATGAAAGATGTGTTTTTTGCATCTGATATGACTTCCGCCAGTTCTGTAATTCCCAGGACCTGCAGAGGGCCCTCAGGCTCTTGCCTAAAGCAGCCTTCACAAACAAGGCCCTCTGTGTGGCCGGTCCAAGCTGAAAACTGCAGCATGTCAGTTTGGATCGACGAGGCATTTTGCTTCAAGCTTCATGTAGCTCGCTGTTTGTCGACATGTCAGAGCCGACTTGGAGCTCCAGACGATGGGAGCGTCGCTTCAGGCGACAGCAAGAGTGGCAGGACAACATCCAGGGATGTGTAAGTAATTGTCGCACGATCTGGTCATCCTCCTGAGTATTTATGATTACGTATCCGTTCAATGTTCCAGGATTGGCCGTATAGCGCAGGGGAGAGCATTCGTGTTCACCGTCGCGACACTAATTTTCATAAAGGATGATACAGGGTGTCATCTGTCGCGATGTCCGGTGTTACGGGGTGTTATCTGTCACGTCGCCCGGTGTAACGGCATGCTGTCTGTCGCGTCGCCGGTGAGGTAGTGTGTCGTCTGTCGCGTCGCCCAGTGTTACGGCGTGTTATCTGTCGCGTCGCCTGGTGTGTTTATGTCACGCCGCCCGGTGTGCATGGGCGTCTTGGGACAGGAGTCTTATCGCTGTTCGAAGGCGAAGAGAAACGAAGCTCCGTTTGATGACGACACCGCGCTGCGCAGAGTGCTCACTGCGCGAGGATCCACGGGAGCGGTGCTGGCAATGATTGCAGTCGCGTCAGAAAAGGCAGAGGCCGTGTGTGACGCTTTGTTGCAGAACCTCCCGGCTGAAGGCCTTGATCAGGTTGAGTGTGTAGCATCAGACAACGCATCGACAAAGCTGTACACTCAATTGCGGCGCATCATGCCCAATTTGCAGTGTCTGTGTCTGGATCCGATCCATTTGCCGATCGTGTATGAGCAGCCGGCCTGCAAACTTTTTACCTTATACGGGGTCACTATAGTCCTGATACTTTTCTGCAAGCTTTGCTGAATGAAGCAAATCAAAGAGCAGACTCAGGTACGCCACCTGGCGTAAAAAAACGGCCGGTGCCTTGTGCCTTCGAAAGCTGATGCACAAGTTCATCGCCGTCGACAATGAGATCTCGTCAGACTACTGGGGCCTCATCTACAAAGGTTACGATGATCGCACCCTGAGCAAACCCGGCGAAACTATATACATCACCAGCGGGGCCATGCCAAAAGCAAAAGCGAGGGCATGTATCCGGAAGCTGGATGGCTCGGTTCCTTTTCAGGCACGATTAGAGTTTATCGAGGGCTTAGCCGCCATCGCAGCAGAGTTCCGAGAGGACATGCGACGAGAAAGTGACTGGTGCTAACAAGGCAATCGACCAGATTCTGTTGTGCGCGGCTGCAGCAGATCGAGCTGAATGGCTTCTGAACAATTTGCGATGGCGACATCGTCTCGGCCGCCAACTCAGACAGTGTGTTACAGCGTGCAAACATTAGCAGATTTGCGGTGAGTTGCAGAGTCTGCAGATAGGTAGCCGTCGAATCAATAAGCGCATTTGCAGGTAGCGTCTGCTGTCAGGTCTACGTGATTTGACGCTCCTTCCGTGTGGTACGACGTCCAACGAAGCTCTTCATGCTGAGATCAAGAGCTGGTTTGCTCAGACCCAGCAAATTCATCAAAGCACTCTCAAGTTAAAACTGGAGATCCTCACTTTGGCCAAAATCCTGCCACATTATGCAGCTGCAAAATGTCCTACTCTAACACTAACCCAAGCGACAAGTCGCAACATCATGGTGCGCCTCTGCACTCCATCCATATGGACACCACAGTCTTGGCTTCAGCGGTGCGGTGACAGCCACGGTGCTGGTCGGATTGAAAAGGCCAAGCTGCCTTTAGCTGAAAGCCGACAGTCGGAACGAGTCAAGGTGCAGCAGTGGAATTTAAAACGCCCTGCGGCGGCAGAGCCGCGACATCGCAAGAGGACTGTTTTCACCCTCCAACGTCAGAGCAAGCTCGTTCGACCAGGAGTGCGTGCGAAGGACACTGCAAAGAGCAGGCGCTGACAGCCTCGCGTGAGCTATATATAGAATATAGATGTGTGAAAATTGAAAGGCGTGCGAAGGTGCTTGACTGCTGCTGCTGCATTTGTAGTTTCCTTGATCATCCCCCAAATTACTATCCGTCCTAACCACGACCAAGATTTCAGCCATGCGAGAACCCCGTACTTCGATTGCGGTTGGTGTTCGAAAGCTTGCACATATCCGTGGCTATTTCGTCGCGAGCTTGTGAACTTTCCCTCCTTCATATTCCGTTATCTATGTACGTTTTCCTCTGCGTCCTAGTGCGCACGGGATCCGATCAGCTATCCCAACACGAAGATCCTTAATGAATCGGAACTTCCCTCCGATAGACGAACGATTGCAAACTTCATGTTATCACCACTGAGGAGCTCATGGGACGAGTTGCGAGCCCAAAGAAACACTGAGTGTGAGCGCACAGAACGTGCGACTGTTTTGTGCGTCGGGCAAGCTAGGTGAACGGTGTTCGTTCTTGCTCTCCACCTCAGTCATACATGCCTTGCCAGCTAGTGTGAACATGCGTGCTGGTTCAAGGCCAGAATGGAGGTCTGGTTTGTCGACCTAAGGGAGTGAGGTGTACCCAGAGTAGCTGGGCGTGTCTTCATCCCACCCTCCTCTCCCTGTATCTAGATCCGAGCATACCCACTGGGTGAGTGACTGCCCTCCGCCTTCGTGGTGGTTGTGGTAGAGGCACTGTGTGCCGCTTTGGTGTGTGGGAGGTGTGTGTTCCAGAGGCCATGAGTCTTCGCTGAGTATACAGCGCGCCGCCGGGCGGCACCGAGTTCAGGGATCACCAACGCACTATGGGCGAGGAGCTCATGGAACGAGCTGCGAGCCCAAAGACACAGTGAGTGTGAGCGCATAGAACGTCTCTTTTATCCTAGATGAAGAAAGGTCCGAAGATTGATGCCGACCCAAGAGATCGCACGCACAACCCCAGATGTCGGCCTAGTTCAATAGCAAAGGGTCTCAAGAAGTCCCCGAAATTTGTTGAGGCTGTTGTACATACAGCAACACAACACATCAAATTATACGTAAAGGTTCCTGCCTCATATATATATATATATATGTATACACATAAGTTTGCAAGTTTCAGGGTTGACGGCTAAAGGCCATCTTTCATTCAGCTCTTCGTAGGAGCGTTTTACAATTTTGGTGGTTTACTTTTGAGGTTTCGTGCGGGTGTGTCTAGGGCCAGGGTTGTGGTAAGGAGTTCAAGGGGATGTTCAAACGAGGGGTTCCGGGGCGATTCTTGTAGTATTCAGGATACGACCAATCAGGGTTTGAATCAAGGGTCCGTAATTTTCTGGAGCCATTTCATGCGTGAGGCGAAAGACACCCGTTTGGGGTTTTGTGTTTTGGAGTCTGGGCGGCTGGAACCATTGGGAGTTTGGGAGCTTTGTCGGCGAGTTTTGCGTTGTTCAATTAAGATTAAGCCCAGATAAGAGAAGACAAGATGATAGGTATGAAACGTGTCTAATAATCGTATCTAGAAGAAAACACTGCATTACTTTATTCTACCTTTTTTCACTTCATAGCAAACGAGGCCAGCTCTGCAGCAGAAGCAGATTAACTTAACAAGTGCAGGTATTCATACCTGAGATGTTCGTAGTGCCACGAAAAGCAAAGATTCTCGGCAGCCATTCCGACGAGATGTGGGGAATTAGGGGACCCTAATATAGTACCCTAAATAGTAGGGTCCTTGTTACAAGGACCCCAAAACAAGGTACCCCCAGTTTTCAGAAACTCCCGTGTATGTAAAGGTGTTGTAGAAGAGCACTGGGGCCGAAAGCCGGAACCGCAGAACCCTGAGACCTTACATAGTCAGCTTCCGTAGGCGAGTATCCCCTTTGTGGTCCGCACGGTTTTTAGCAGAATCACGGACGCCAGAGCCCCGTTTTTTGAGGCCTCTACATCACAACACCCTTCTCCAAGCCTGAAAATGCGTGTGGTCAGGACAAGATGGGGTCCCAGCGCCAAAGACTCGTCCTCGCGCTGGCGCGGGGAGGAGCGAGTGCTTGCGGTGCCGTGATTGGCTTTAGGGTTTAGAGGTTGTAACTAAACCCTAAACCCTAAACCGCTATAAGGGATATGGGCCTTCACCCTTTTTCCACAGTTGTGGGTTTCAGGTTTCCAGGTTTTCCGGATGTCGGAAGCTTGGGTCTGAAATTTTTGGCATTTGAGTTAATCAAAGGGGAAAAGGAGGGACCCTTAATGGGGACCCTTACCCTATAATGGGCTATATAATGGGTATATAATGACTACATTAAGGGTATATACCTAGGGGTCCTTATTAAGGGTCCCTCCTTTTACCCTTGGAGTTAAAGTCTCTGAAGGGCTGGTAACGCTGAAACTTCTACTTCCCACGAAGTGAAGCCTGCGCCTTAAAAAAGTCCTTTCAGCGCACCCTGAAGCGAATCCTTGTTTGAAGGAGTTTCGGTTCCTCCGGAAGTCCTCCTGACGCTGATTGAGCTGTGCCCGTCCAAGAAACCGCCAGGCACGGTTGCGGATTTTAGGATTTAGGGTTGGGGTTTTGCGGTTCGCATCTGGGGTCTAGGGTTCAGGGTTTCGGGCCGAGGGTAATTGGGTTTAGGGCCCTTGAAGCATCCTAGGGCCCTTTAAAACCTTTTACATGTGTTCTTGGTGGTTCTAGAAGTAGGTGGGAGGTTCGGGTTTGTATACAGGGTTTATGGCTACAAATATCTGAGGGTTTGAAGCCTCGGAAATAAAACTTACAGCAAAGCCGTGAAGCCGCATGCGCCAAACCTTTAACTCCTACTTGGAGGTTCATGGGCAGCTATAAGTGGGGTTGTAATTAGGGTAACCAGAATTATAACCTATATTAGGGGACTTCTAACCCTACTTATAACTACCCATCAGCCTGCAAGTAGGCCCTATAAGGGGACCCTTTAAAGGAACCCTTATAACTACCCACGAACCTGCAAGTAGTCAGCCTCGCGCACAGGCCCAGATCTCGACGAGGCCTCCGCCGTTTGCAGAGCCAGCCTCGTCCCAAGGAGTGTCGGGTGGGGGGGGGGGGGGTTGAAAGGTTCCCTAGAAAGGGTACTATACTTAAAGGATCATGGGACTTAGTAACTAGGGTTATACTTAGGGTAATTCTACCTATAACCCCAACTAAGGTACGTATTGCCTTACTTACTTTAAGGATCATGGGACTTAGTAAGTAAGATTATAAGTGCCTTAATTGGGGTTATAAGTCTAGTTACCCTAATTATAGCCCTAGTTACTAAGTCCCATGATCCTTTAAGTAAGGGTTCCTATTTGATATTGAGGTTCAGGTTTCGGGGTGTAGGCGTTTAGGGGTCCAGGGTTTTGGGGCTCAGGGTGTGGGTTTTGTTTTTGGCAGTTTTGGGGTTTAAGGCTTCAGGATCGAAGTGGGTTTTATGTTTTGGCAGTTTTTGGGTTTAAGGCTTCAGGATCTAAGTACGGGGTATGGGGCTCTCAGTTTTGGTCTCTGCCAGGAGTTGGGGGCCAGAGCAGCCCATCCGACGAATTGAGCAGCCGACGGGATGCAGCTGCAGGAGGGTTTGGGTTTTGTTTGTTTAGGGGTTTAGGGGTTTAGGGGTTTAGGGCTTAGATTTATGATTTAGGGCTTATTGTTTAGGGTGTAGGGTTTATGATTTAGGGTTCCGATTTACAACTTAGGGTCCAGTGTCAGGCATCGAGGATCGGAGGTTCAGAGTTTGGGGTTTAGCGGTTCAGAGTTCAGTATTTGCTGTGGCCTTAATATGCAATCCTCAACCCTAAGCCCTAAAACCTGAGCCCTAAACCCTCCCAAACCCTAAAGCGTTCTAGAACCCTTATAGTAGCCCATATCGAACCTGTAAACTAACCCTGATAGTAACCCCCTATGGTAACCCTCCCAGCATCCCCGATGGTAATCCGTCTTGTGACCTTGTAGAACCCTTCTGTGACTCTCATCCCAGACACGCGGGAGGATCCAAAAAGTAGATCCCTTCATGGGGGTTCCTATAAAGTACCCTTAGTAGTATAGGGCCCCAAATTAGAGGATCTACTTTCTAGATCCTTCCGGGGGGCTGGGGTAGGAACCCTACAATCCTTTCGGGAACTTCACGGCTTCCAAAGTTTCGGCTAACGGGCCGTGGGGGGGCCTCGGAGCTTCGGGTCAAAGGCCCTAAACCCCGAAACCCTAAGCCCTTAGACCCCTAAACCTGAAACCCCTAAACCGAAACCAAAGGAATAACACGGAATCACCTGAAACCCGAAACCCCTTAAACCCCTAAACCCTTAAACCCTTAACCGGAAACCAAAGGAATAGCCCTGAATCCGAAGCCGTAAACCCTGAACCCTGAAGCTTTCGGAAAATAGAAACTCAGAATCCGATCTTCTCTTCCCCAGACCCCCGCGGGAGGATCTAGAAAGTAGATCCCCCATTTTGGGGCCCTGTACTGCTAAGGTTACTTTATAGGGACCCCCATTAAGGGATCTACTTTTTGGATCCTCCTGGAAATCTGGATCTGCAGGGCAGCGATCGCGCCCTGCCTCAGCTCCGCCGCATTGAAGAGATGCCCGGCGTCAGGAGGCAGATCCTTAGGGTCTTAGGGGCTTTTCAGGTTCCTTTAAAGGGATCTAGAAGGGTTCCTTTAGCAGCCAGAAAGGGTTTCAGGGATTAGGCGTCTCGGGTTTTGGGGTTTTAGGGGTCCTGGGGACTAGGAGTTTAGGGGACAAGGGGCTTAGCGCGCAGGGTTTAGAGGTTTAGGGGCCAGAAGCTTGGAACATCCTTACTTGGAGGATCATGGGACTTAGTAAGTAAGGTTATAAGTACCTTAATTGGGGTTATAAGTAGAGTTACCGTAGTTGTAACCCTAGTTACTAAGTCCCATGATCCTTAAGTATCCTCATGCCCTGAAGATAAAGCACAGGGAATCCCCGCGCTAATCGTCCTAAATCCGCGCTCAACTTTTCGGGGGTTCACTACAAACCAAAGAGTTCTATGAGGGTTTCGTTCAGCGTAGTTACGGCGTAATCTTTGGCGTGCGTTGGAATCAGTTTTGACACGTGTATAATATTGTCAGTGTAAGCAGAAACACCGAAGGATGGTTTAGAATGACGATTTATTTGGCTTCTGATTCTACGTGCACTCAAGTATAAGGGTTCTACAAGCTCTCCATGGGTTCAGTCGAAAATTCACCCGAAAATGATTTAGACGGTGTCATGAGGGCTGTGTAGAGTCGTGGAGTTTTGTTCGGAAGGCACGTGCTTAGCTTCTGGGCCCGTAGGATATGGGGCTTTGAGGCTATCTAGGGTTGAGGGCTTTCAGCTTTAGGGTTTGCTTTGTGTCGGACGTGAGTTCATAGACCTGCCAAGTGGGTCAGGGCATGTTCTGATTTCGCTGTCAGTCCTCAGTGGGTTGTCGTGCAGATTTGGATTTTACAAGCACCTCTTGTAGGAAGCAGCGTAAACCCCGAGCCCCAGGCCTCCCTACAGTGAGCCCTCAACCCTACCACTTGCGCTCTGGAATGCCATCCGTTGTTCCTTTTTGCGCCAGTTCCTTAAACGAGCCATTGTGAAATGAAGCGTTTGCTTTTTTTCTCACTGGCTACAGCCCAGCCACACAAGCAGCAAGGCATCCTTTCAGAACTTCGCATGGCCACACCTAGGGAAGTGCTTGCTAAAGCTCGGATAATGTAGGGGCCCATATAGCTTAACCGCCATTAGCTATTATGATGATTATTATTCATTATAAGTATAGTCGCAAGCCCCTATGTTAGTCTGTAAACCCAACACCAGCCAACACCTCCTCAACCGCAAAGCCCACTGAAGCCCTGACCCCCTAGACCGTGCTATGACTACCCATCGTCTACAGTGTAGTTCCCCAATACCTTACATATAAGATCCTAAACATTCGGATGGTTAAGCCAAAAGAGAAGGACAATGGAGACTATAGGTACTACCATGACTACCAGTTACCTCAACGAAGATGTCGGACTGCTGGATGCTATTGCTCCTCTAGTTACTCTCGCTGTTGCTGGCATCAGTCTTGCTCAACTTGCTAGTAGTTTTCTCTTGCAACACTAGTATCAGCAGAACCGCCATAGCGGACTGTCACTGCTCGAGAGTAGGTCGACGAGCAGTGGTGGCTGCTTTTGACCTGCAGATACCTCTTGACAAGACCTACAGGAGCCCCAGATGTCGGGTTTTCTGAGCGCGAGGGAAGGTTGTTGTGAAGTTGTGCAGCTAGTTGTGCAGGGTTTCACAACTGGGCCTTTGTGGGGCTTGCAGGTTTCAGGGGATCTCCCAAAACCCTAAACCGATGGAGGGATCTCATCTGTTCTGCAGTTGGAAAAGGCGTTCAACAAAGACCGATGTTGCTGAGGACCTTTGAGTTTCATGGCGCGAGATGTCGGGCTTCAGAAGGTTTGGGGTTCACAGGGCTCGAAGTTTGGGATGAAGGTATGTGGGGCAATCCCAAAATACGAGTCCTTGTCAAGGGATCCACAATCCTAATCCCAAAGTCTGCACCCCCCAATTCCCAAATCGCCCTAGACCCTAAAATTGTAAACCTTGACACCCTAAACCCCGCTAAGAACCTCATAGTGCCCTTCACAAGACGCACCCTTCAAGGAACCTCTTGCACACCCTAAAACGAGGCCTTAAACCCCGAAGCCCTAAACCCCAAAACTCCTAAACCCTAAACTCCTAGACCCCTAAAACCTGGACTTCTAAACCCTAAACCCTAAACTCCTAAACCCTTAAACCCTAAACCCTAAACTTCTAAACCCCTAAGCCTTTAAAGCCCCAAACCAGAGACTCCAATGTCCCTTAAGTTAAGGAATATATCTTAAATCTTAGTAGGGATCCTGCTATAATTTAAGGCATATTCCTTAATTAAGGGATATTGGAGTCTCACCTTACACTATCCCCCAAACCCCCAAAACCCTAAACCCATTTTACTCCTAAACCTTAAACCCTACACCCATACGCCCTTTAAAACAAAACCCTATAGATCCCTTAGCCCGAAACTCCTAAACCCCTAAGCCTCTAAAGCCCCAAACCCGAGGACCTGGGGAGCCCACGATGCTCCAATCGACTTCCTCCTGAACTTCGACCTGAAACTCACCTCGGGACCCGTGCCGGAGAGAGCCGCTGAGACTGAGGTCGGAGTTTGGGATGTCAGAAATATTCGACATGTTTATTCATCTCATATTTTATGTTTAAGTGATACTACATGACATGACATTATATGTACAGTATTATATTGTTTCATATTCACATGTTGGGGGGGGTTGGGGGCCTTAGGAGCCTATGGTGCCTTAGGGGTTTAGGGATTCAGGCTTCAGAGGTTTAGAGTTCAGGTCAGATCCGGCTGGCCAGGTATGTTTCAAGGGGTCTTTTGCCAGGATGCCCAGTAGTACCCTTGTTCCCTTTTCGTAGTCCTAGGTTCCTTATAAAGTTACCCAATACCAAAAAGGGAGCCCTTTTTATTCCTAGGTTACTGGGCATCCTAGTTTGGGGTTCGTAAAAAAGGGAACTCTCCCAGGTACTATTGCTACCCGAGCCACGGCTGGCTGGCTATCCTCTGAGCTTGTGGACAGAGCGGAGGTGCTTTGTTCCAAGGATTTTGGGCTTTATGGTTCAGAGTTTGAGGGATTTTGGGTATCGGGTGCAAGCTAAGAAGTTTATACGTGCTTTTGGTTAGGGCCGAACCCTAAACCCTAAAGCGTCCTAGGCTTGGGATGCCCCCTTTTCTGCTACTGCTGGGATTTGGGGCTTCGAGGTTTGCCAAGTGTTGCTCGAACCCAAACTCCCCCCGGCCTCTGCTATCTGTTTAACAGTTTGATATACTGATATACTATATTATGCCATACTATAGTAAACTAGACTCGACTACACCATGCCATAACATGCCATACTATACTATGCTTTTACATAATCTTTGCCGACCTCGTAACCCTGCGCAAGCTTATTTTTTTGTCAACGGTTCTATGGTCCTCCTGTGTCCTACGTCCTAGGGCCCAGGCAGGCACCCCCTTAAGAGCAATCGTGAAGACGGCAGTTCCCCTAAAACTCCAGATACTGTTTGGGTTTACAAAGGATTTAGGAGATGCAGGGTTAAGGGGTATAGGATTACGGCTTAAGGGGTTTGGGGTTCAGGGTTGAGTGGTTTGGGGTTTGGGGTTGAGGAGTTCTCTCAAAGAGCTCTAAGCAGAGATCTGGTTTAAACAAAGATAGCGTTTAACGCCCTGCGCGATTTCGAACTTTCGTGATTCATGACTTATACTAAAATGGGCTTTGTAGTTTTGAATACCCCTCCCTAAACCCTACACACGGAGCCGTAAGCCCCAAACCACAAAGGCAAAGCAACAACTACATAGGGTGCGAACCCCAAAACCCCGAGCCCCCCCTACACTACCCCCTTAATTACAGGTGCCCAGGGAGCCCAAAGCCCCGAATTCAGGAATATTTCTTAAACTAAAGAGGGCGTAATCTCTATGATATAAGGTATGTACCATATTTGAGGGTTCTCGGGCTTGCTAAACCCTAAACTCTAAATTCTGGGGTTCTCCACTCAACCAGGCTGCGCCGCGCTGGCGTGCGGGTGCTCGAAGTCCCCTGGATTGAGCCACCCGAGTCCCGGCTTACTTAGGGCTTTGGGCCTTGAGGGGATCCTCTCAGGGATCCCTAAAAGGGCCCCTAAGGGATTTAGGGTTTAGGGATTTAGGGTCGAGGGTTGAGGGTTTAGGGGTAAAGGGTTCCTGTAAAGGGATTTATAGGATTCCGTAGAGGTTCCTGTGCTGGTTGCTTGGGGGGCCTCTCGGGCCTGTAGGCTTCGGGCTTATGCAAGTTTACCATGTGGGTGGTTGTCAATATTAGGCTCCCTTTTTGGGTCCGTACTATCATACGGCACCTAATATTTAGGGTGCCCCAACAAGGGACCATAATTTTGACAACCACCCATGTATACACACTCAGGAGGTGGAGGCTATGGGGGCGCTTCCTTTTAGAGCTTTAGGGCTTAGGGGTTTAGGCTTGCTGCCTTCAGGGTTCGAGTTTAGGATTACGGCTTCCAGTGTTACGGGTGCTTAGGTTTCATAACATCGGTGGGTTTAGGGTCCGAGCCCTGCAGCCTACATGCCCCAAAGCCCTAAACACAGCAGAAGCCCCCAGACTCCTTGCAAAAGGATCGAACCCTAAATCCTTAAACACCTAAACCCTAAGGCCCAAAAGCCCGGAAGCACCAAGAAAAGAGCAATAAGGCTGCTTTGAACGTCACAGCCGCCTTCCAAGGTTAGCCTTTGGGGCTAGGATACCCAGTCCCCAAAACCGTTTCAAAAACCCCGAATCAAAGTCATAAGTGGCCCTTACAGCCTTACAGCTAAACATAGCTAAACACTAGACCCCAAACCCTAAACCCCTAAACCCCAAACCCTGAACCCCCTTGGAGTCTGCAAAACCTGCACTGCCGGGTTTCGGAGGGTGGGCGGGTCGGACATGAGGAAGAACATGAGTTTTTTCGACCTGATGGTGTTTTGGTCGTGTAGGGATCCAGGTGTTTGAATCCTGGCGAGGCACAACCCCAGAACCTGTAAAGCAGCTTGGGGCCGTCGAGGTGCTCGAGTTTTCCAGCCGCTGAAGCACAAACGCTAAGCCGAACGGTTTGCAAGCCTTGACCATCAGGCTCAGAGTATCTTAGTAGCTGAGTTTATGAACTTTAAACTTTTTGGGATAATGAAACCCTCTTAAAACTGAAAGTTTAAACTTTTTTTGGCTTATGAACTCGGCACCTAAGGTATTTCTCAAGACGTAGTTCCTGAACTGCCCTGAACTCGGCATGCAGCCTTATTCTTATCGGTACCAAGCCTGTTCAAAATCTGAGTGCCCTGCCCAAAACCCTAACCCCTTTAAACCCCAAACTGCATTTAAAAAAAAAAAACAAACCCTAATAGCTGAACAAGGGAGTTGAGCCACCGAAGATGAGCTGTAGGTTTGAACGACCTTTGCAACCCCCACGATGGCACTTCTTCGGGTGGGTCCCCTTGACTTTAGGGTTTAGGGTTTAGGGGTTCAGGGTTTACGGGGTCCCCTGAAAGGCCAATTTGGGCAACCCCTCCTTAAGCCACCTACACCCTAGACCCTGATGCGCAAAAACCCACATGTTTCACGCCGTAAGCCCGAGGACTTGTCGCCCTCTGTGGCGGAGAGGAACAAGCAGAATCACTTCGGCAATCGCGAATACATCCGCCCCTCGGATTCCTGGATACTGATGCGAAGAGAGCAGTAACAGCCTTTCATTCATTATGGATGGTTGTCAAAATTACTTAGGGTCCCTTTTTGGGTCCGTATTATCATACGGCATCTAAGACTTAGGGTACCCAAAAGGGACCCTAGTTTTGACAGCCACCCATATATAAGACGTATGAGACTCATTGCAAGACCTGGTAAACATTTAGGAGTCCCAGTCCCTACCAGTGGAGAGTTTCTTGAGGAGGCTTCCTTGGAAAGCCTGTCCAAGGGTAAAAGGAGGGACCCTTAATTTTTTCCCCTTTGAGCCTGGTGTTTGTGAGCCTGGATTTTGCCCGCTTCGGTTCCGGATACAACATTGTTCTGAAGTGTGATGCGTTTAAAAACCCTAAACACTGTTTGGTCAGCAGAAAAGAGGATTACTTTTTCATTGGGGTTGCAAGGACCTCTCCACCATTCTAGGCATAGACACGCTGACGGGGTTTCTTGTCACCTTAGCCTGCAAGTGGGCAATGTAAGTAAGCTACCTACTGATTGAATCGCTGGAACCACCTTGTGAGGGACTTGTAACTTTACTTACATCGTCTCCCGATCCTCGAAGTTGTGTTTTAAGTTCTTGAGGTATTGCCTTTCGCAGCTTGCTAGGACGCTGGACAAGTAGAATATCCATCTTACAGTTCGGGGTTCTTCAGCTTGAGGGACGGAAGGCCTGCACGCGTTCAACTTGCAAGAGTACGACGTGATCGTGTACCTCGATCTGGACATTCGCCTCTTGACAGCCAGTGGAGGCTTTCTAATGTAGGAACCTGATTTACTGGGCCTATAATAGCCCCAAAATAGTATATAATTAGGATTCATATAAGGAGTCCGAATAAAGACCCAGGGTATTTTACTCGGGTTCGTACATCATTATAGTATAGTACCCTTCTGGATCCCTTATAGTAACCCGTATAGACCCATTTAAAGGAACCCTTATACAGGCCCAGGGTTTCTTAATCAGGTTCCCACATTAGGGGTATGTACAGGACCCGAGCCCTGAAAATGCGATAGCGTCGGCACGGACAGAACAGCATACCTGTAAACCCTAAAACCCCTTAATCCAAAAGCCTTTATTCTCTGAAGCTTTTGAACCATCCGAACCGCCTTCTCCAGGAGATATTCTGTTTTCGGACTCTGCAGATGGTAGAAAGGCGGTTTAAAAAACAACAACCCATCAGAAATTCAGAGCTCCCTCAACGCAGCCTATTCTAATTATTCAGGCCCCTACCATATAGAATATAGAACCCTATTACGTATAGATCCCTTATAGAACCCTTTAAGGATCCCTTTAAAGGAACCCCCTGTATTATCGATCCCTTATAGAACCCTTTAAGGATCCCCTTTAAAAGAACCCTGCCTCCGAACCTCGCAGAGATGCGCAGTGCGAGGCATCACCGGAGATCTGGGCGCGGCCTTCAACTGCGGTGTGGACCTCGGAGGTTTGGGGTTTAGTGGCTTAGAGTTTAGAGGGCTCCTTTTAAAGGGCTCTATAAGGATAACCAATGGTTACCATAAGGGTTTTGGGTTCAGCCGCCTAAGTAATTTCCAAGGGTTTAGAGGGTTGGGAGCTGAGGGCTTCGGTGTTTGGGGTTTAGGGGCTGGTCTTAAGGACTTAAGGACCCGAAATACGGGTTTGGGTCTTAAGGGTTTAGAGTTCAGGGTTTAGGGTTTTGAGTTTTGGTCTTAATTCGGGCTTGGGTCAAAAGGATTTAGGGCTCAGCTTTTTTTATTGAATTCGGTTTTGGGTTTTTTTACGGGTTCAGGGTTTAGGGTTTCGGGTTTGTTTTTTGGGAAGTGGGTTTACGCTTTTAGATCAGACCCCAACTGGTCCCGGAGCCCTAACGGCGAAAGCGTCGAAAGGCTTAAATCGAGGCTTTTAGGGTTTTAGGGTCTTTAGGGCTTTTAGGGCTTTTAGGGTTTTTGTGGTTTAGGTTCTAGGGTTTCAGGGCTGTTAGGGTTTTTAGGGCGTATAATCCGAGGGTCGCAATAATAGGGGGGGGGCCCGCCCCGCCCCCCAGCGGGTCCAGGGATTAGGGCGGTCACAATAATGGACAGTGGGGGGTCGCATTAATAGAATGATTGGGGGATTGGGGGGTGGGCTGTGAAGAGAAGAGCTGATGCAGTGATTTGGCTCTTGTGGTGGCACAACATGCAGACAGTGGCAGCATGGAGCAAAGAGCAGTGCAGCTGGTGCAGAAAGTAGTTAGCTGTCGCCGCATAGCCAATAAGGAATCCACTCTTTTGGCCTGCCTAAGATTTCTGGAAAAGCAAAGCTTTGGAATCCAACTGCAAGGGGCCCTCCTTTTCATGAAGCAGCAAGGACTCATGGACAGCATTGCTTCTAATCCAGGAATCGGCCCGGTATTTTTTTTTATTAATGTGAACCCTTTCATAAATCTGGCCCGGAGTGCTGGGAAGGGCCATTGTAAGGGGTAGCTCAGGAAGCAATGAAAATATGCCTTCTTGACTAAGCAAGCCAACAAGGAATCCATTCTTTTGGCCTGCTTAAGATTTCTGGAAAAGCAAAGCTTTGGAATCCAACTGCAAGGGGAACTCCTTTTCATGAAGCAGCAAGGACTCATGGACAGCATCGCTTCTAATCCAGGAATCGGCCTGGTATTTTTTTCATTAATGTGAACCCTTTCATAAATCTGGCCAGGAGTGCTGGGAAGGGCCATTGTAAGGGGTAGCTCAGGAAGCAATGAAAATATGCCTTCTTGAATAAGCAAGCCAATAAGGAATCCACTCTTTTGGCCTGCTTAAGATTTCTGGAAAAGCAAAGCTTTGGAATTCAACTGCAAGGCGAACTCCTTTTCATGAAGCAGCAAGGACTCATGGACAGCATCGCTTGTAATCAAGGAATCGGCCCGGAACCCTCTCATAAATCTGGCCTCTGAGCCCAGTCTTTACTACTTTACTGCAGCTACAGCCTTGTAGAGGCCCAGTTTTTACTGCTTTACTGCGGATACAGCCTTAGTAGAGGCCCAGTTTTGACTACTTTACTGCAGCTACAGCCTTAGTAGAGGCCAATCTTTTACTACTTTACTGCCAAACCTAGGCTTTCCGGAAAAGTTTCTTTAAATGTGAACTACAACGCCTACGTTATGGAACTCCTCTTCCGGACCCTACAGGCCCCCAAAAAGTTTCTTTAAATGTGACCCTTTTAATATTGAGACCCTCGGATTAGGGCGTATAGGGCTTTTAGGGCTTTTAGGGTTTTTAGGGTTTAGGTTCTATGGTTTCAGGGCTTTTAGGGTTGAGGGTTTTACGGTTTTTGATGATTAGGCTTTTCACTTCAGGGTTTAGGTTTCAGGGTTTAGGATTTTTTTAGGGGATAGGGTTTAGGGTATTCGGGTCTAGCCGATCCCCGGTGCATACCACGGAGCGTTCGACTGCAAGCTTACAATGTCACAAGACAGTGGAAGGAGGGTCCAGGCTTCATAAAGCTTTTCCGGGCCGCCAAGTACTGTCTGGGCTTCGGAGTACCATACTTTAGTACTTTCTTGGGGCCTGTTACTCAAAGGGAACCAATTATGAAATACAAGCCTATCATTTTTCTCCCTGCTTACTTCAAAGCCCAGTTATTGCTGGCTTTTTTGACGGTGGACTAGAGCATTGTTTTGTGCAAAGTCCTCGTGATTTTGCTGACAGCGTGGTGGTGTGCCTGGACGAGGCCCTTCGCTCGTGCCTGCTACAACTCGCCGTCTTTGTTGAAGGTGAGCGCTGGGATCGCATCTGCACGAGTGGTTTGGGCTTCCCCCGCAACTCAGCGGTTGCACCTGTAGAGTGCTCGGCAAGTGTCTGAGTCTATGCCATCATGCTGGCCCAACTCGGGGCCATCTGATTGGTTGTACGGAATCGTGAAGTCACCGCCGCCGCTGTCCACAGCTGCAGGAGGCAGTTGGACCGCAGGAATAAACCGCAGCTGTCCGAGAGAACACGGGCTGGATGTAGTGATGTCGGAAAGTCCCGACTCAGTGCAGACTGTGAAGCATTTCCCGTTTATATGTGCGGACCTGGACCTGCTCTCCCTTAACACTAACCCCGGACTTGAAGCAACCTGAGCTCGGGCCCCATCCAGGGTACTGCTACAATCTGCTACAAACTCTATGGCTCTTGCAACACATTCGAGCCTTGCACGCCGTTGCAACAAGCCTTGGCCAACAAGACAAGGCCATAAAAACCATTGAACTCGTTGTAATCCAGCCCTTCACACTTATAAGAACCTTTCTGAAGCCATGTTCTATTCAAGGCCAGCAGATGTTCCTTTCCACCGGGAGCAACTTCGCAGCTCTGGACGGCGGATTTTTTGCGGTGGCCGGGCCGGCAGTGAACTACTTTCGTTGGTATGAGACGTTGTGGTAAGAGGTGTAGATGTGGAACTGCTGTCAATTTCGTCGGAGCAGCAACAGTATCATTAAGCCGCTCACTCAAAGCCCACGCAGCACCAGCAAGAACTAGGGCTCTTGGCTATCGGGCAGGGTGCAAGTTCCACGGGAATTGGCACTTCAACCCCCAAACCCTAGGGCCCTAGACCCTGAAACCATTACTTCCTACTAGCGGACAGCTGCATCGAGACCGCTGAAGCAGCCCGGAACCCCCAGCTATCCGGTCATCTCAACACATAGAACAGAAGCGGAAGAGCTCGCAATCATCTAACGTATCTGTATTTTCCAAATACAGGTATACTACAGTATATCACCCACACGCCTGTTCTGGAGGCCCCAATACTGGAAAGTCAAGCTTGTCCCGAAAATAATTTTTTTCTGTTCCTTGCGAGGTCAAACCCAGCCGGGCACTCTTTGCAGCCTCTCGACATGTCGGCGCAGGGATTGAAGGGATCCTGCACGGACGCCAATGTCCTTGAATAGATGCAAATCCTTATAAGCTCGAAAGCTTGATGCCTAAACGCTCACGACCTACGCCCTGAAGCCTGAACCCTAAACCGTAAACCCTAAAAGCCGGGGTCCTAAATAAATGGCGTGAAACTAACTGACAGCTGATAGCATCAGGGGACTCAGTAAGCAGGCTTATACGTAGGACAGCTACTGGTAGAGTTGCAGTCACAAGTAGCCCCATGGTCATTACTTATAGCCTTTTTTGTTTGTCTTTGAGTGTTGCACACAATGTCTTGCACAAAGTGGGTCTCTGTGGGGTTGACACGGTACTTGTCCCGTTTTGATGCGAACTTCGTGCATGTTCTGTCTCGGCAGCTGAGGCAGGGTCTTCGGATCGTCCACTGTCTTGATACACTTACTGCATGATAGCAGTCCAATCCGGGAGGTGTGTCAGGTTGGGGGGTCTATGTCGTGATGCTGCTTAAGCCGGCTGTGCATCCCAAGGCAGCGCATGGCATTGGGTTGAACTGAGGGCTGACCCATCATCGAGTCTGGCAGTTGATACCAGGTGGGTAAGTGCATTTGTGTGGTTCCGGGTTCAGGGTTTTGTTTGGGCTTTAAGGTTGGAGTGTGGGTCTACGCCGGTGCTTGAGAAAGAACGCCTAATGATATGTGAGGAAGCAACACAGTAGCACAGGGAGATGCTCGGAAGCCGAAGTAATGCAAAAACAACCAGATGTTGTGACATGTGTCATCATAAACGATTCGATCTGGTCGTGGCACGAAGCCTGACAACATCGTAACCCTACATCCGAGTCTAACAAAGCCTAACCCAAGGCCATGCTGGATGTTCTGCAGACGGTCGAGTACGATCGGGAGACGGGTTGGAACAGGCACGAGGATATGCCTCGAGTCGGATTGCTATTCTAAGCTGCCGAAACCCTAAACCCAGAACCCCAGAAACCCTAGGTCGGCCCTCCTTACACTTTGCACACGCAACCCTACATCCTAAACCCCCCCCAAAAAAAAGGGATCCTAGGAAAAGAACACCTAGAAAGCAAATCCCGATCAACTGCCGATACAACCCAGCAAACAAAAGGGTCATAAACCCTGACTTATATACTAAGTCCCATGATCCTCCATTATAGAACCCTTATAGATCCCTTTAGAAGGTCCCCTTTAAGGAGCCCTATAGTACCCTTAAAAGAACTACTAAGTGTAGGCCCTGGAAGGTTGGGCCACGGTCGCAGCGTGGCTCTGGGCACCCACGAGGGGAATTACCCGGGGGGTCCCCAAGGCTGGTTTCGGGTGCAGTTTGGGGGTCTTTCAGGGGTTCCTTTAAGGGAGGGATCTATAAGGAGGGTTTATGAGGGCAGTTTGGGGGTCTTTCAGGGGTTCCTTTAAGGGATCTATTATGGTTTAGGGTTTATGAGGGCAGTTTGGGGTCTTTCAGGGGTTCCTTTAAGGGAGGGATCTATAAGGAGGGTTTATGAGGGCAGTTTGGGGGTCTTTCAGGGGTTCCTTTAAGGGATCTATTATGGTTTAGGGTTTATGAGGGCAGTTTGGGGTCTTTCAGGGGTTCCTTTAAGGGATCTATGAGGGTTTAGGGTTTATGAGGGCAGTTTGGGGTCTTTCAGGGGTTCCTTTAAGGGAGGGATCTATAAGGGTTTAGGGTTTATGAGGGCAGTTTGGGGGTCTATAAGGGGTTCCGTTAAGGGATCTATAAGGGTTTCAGGGTTTAGGGGGGTTTAGGGGGTTTGGGGGTTTACGGTTGAAGGTTTAAGGGTTTAGAGTTCGGGATTGGGTTCAGGGTTGGGTTGAGGGTTTAGCGTTTGGTGTTCGGGTTCAGAGTTTCGGATGAGTTTTAGGATGTGTTTTCGTATATTAGGAGGTTTCATCAGGGCTTTAGGAAGTTTGAGTGCTCACGTGCGCGACGTTTTAAGGTTTTATGTCTCAGAGCTTGGGTTTCACGGTCCCTAAACCCTAAACCCTAAACCCGGTTTGATGATCTGTGGTGGTTGCGGCTTGAAAAGTGCAGGTGCTCCGGTCTAGAGCATGCGGGCTGGTGGATTGATCTTAGGGGTACTTAGAAATAATTTTTAATTTTTGGTTATTATAATCCCTAAGAAACAGCTAAAACTATAATTTTTGCTTGGGTTCTAAGTTCAGTATAGTGATAAGTTCAGGGGTTGAGGATTTAGGACTGAGATGGGGTTTCCTGGTTTGGAATGATGCTTGATGTCTGAGGTGGTAGGTTTGAGTTGGGATTTCTTGTTTCCGTTCTGTTCGAGCAACCCTTCAAGGTGCGAAGCCCCTGATGATGAAGCCTGTGTCGCCTCATTGGGTCAGACTATAACCACACTCGTCTGCTGCGAGGCTTCCTGTACCACTTTTTCTACATGTCCGACCCGTTTGTGGCCAACGCCCTGGCTCGGCGCGGAGCTTCGGCAATGGGGAGTGCGCAGTTGGACCGATGCAGGTGGGATCTCAGGGCTCGCTGCTTACTATTACTACCATATTACCATCATATTACTACCACATAACTACTATGACTACCATTCTTCCATTCCCAAACCTAACCGAAGGTAAGGTAAGGGGTTTCGGTGTTGAGGGCTGACCTTAAAGCCCCCTACCAGAAGCCTTCAACCCCCATTCAAGGTTCCGCGGTGTGGGGGCTTCAGGTTTTGGTCCGAGGTTTGCCTTGCAGTATTGAAGTGGCCGCTCAAGCTGCAAAGATTCAAGTGCACGGGCAGATTGGAGGGGTGGTAGCGAGTGTACCGATGATGATGATGATGATGATGATGTTGATGGTGTTGTTTGTTATTCTGAGTGTTATCGTCTTTATGGAAATCATACATAGTATTGTTGGAGGTGCTGGTGGTGGTTGTCGTCGAAGTAGTCGTCGCAGTAATAGTAGTAGTAGTAGTAGTAGTAGTAGTAGTAGTAGTAGTAGTAGTAGTAGTAGTAGTAGTAGTAGTAGTAGTAGTAGTAGTGGTAGTGGTAGTGGTAGTGGTAGTGGTAGTGGTAGTCGTAGTCGTAGTCGTAGTCGTAGTCGTAGTCGTAGTCGTCGTAGTAGTAGTAGTAGTAGTAGTAGTAGGAGGAGGAGGAGGAGGAGGAGGAGGAGGAGGAGTAGTAGTAGGATCAGGAGTAGGAGTAGGAGTAGGAGTAGGAGTAGGAGTAGGAGTAGGAGTAGGAGTAGGAGTAGGAGTAGGAGTAGGAGCAGGAGCAGGAGCAGGAGTAGGAGTAGGAGTAGGAGGAGTAGGAGTAGTAGGAGTAGTAGGAGTAGTAGGAGTAGTAGGAGTAGTACGAGTAGTAGTAGTAGTAGTAGTAGTAGTAGTAGTAGTAGTAGTAGTAGTAGTAGTAGTAGTAGGAGTAGCAGTAGCAGTAGCAGTAGCAGTAGTAGTAGTAGTAGTAGTAGTAGTAGTAGTAGTAGTAGTAGTAGTAGCAGTAGTCGTGGTAGTAGTTGTTGTTGTCGTTGTCCAGTAGTACTGGTAGTACTAGTGTTGATTAGCATCGTACTGGTACTATAGTAGTAACTAGTAGCACTAGTAGTACTATTAGTACTAGTAGTACTCGGAGTACTAGTCTAGTAGTAGCAGTAGCAATAGTCTTGTTAGCATTACTCTGAGTATTGCAAACTCCATGCTACCATCCTTTCTATCTTTGGAACCAAGGAAAACACACCAGGCGGGATGAAGGTTTCTGAAGAGCTTAGACGCTGGCGACATGCGTTTCGACGGTTCACATTGATCTATTCTAAGTTGAACCTGTATTACAGGCAGCGTCACCATACGAATCGTACCAACCTAGTAAGTTAGAATACTGACCCTAACAAAGTTACGAACTAAACCTTATAAACCTACCACCCCTAAGCCCCAAACCGCTTAAAGGAACCCATATAGGAACCCTAACATGTAACCCTTAAACAAACCCTAAACCAGCTGCATTTTCAACATGCCGCACCCTCAGATGGAACTACGGAAGCCAGCATGGGGAGTTCTTCTGGAGGCTTCCGGGCCGGCTGAGGCTAAGGGTTAGGGCCTTTTAGGCTTTATGGCTTAGGATGTATTGTTTTTAAGGGTTCTTCTAAGGGTGTTGTCAAGATTCTTATCTGGATTTAGTTTAGGGTTTAGCGGTTCGACTGTGGGTGGTCAGCATAGGTGACCGACCCCCCTTACACCCAAAGCCCGACACTCTAATATCAGGGCCTATATACTTACCTCCAAACTTTTGGGGGCTCCTTATTACTATCTTACTATCTTATAATAAACCCCGAAACCCTAGTCTAACTATCAAGGCCCTATGTTAAACCCACAGCAGCACCCCCTCCCCCCCCAAACCTTAAGACAAAGACCGTCGTCCTGTCCGAATATCCGAAGACCTCTCACACTTTTCTCCCTGGAGTGTTCCGATTTGCTGTGTTGTTCAGGCATGGGCTCTCTTGGAGTATGTAGTTGCTGAGTAGTGCTTCGAGTATTGGAGGTGGACGACAAGTAGGAAGTAGGTGCTATTTCGCGAGGTACGTCGATGAAGAGAGCTTCTACCAGGCGATGCCTGCGGCCACCCGTCCACAGAGTATCCCTACCCCCAAAAGGTCCTAAATGCCTAAATCCCCAAGATCCAGGCTTTAGGGTTGCGGGTAAACTCTACTGGTCGAAAACCCTACACCCCGCTGAGCTTTACCGAACCTTTTGCCATTTAGATCAAGAACCGAGTCTTGTGCGCCAAACTCGGTTCCATCGTTGTGAAGAACTTCCTAAACCCAAAACCGCACAGAACTCTGTGAAGCCCTAGAACGCCCTACTGCTGAAGGACAAAACCCTGCGTTACCCATTATAAGGAATATACTATAGTTCCCATAGTTTAGAGTCCTTAGGGTCATGCAGGATTCTGTCCATCAACAGTATGAAACCCTAAACCCTAAACGTCCGGGGCGAAAGGCTTGGAATTTGGAGATCGGTCCTCGGCCCAAGCCCCCAAAATCGAAGCCTTAATATAGTCAAAAGGAGAAAAAGAGGGACCCTTAATGGGGACCCCTACCCTATAAGGGGCTATATATTGGGTATATGATAGCTTTGTTAAAGGTATATACCTAGGGGTCCTTATTAAGGGTCCCTCCTTCAACCCTTGGATATAGAGGTCTGAACAAGCAGCACACAGGGTTTACGGTTTAGGGTTGACGGTTCAGTCTAAGTGCACCCCCGTAGTTGCCACAGACATGTTCGAGAGTAGTAGACCTCAAACCTCGTTCTAAGTGTGAGGCCTCGGTATTGCCCTAAGCTACGACGCTGCACTCTGACCTTGTGAACTCACTCACAAACGAACCGTCGAAGGCCGAAACACGAAGCCAGTTCGTACTTTATGGAGTTTATGATGTTTTGGAGAGGTTGAGTGGTGTTGTGCGTTTCGCACGGGGCTGTTGTTTTCTACAATCCTCTTCACTAAAACGTTCGTGATCGTAGAGCTAGTTTAAAGTGTGTATCAGTCGGTTGTATAAAGAGTTCAGCATCCCGGCATTCAACAAGAAAGTTCGGCCCGAATCAACCTATGCTTGAGGTCCCTTAGGTAAGGCATATTGGAGTCTTCGGCAGCATCCCAAGAGAGGCGTGCAAACAAAACGGGTGTGGGGGGGGCTAAGTTCAGGTCATCGATATGTAAACATCCCAGGTCCTGAACCTTAAATCGGGGACAGGCATCCAGATTCCGGTTTTATATAAGCCGTTCACTCTGACTTCTGTGTAGCACGAGGAGTGGCGAGAAGAGGCAAAGCACTTCTTCGAGGATGCCTCGTGGCTGAATAGAAGACAGCCTGCGCGGCTGACTATGGTGTTTGTTGCTCTACATAAAACTGCATGCCGCCCTGCCCGTCCCCCGCTCCTCTCCTTCTTCTTACCGTCGTTCAAACGACTGACAGCAGTGGTCGCGACAGTAGCAGCCACAAGACTAACCAACCCAAAAGCATGATTGCAGCCGACGGCATATACAGCAATTGCCGAAGTTCATGCACAGGACGGCCGCAAGCGGGTGTACTTACCTCGGCAAAATGCCGACCCGGTGATGCAGACGATGCTTCTGCTGGTGGTGGCGATCACGACGACGAGCATGATGATGATGATGATGACAAAGAGGACGAGGATGAGCATGATGACGCTGACACGGTTGGTAGATAGCAATCCAGCGGCCTGTGCTTTTCGTGAGCCTGAGTCCCAGGCTGCTTAACCTAACCAGAAGCTTCCGGGTTGTCACAGGAGACATTTGTAAGCCATAATAATTCATAGTAAGCATAAACCCCCAAGCTGGCCCCAAACCCTAAACCCCTCAGGCTTACAGACGTAGTGTTTTGCGAGGTGGTGAACGCTAAACTCTAAACTAAACCCCAAGCCCGAAGCCCTAAGCGCCAGACCCTCGCCGTTTGCGTTTTGCGAGGTGGGCGAGTGGACCTTTCCCTGCGATTTCACTCTGGAGCCTCCTGCGGCTGGGCCAGAATGGCTGTGCTTGGAGTACCATACGGTTTAAGGTTTACGGGTTTAGGGTTTAGGGTATGATGGAGTACCATACTTCAATGACACTATATTGGTTCGACAAGCGTCCTATACGGGTTCTATGAGGGGTTTGGAGTACCATACTCTTATATATTTTTGTGGACCAGTTCCTTGAAGGAGCCACTATGAAGTAAACGCCTATACTTGTTCAAGGGCCAGAATAATATAATGATTGTAAGGAACCCCCAAATAGCAGTTATTGGCAACTATTGAGGCCCCCATACTAGCTCAAAGCTCCTTAGAGAATGGCTGTAGGCGCAGTTAGGGTCAGAGCCTAGGCTTAGGGTTCGAGCTGCCGTTCGGTTTGGGGTTTAGGGTTTCAGTAGGGTTTAGGCTATGGGGTTGTGGGTTTTTGGGGGGGATTTAGGGTTGAAGGCTTTGGGTTCAGGGTTTGAGGTTTGAGTTTGGCCCAGTCAAGGCTGCATGATTGCGGCTGAGGGCTGAGCGAGAAGATTCAATGTTTCATGCAGTACAGGGGCGTTAACAATTGCCTATACTGTTTTGAGGGTTGCTTATTATAGTTATAGTACAATGAACGCCAAAACCCTGTTCTAGCTATTAAGGCCTTTACATTAGTGGGTTCTTCGGGCGTTTGGTTTCGGGGTCACGGTCTTACGTGGGGGTTCATGGGTAGTTTTAAGTGGGATTATAAGTCCCCGAATATGGGTTATAATTGTGGTTACCCTACTTAACACCGCTTGTTACTACCCATGGACCGTGTTTCAATTTCGTGTGGATCTTCACGCTTTTAGAGTTCAAGCTTCTCCGGGCCAGCTTTCACGGCTTGTCTCGGGGTTTAGGGTTAAGGGGTTTAGGGGTTTGGGGTTTAGGAGTTTATTGTTTAGTGGTTCAGCGTTTCAGGGGTCTAGGGTTTAGGGCTTAGAGGTTCAGGGTCTTGTGCCCGGAGCCCGCGAAATCTCTTCCCGATGCCAGCTCAACCCGCAGAACCCACCGAACCCAACCCTGCTGCAATAGAAGCCAAAATGCCGAACCCTTATTATCGCCAGGCCTTTAATCAGGTTCCTCAGTAGTACCCTGTTGTCCTTCTTATTTTGAGGTCTCGTTGTTAAAACTGACAAGGTGTCCTTATGCGGCTAAAGGTAATGTCAATCAAGTAATCATAGGAACTCACAGCACTAGCCGTCTTAGTCGATGGTTCATCCTTCTGGCTTCTGCTTATTCCAGGTTTTCAGAATTTCGTCAATTTTTTGCGATTTAGTTTGTGGTTGAGGGCTGTGTGGTTCAGGTGGTCTAGTTCAGGGTTTAAGTCTTGAGTCTTTCAGGGCTCAAGGTCCAAGGAGGCGTCCTTGGTTCACAGAAGGATATGCAAAGTGGCTTAAGTTCACGGTCTGTCACCACTATGCGTCATCCCTTCGCCGAGAAGGCAGAGAATTCCGACCTTGTCCTGATTGTTGTCGCCAGGCTCAACACCCTAAACCCTCAAACGTACTTGGAGGAGCATGGGACTTAGTAAGTAAGGTTACAAGTACCTTACTTGGGGGTTATAAGTATAGTTACCCTAATAAGAACCTTAGTTACTAAGTCGCATGATCCTTTAAGTAGTCCTTCTCCCGCAGATGGGTTGCGATTGGGATTTCCTGCGCGTGTCCCCCGCTGTTAGACTCTCTGTACTTCACAACTTGGCCTTTGCCTGACCAAGGCTTCTAACCCTTGAATCCTCCCTACCCTTAACCAGAAGACCCTTCAGGTCATCGTGCATCACACAGATGATGCTATGGACAGCTACCTAAGCTCCTGGCCTGAATCTGCACATGAAGTGAGGTTTATGTGAGGGCCTTCTTGTGTATCGGGCTCTCTCTCGATTGAGTTGGCGACAGCATATGTTGGATGTTGTTATGGGGAGAGCATACAGTAACATGACATGAAGCTACTTCACATGATGTTCAAGGCGGAGCCCGAGGTCTGAACAAACTACAAAAATTTGGTTTGTCGACCCAGCATCTTCAGGTGCCTGACAAACCTTGCAATCAGCATGGTGTGTAGTTCCGGGGTTCGGGGTTTCGGATTCAGGGCAAAACCAAGAAGCTTCTGCGTCTGGACTTAGAAGCTGCCCCCACCCTGTAATAGTGACTATAAGGATGATATTCGGGCCCTATTGTATTCCTATTATACCACTATTACAGGGTGGGGGCCCCTTCTAAGTCTGGACTGTCGTTCCTCGCCTGAAGCACTGAGGCTACATAAACAGCAAGAATGCCACCAAGCCGAGATGACGCGCTGTCACTCCATGTGCGCATTGTGATTACCCACGTTGGAGCTTCAGACAAAAAGGGGACGGCTGAGCTCTTTAGTGTTAGGGGCCTTATGCAGCAATGGACCTGTGCTTTCCGGCAGCCATTCGGCCAGTTCATCCTCAAACACGGAAGAAATGTGGGGGTTTAACTGGTGCTGCATGAGGAATGCCTGCACCCGTCCCATAAGATTTGCTGAAGCACGAAATCCACCCTCCGGCTACTGACAGCATTTTATTGTAATGTACGGTGATGTTCCATCATACTTTTTATGGTATATGCTAACACTATCACCATCATATTTTCATGGTAAATGCTAATAGTATAATCGCTTAGAACTTGGAGAGGTGTCCTGAGGCCCCTCAAAGCCAACCCCCCCCAAGGCTCAGAATCGAAGCTTTTAGCCCCCAGCCTCCGGCTGAGAACCTGAAGACGTTTGTAAACTCAGAGGGCGACCTGTCTTATGATTTAGGGGTTTAGGGTTCAGGGGAAGCCCAGCAAAGTTTCAGTTTTTAGGGTGCAGGGCCTGGGGGAATTAGCAATCGAAACCTTCGGCCTGATCAGCGGCGGCATGAAGCGCATCCAGCATTTGTCGGCCCACTTGCTGCCCAACGCGGAGCAGGCGTGCAGGGTCCTTGGGGTCTTAGGGCTCGGGGGTTTTAGGGTGCAAACCCTGAATCCCCCAACTCTGCATGCCCTGACCCTGGGGGGCATCAAAAAAGCCCCAAAGCCTTACATAGTATGGTCCTAAAGGCCTTAATATATGAGTCCTTAGATGCCTAGGGTGAATTATAAATTGGAACAGTGTTTCCGGCTTTGGTCTTTAGCGGTTTTGGGGGGCTTTGGAGGAGCCACTAGGCCAGAAAACTTGGGGGCTGCAAGTGTTGTGCATTCGGCGTCCATGTTAGGCCAGGCTTTCAAGGGGAATTCAAAAATCCTAAACCCTAAACCCTAAACTCAAGGCCTAGGCCACCCACCTCCGTGGGTGGGCGGTGCTTAATGCCCCTCGACCTCGATGGCGCAGAGCGACCCAATACGCTTGCCCGCCTTTCCACAGCGGTGGCACCCACGATAGGCCCGGTACCGAAAAGGGACCCCCGCACAGAGACCTGCAGCGAGCAGAGTTCCAGGACCTAGGGGCCTCTGGCCCCCCCTTGGCCCTTGGGCCCGCTGCCCTGCCCTGCTGCCCTGCCTCCTCCCGCCCTCTGGTCTGCGGCTGCAGGAATAAAGAAAACCATAGAACCAGTTTAGGGGCTAAACCCTTAAAGGAATTGGTTTGGGTGGTTTGGCCGCCTTAGACGGCGTGGGGTGGGAGAGTTAAAAGAAAGCGCCATCCACAATCAGGCTCCAACAACCAATCGTCAGAAGACGACGCACTCGAAATTACACTGTCGCGAGATACTTCCGCTTATGCGCCACTCTACGGCAAACCCTAAACCCTAAGCCCTAAACCCCTAAACCCTAAACCCTAACCCCTGGACATTTTGCCTAGGGATGCTTCTTTGGCGTGCAGGGTTTCGAGTCTTTGGGTGTATTTCCGCGCACACGGGTCGGGGATGTCGAAACATGGCTTTAGGGTTTAGGGGTTTAGGGTTTAGGGGGGGTCTAGGGTATAGGGTGTGCCGAGCACACTTCCGTGCTAGCTGTGTTTTTGTCAGGGGAAGGGGAGGCAATCGGCGGGCGTCCGATATCTTCAGAACAAACGTGTTCCGTCACGAACGTGGAGCTCTACATTTTCCCACCCCAAGAGGCCACCCAGAGCTTTTGTACTGAGCTTAAGTTCTTAAGCGTACTTACGACCCAGTAATTATTGTTGGCATGTCCACATATTCAAATATTATATGGACACGACTGTCCTTGATATGATAAAGAAGACTTGTACACAGACAAGCACTTACCTGTAAATGGCTGTAATTATGTACCATAGTTACCATTTACTTCTAGGTAAACTAGAAAATCAATTGTTTACTTCCCGTACAGTTGTGGTAGGCTCCTGTACGCGAGAAGGCACAAACTGAGCATTCAAGTTTAAGCTTTTGAGCGAAGGACAGAGTTTAGGGATTGGGATAGCGGCTAAGAGCAGCCACACGAAAAGAAAGGAGGGGACCTCGAGATTAGCACCTGGCCCGCATTAGAATGCACATTTTATGAACAGAATTTGTCACTCCAAAATCAGCACCAATTTTCCAAATTTCCGGAGGCCAGGCAGAGTTTAGAGCAGCCCCACGAAAAGCACGGCCTTGTTTTGCTGCAGAATGTGGCCTGAACTGCTTTGGGCTCACATGGACACCGGATGGTTCAAAGCAGCCACACGAAAAGAACGGCCCTGTTTTGCTGCAGAATGTGGCCCCGACCAGCTTGGGCACACACGAGCACTCTAGGAAAAACAGGGTTTAAGAGCGGGCGGTTTAGGGAGAGAAATAGTATGTAGATTGATATATTATGGACAGTACTGTCCGTGTAAAATGAAGGAAGACTTGTACACAGACAAGCACTTACCTCTAAATGGCTGTAATTATTTACCATAATTACCATTTACCTCTAGGTCAGACAAGAAAGTCATTTGTTTACTTCCCGTACGGTTGTGGTACGCTCCTGTACGCGAGAAGGCAAAAGCTGAGCATTCAGGCTTAAGCTTTTCAGTTTAGTAGTCGTGCGCAGACTTCAGATGGCCTTAGTTAATGTAGATTTTTCAAGTATCCGAAGATCATGCGAGGAAAGTTGCTTGGAATTTCGTTCCCTTGAACCGCTAGATTCAGTCAGAGGAATGTCCACGATGCTGCGCCACAATCTTCTGAGCCTACATGCAGCAAAACAAAACTGCTCGAAACCAATGGCCCTTCACCCACTTGAAACTACTTACGAAGGGCAGCGCGATGTCCCGCTCTGGAAAAATGGAAAATAATGTCCTCAAGGCCACAACGCCATCCATGTCGAACGGAGGTTCCGTTTTGGGGGGTTTAGAGCTTTAAGGTTTAGAGCTTTCAGATGTGGTTGTTTTTATGTAGTGATGTATTATCAGAACATATGACCAAGTATGCACGCGAGTTGAATTAAGCCTCGTTAATCTCGTTATACTAAGCCTCCTTTTAAAGCCTATACTCAACCCTAATTTCAACTCAAGGAAACCCTTTAAGACCCCTATAGAGCCATCCCTGCAACCCTAGAGCCTGAACATTTGGACCTTCTGACTGTAGTACCAGCGCTGCAGGTGGAAAACGGAGCCTTAAAAAAGAAACTGAACCTTAAACCCTGAACCCTAAGCCCTATCCTACATAAAACAACGGAGATCAAGATTGCGGAGCACTGCAGGCCACGGAACAATTGTCTGCCTCGGCCTGCGCCGCGAACACACCCAAAAAGGCCGGTGGACGTAGGGCTGGGGGCTTTTACCAGGACCCCCCAAGGGCCCTGTAGTAGAGTCCTTATGGCATTGGATTGTGGGTATTTGGGGCATATTAGTGGATGTAGAGCTTGGGCTTTCAGGGGTTGGTGTCTGAGGTCTTAGGGCTTGGCGGCGGGGGTGGGGTTTCGGGAGCTGATAAACATTTAGGGTCTCAGGTCCAGGCAGGGTTAAGAGTTTTCCATGTCGCTAGACGACGATAAACTAGGATCCCGAGTAGTACCCTTATTCCCTTTTTGTAGTCCTAGGTTCCTTAAAGATTTACCCAATACCAAAAAGGGAGCCCTTTTTATTCCTAGGTTACTGGGCATCCTTCTTGGAGGATCATGGGGCTTAGTAAATAAGGTTATAAGTACCTGAAATTGGGGTTATAGGTATAGTTACCCTATAATTATATCCTTAGTTACTAAGTCCCATGATCCTTTCAGTAGACCCTATATATCCCCTCTTATAATAGAACCCCTATAGATCCCCTTTCAAGGAGCCGTTTAAAGTATATCCTAGTAAAGGTTACAGCAGCAACGCTCTGAACCCTCAGCCTTCAGACCTTTGTCATAGTTGGGTAACATTTTACATGTTTATGGGGACTTAAACCCAATAAGGAATAGAAATGTACATGTTTTTATCCTATCCCAACGATGAACTAGAGACAAGGACGGCTGATCTGACCGAGCTCAGCTATGTCAAGCCTCTGGACCCAAGGTTTGAACGCTGGCTCCCCCATCGTCTTTCAGAAGTTCCTATGGTTTTCCAGGGGTTCTATAAGATAGTTATAGTAAGTAGCCGGAAAGAAGGCAGGTTACATACCTGCTAGTAGAGAAGGTGACCTGTCATTCAGTTCGCCTCGGATACTGGACAAGTAAGCCCCTAAAAGCTAGACCGTGCAACACTGTAGATAAACGGAGGGGCCGAACTGTCAATGCCAGCTGCCCGTCCTGAAGCTGGAACCTGATCCAGGAGCTGCAGCCCGCGCTTCGCAGTTAGAGCAAAGAAGCTTCTTAAAGGATCATGGGAGTTAGTAACTAGGGTTATGATTAGAGTAGCTATACTGTCTATACTTATAACCCCAATCAAGGTACCCATAACTTATAACCTTACTTACTACGTCCCATGATCCTCCAAGTAGGGTACGGGGTTCGGGTTGACGACGAGAAGGAAGCTTAGGGTGAATGCGTTCAATTGTTTAGGGCCAGGGAAATGGTGTCCTTGGTCCAGAGGCTTGGGGCAACCATCATACAGGCCAATACTTGAAGGTTCATGGGTAGTTATAAATGCGGTTATAAGTCACTTATAACTCTCCATGAACCTCTAAGTATTCGACCCTTCATTGCCAAACCCTTCTGAAACATCTTTCCTCAGCGTGGCGAGAGGTCTGGTATGCACCATACAAGTTCGAGGCATACGGCGAGGAGGACGCAGAGCATGGGTCACTTCGAAGGGTGGAAGGGGTTTACGGTTCAGAGTTCAGGGCTAGTCGTGCAAGACTGCACATGACTACGTGTCTGAGTGGCCTCATGTGTAGCGCAGTAATTGCCCAACATACATCGCGGATTTAAACCGTAAGACCGAAAACGCAAAGCACCTCAACCCAAAACCTGCAAAACCCCGAGAGCCTTAAACCCGGCAACGCCAAGAGCTCACAGAGACATGGAATTCATTGATCACGACTCCGGGGCTTTGGGCCTCGGAGGATTTCTGTCAAGGTTCTACGGGGTGGTTGTAAGGGGTTTAGGGCTTTGGGGGCTTATAGAGTTTAGTTCAATATTCCTGAGTTTAAACCCCATTCTTACAGGTTCCCATCACTGTCGTCACTGAAAGGATCATGGGACTTAGCAACTAGGGTTGTAACTATAGTTATAGCCTCAATTAAGCTACTTAGAACCTTATACTTACTAAGTCCCACGACCCTCCAAGCAGGGGGCGGTAATTCCTGAACTGAGGGATGGTGGAGATCGATGTAAGTCCAGGCTTTGCGGCTTCAGGGCTTGCAGGAATTCGGGCTGTCGGGGTCTTCCCCCCCCACCCTCAAAATAACCCTAAACCATCCTAAACTCTTACTTGTGTATTGCTTCGACTCCATGCCGAAAAGCTTGCGAAAGCCAGGGAGGCTCTCAGAGAGCCCGATACCCCCCAATGAAGGAACATACCTTAAAAGATAAGGGCTTAGTATTATGGTATTGCCTCAAAAGATCAGGGGCTTAGTATTATGGTTTTACCTTAAAAGATAAGGGGGCTTAGTACTACGGTTTTACCTTCAAAGATAAGTTGCTTCATATTATGATTTAAGGCAGATATCTAAGGTTGGGGGTAGTGGGCTCTCTTCCACAGCGAAGGATGACGCCCTTGAAACAACTAAGCTTAGGAACAGGCAGAAGACCTGCGGCACCAGAGCTAGGAAGTGGCTCCTCCGCCACCAAGCTATCCAGATACTCATCAAAATCTTCAAGGCTTCCAGAATCAAAAGCAAGGGGAGGGCTCGGCGGAAACCTGGGCCTCCTGGCAGACTCAAAACCCAAATCCAGAGAACCACCAGTTCCTTCATCATTCCGAGTCTCATCGCCCTCACCCCCAACACGCGAGGAAGGCAAGGAATGCATCACAGATAGTAAGCCCGCTGCAAGCGGAGCCATATGAAATCCGGCAAACCTCTTTATCAGTCCTTCGAGTAAACCCTAAACCCTAAAATGATTATGTATCAGTGAAACATAGGCCCCAACCCCCTGGCTCTTCCACACTTGTAACAGCAGTCAGACAAGGAGCCGCCCCAACAAAGAAGCCTACTTGAAGGTTCGTGTGTAGGTATAAGTGGGGCTATAATCAGGGCAGCCATAATTATAACCCATATTATGGGACTTATGACCCTACTTATCACTACCCTAAAACCCTAAACCCTATAGAACCCTTAAAAGACCCTTAAACCCCAAACCCTATAGAACCCTGAAAAGAACCCTAAACCCCACTTGTAACTACCCATGAACCTCCAATAGTCCTTCGAGGAGATCGCTGCAGTGACGTCAGCCCTCAGGGACGGATGGCTAGCACCGGGCCCCCGACCATTGGCCGCAAAGGTCTCCGTTTAGGCTTTGGGTTTAGGGTTTAAGGCTTTGGGGCTTTGAGGTTTAGGATTTAGGGTTTAGGTTTTAGGGTTTAGGAGGTTTAGGATTTGGGGTTTTAAGTTCAAGGATTTAGGGTTCGGGCTTTTGGGTTTAGGTTTTAGGGGTTTAGGGTTTAGGGCTTATGGGTTTAGGGTTTAGGCTTTGGCGTTCCTGTAAAGCATCTCTCATGGTTACTATATGGATTCTACAATGGTTGCTATACGGGTTGTAAAACGGTTACTATATATGGGTTCTGCAATGGTTACTATATTGGTGATTATATATGGGTTCTACAATGGTTACTATCAGGGTTCTAAAATGGTTGCTATGTGGGTTCTGGCCCCTACGTTTTCCAGTTTAGGCTTTCCGGGTTCAAGCTTCGGGTTTCAGGTTAAGCGTTTGGGGGTTCAGGGTTTCGTGTTCCAGGTGTAGGGTTAGGGTTCAAGTTTAAGCTTAAGGCATCGGCATCACAGTTGGGGATTTAGAACTTGAGGCTTCTTTTGGTGAAGGTTTCTGCTCAGGGTTTGGGGTCTAAGGTTTCTGAAGGGTTTAGCGTGTGATGGCTCGGATGTAATCCCTGCGGGACGCAGAGTGTGCAGCTGCTGAATTCTGGTCCACTTGGGGTATAGTAAGTGTATAGGGCCTGGGGTCTAGGGGTAGTGCAGGGCTTCGGCTATTCGGCTGCAGGGGTGAAGGGTTTGGCGGTTCAGAGTTTGCGCTCTGGGCGTTTTCGGGTGTTGGCTGCTGCTGCTGGTGCTGCTGCTGCTGCTGCGGCTCCTCCTCCTCCCACCCTCCAGCATGTGAGTCGACTGTACGATCTGACTGGTGTGGCTGCACAGCCGTTCAGGACAACGTGATCCTTTGGTAGCTTTAGGATTAGGCTCCCGAGGCACGGAACCACAGCGGGGTTTGGCAGGTGTTGCTCATGAATCTGGACCACACAAACTCCAAGCTGTCCCTGTGCATGTTGCCACGTTTCTGTCCATCAACTTGCTTGAAGCAAACGCCAGACAATCAGAGTCAAGCGGTGCGCACCGACTGAACCGAAGCGAAGTGGGTTCGTACGATTCAAGGATAGCGAACATCAAACCATATTCCAAGCACTTGTTCCAGCCTAAGGAAGACTTCTGAGGATGGCGTTTGGAAAGTTTCACGGAAACGCCAATCTGTCCGTGACGCTGTAGTAGTTGCGAAGGGCTGATTCGAACTTGCTACATGGTTGTTCATATTCCCACCTGAAATTAAAGGTTTAAGGCTCCTGGTAAAGTTGTCCAGAGCAGTTGTTGTTCATGGCTGCGTTCTTACACTGCAGAACTTTTGCTGCTTCTGCTTTACCAATGCCGAACCGAAGGCCTATGAAAAGTACATGCGCGCCAACACACCTTATATTATACAACCCGAGGGAATGCAATTGGAATAGAAACCATGTAGGGCAAGATAAGATAACACGTATTCGAAACGTGTGTTTTGGCTTTGTTCTTCCAGACAAACCTAGAGCTTCAGAGGGGAAGGCTGTAATGTGGTGGTGATTGTTAAGTAGATGAAGAATTGAACATGACGTCCGTAGACCTTACACGGGCCCTTGCAGTTGAGATCCCGCAACTGTCAGGACTGTTCGTAGGCGGGCTAATTTTTGGGCATACAAATACACTGCAAGCGATGCAAGCGCTCATGAGCAGATCATGTCTCTGCGGGAACCGATATTAAGGTGAAAAGTACGATCGGCATGTATTTCCTTCGACATGTACTCACTTATGCCATCTGCCATTCTTCAAAGCAGTTGCGGTGATGGTTACCCTAGCACGGGAAGCACTGGCAAAACCTTTTTGCTGGAGGTTCATTGTCGGGAAGCGGTATCACGCAAATGATGCGACCTGTATGTCGCATGCGCATGCGAAACGTGCCAGCTATATCCATTGGCAAAAAAACTGGAGTAGAAGTTGGTCGTGTGTAGCCTCAGGCTGTGTAGCCGTTGATTGCACAACGGCTTGCCGCGCCCTCACATTCATGTGGAGATGTTGCCTTTCGCCCACAGATCATCGGCAGACTTACGCAAAGGTTGCCCAATGGTTCGGATTTGTTGGTGTTTGGTGTCTGCTTTCCCGAAGACAGCAAACCCCGGCAAAGCGTGCCTTGTGAAGCCCAGCTTGTCACCAGGCACAGAGGAGTTCGAGCGTCGCGTCTGCCAACTGTTCGGCCTCTTGATGAGTTTTAGCAGAGTTCATGTTCTCGATTGAAAGGTATGGAAATGATGAACATAAACTTGAATGACTTGAAAAGTTCAGACTCATGTTTTTGCATGTGTCCTGCAGCTGTCGCTCCGGTGATTGACCCTGCCATTGCGTAGGTGTGACATCAGTTCATCGTTTCCACGTCCCAAGCCCTTGAACTTCATTTTCGGGACCGGCTCGACCGTAGCCTTTTGTAGCATACTTAGGATGAGACAAAGTGTGATTCTGAGTGCTACCCCTGACGTGTTACCCCGTCGTGCCGTTTGAGGGCAGGGTTTTGGGCTTTGAAGGTAAGCAACCTCGTGGGGTTGTCGGGCTGACCGTGTCCTGTACGATCCGTTTATTCTATGGGATCTCCTTAGGCCCTAGGCAAGCAGCCTGTTGCAGGGCTTCGCGCCAGATACTTTTTCTCATTCCTCGGACCTCTATTGCGGGAGCTCTGGTTTCATTGAGTTGCACGAGTTCGCAGTGGCAGACAGTCTGTGAGGATGGCTTTTTCCAGCAAAGAAGGACCTTCACAGAAACAGGGAGGTCCCTGCTGCAACGACACCCAGTGTGGGAAACCTCTGTCGAGCCCAACGCTTAACGCTAAAATTACATGCAATGACCCTGCACTCGTAAGAGCCCTTTACAAGCACTGTGAGAACCCAAAAACACACATCCTTGGGTCGAACCTGATGGACCCAAATCCCTAGCCCCGGCTTGAGGTAAGGCGCACGGCATCATGGTGAACTCTGGTAGCTCTGCCGCTCACCTGAGCTGGGGGCTTCTTGAGGGATTACGGCATGGGGCTTAGAGTGGAGTCTCTGGATGTCGAGCTTGTTAATGTGGGCTTTGGTGCGTGGTTGTCTCGAGCCCTGGACACAAAGCTGATGCAAGCCATCGGCGCTGCTCTAGAATTTAAGATTTAGGGATTTATGGTTCAATGGTTTGGATTTTGCGGTGCATGCGGGACTGCTAATCATGTCTTTCGGAGGAAGTTGTGGGTGTCAAACCCTGGGACTTCGCAATGTAAGGTCACAAGTACATCATTCGGATTTGAAGCTTCTCTTAAGGTACTGCTGATGGACAAAATCCTGCATTACCCTAAGGACTCTAAACTATGGGAACTATGGTATATTCCTTATAATATGTAATGCAAGATTTTATCCATCAACAGTATGTACGAGATTAACAGTTACCGTGACCCCCCCCAGCGGCCCCAGGGTTAAGGGTTCCAGGATCCTTCGCCTTGGCACAAGGTCTGAGGGCGTGTGGGCCGAACGCCCAAACCTTGTAGAGGTTTAGGGTTCAGGGTTTTGGGGTTTAGGGTTTAGGTATTGTTTTGGGGTTTAGGGTTTAGGTGTGCAGGAAGGGTAGAAGAATTTGATCCTGAGTTCGTGCTGTTGCGTGGTTGGGAGCGATATCTGAGAGCACCACCAACCTGCAGCGCAGAACACTTGGGGGTTTCCGAGAACAGGGGACCCTAATATAGTACCCTAAACAGTAGGATCCTTATAATAGGGACCCCCAAATAAGATACCCCTGATTTTCGGAAACTCCCACTTCGACAGGCTGCTGAAGCCTAAACTGCAAGCTTTGATCCCAAGACCCCAATTAAGGCCCAAAGCTGGTGTGCCTTAGGAGTCATTTGTCTTGTCATTGTTTGCTATGCATTTAAACCCAACGGCTTCTTGAACTATGAGTCTAATCTAAGCTTTTGTTTTAAGCCCAGACCTAAGTACCCGAATTGAAAACCCTGCACCCCTTGGTCGGGAGCTGGCGCGACTCGTAGTAAATGTTTTGGTTTGCTTTGTTGCTGAGGCCGTCTAGTTGGAGGTTCATGGGTGGTTGTATGGGGGCTATAAGTAGGGTAACCATAATTAGAACCCATATGGGAGTTTGCGAAAATAGGGGATCCCAAGACAGTACTTTAAATAGTAGGATCCTTACTATAAGGACCCCCAAATACGGTGCCCCTAATTTTCGGAAACTCCCATACTAGGGGACTTGTAACCCCGCTTCTAACTACCCATGAACCTCCAAGCATGCTCAGGTTAGCTTTGTTGCAGAGGCCGTAGTGTTTGTAGTTTAGGGTTTAGGGAGGTTTGGGGATATTGAGATTTACTCTCACATCGGGGCTTGCTTTGCCAAGTCGAAGAGGTTGTGGTGCATGGTAATTAAGGCCCCTGGACCCGTAAATCCTGAACCATACTCCGAACACTTGATCATACCCCTGAGAACGACGATTAGACCAGTCTTGTGAAGTGCATCATTCTGTTTCCGAGGCAGCAAAAAGCTCGAAGAACCCACAAAAACCCTAGTTGATATGGCGGCCACCGCCACTTTATCATATACTGTACCCCGCGACAGTAGTCAAATTCTTCGGGCCCCCTATACAGGCTAAGTGCATCTTTACCTTCCCGAAGCCCGAACCCTCAGGGCAACATCATCGGGCTGGCCGCTTTGGGTCTCGAGAAAGGCCAGAATAGGGAAACCCTGGTCGATCAAAGGCTTCGGATTGTAATGCAAGGTTGCGATATCATAGGTTTAGAAAGCGTCTATACGGCTGTATAAGGGGCTGCCTGGTTTGGTTTGCCATGGGTCTTCCATGTCGGTTTGCATCAGGGCCTTACGCTTCGGGAATTTTTGTTCAGATTGAGCTGCATAGTGCTTGCTGCCTCGCGCTCTTGCAGTCCAATGCCCGCTTCGACGATGGATCGCGGGCTTCGAGCCAAAATTGTTGTTGAACGTGTGGTTTGTTTTGATATGCTGGAGGTCGAAAGGGACGAGCTAGAATTGAAAAGTCACCGACTCGCGCCCTGCTGATTCGTCTACAGGGAGGCCAGCTTTCTCTAGACCAGGACACATGATTTGTTTTTGTCAACGTCTTGGTGACCTCACGTCGGCCCACCTTCAAGCACCTGAAAATGGGCACCTCTAACAAAGTGTGTTGCAGGGCACCTGTCAGCTTTAAGCTGCTCGGGGGGTCAGAGTTCGGGCTGGGGAGTTGCACGTTGGGTACACCCCCGGAAAGCTTCTCTGAGAGAGCCCGGTGAATTCCAAATTCGACCGGGGCCCATTATCTTGTTGGACATACCACAGCGGTTATGCGGATTAAGCGGAGTCGCCGCAGGACAAGTAGGCAGGATAGCGCAAACAAACATGAACCGTAGCCAAAGTCTGGCCATCATCCAGGTGACGAAGTCATCACGCCTGCCTGTCCGCTTGGCAGCACTGAGCGAGGTTTCAGGTCGAAGAAGCTTAGAATCCCAAGCCGACACGAAAGCTTGCTCGTCGTAGGGTGCATGGGCTCGGAGTTGTTCTGGCTTGGGATTTAGAATGCATAGGAGCCTTTAGTAGAGCCACTGTGTGTAACTAAAGTTGAATATGCCACCCAGAGCATTCCATTTATGCTGCATAGGCCTCTGTATGACCGTATGCAGGCCCTGTAAAGCCCCATCGAACACCCGATGAGCACACTGATGAAGCCCTCCTTGTGACTACCCACGCCCCTAAACACCGGGATTTGCTCAAACAATGGGTCTAGATCAATCTCGCTGTAAAGATGTGGGAGTGTCGCAACCCCATCAAGGGAGTGATTGGACCTCGTGGGTTTGCCAACCCCTGCAATCTCTAAGCCTGTAAATGTTGTTGCTGCGCTGCGGCACTGGATCAGACAATGTAACATTGGGGCGTGGAGGTCAGGGCATGCACCGGGGGTGCAACAGCGTTATAATCATGGTTACCCTACTTATAACGCCACTTATAACTACCACCCATGAACCTCCAAGTAGTCCCAAACCCTAACCGGACCTAATCCTGGCACCGTGTTCACTCTTTGGCAGGGTTTAGGGTTTAGGGTTACTTAAAGGATCATGGGACTTAGTAACTAGGCTTATAATTAAGGTAACTATACGTATAACCCCAATTAAGGTACTTATAACCTTACTTACTAAGTCCCATGATCCTCCAAGTATGCTGTGGCAAGGTACCTTCGCGACGGTCATCGCGCCTTTGGAGCAACTCGGGTCCTTCGCCCCGCAGGGAGATTTTTTTGAATTTTAGACTTTGGGGCTTTGGCTGGGAAGTTTCTATCAAAGAAGCCAGCCCACAACAGTGTTTACTTGGGGCGTACAAATTTAGAGCTCGAGTGACTTCTACTTGGAGGATCATGGGACTTAGTAAGTCAGGTTATAAGTACCTTAATTGGGGTTATAAGTATAGTTACCGAAATTATAACCCTAGTTACTAAGTCCCATGATCCTTTAAGTAGCCTCTTTGAGGTTTAGGGCCGGGCAAGTCAGACGAAGACCTGCAGGGCTGAGGACGGCCGAGCCACAAGATCAAAGCCATTGACACCACGATTCCCCAAAGTCTGAACACCCGAACCAGGAAAGTACCCCACAAAAAGACCCTAAACCCCCTAACCCCTAAACCCCTAAGCACTTTAAACCCTAAGCCCTAAACCATAGCAACCTTAAAACCTAAACCCCTTTAGGATCAGCGAAAATCTGTGCTATGAAGCCACGCCGGGAGAGTAGATTGGAGGTAAAGCGGCTTGCAAAATTACCAATGCTAATCCCAGGGTTCCTTATTATGGTTACAGTCGAATGTATCCCAAAAACCCTATTCTACTTACTAGGTCCCCTGCAGTACCCCGAATCGGCACTTCCAAACCTCGGTTGTTGGGCATCTGGGCGTGTAGGTGAAGAACCTACCCATTTTTGTATTTGGTGCTTTCAAATTTGGAAAAATGCTAGTCCTTCAAGTCAATCGTTGGGATTAGGATCCAGTGTATACCGTATACCCCCAAACCTAGACCCCACATAAGCTTGTAATGCAAGCTCTAGATCTGAATCTTGGTAAGCGCCTATGCTCTAGCCTCTCTTTCTTTCCTCACAGGCTAAAGCCTGTGTTCATCGATGTCGTGCCCAACCGCTATGTGCCGACTGTAGTGGCTTGGTTGTAAGTTCTACGCCTCGAGGCCACCAGTTTGGGGTTCTCATGTCCATGGCAGGATCGTCCATACGGGGGTATGGGTTCAAGGTATCTACCCCCTATAAGCCGCTAAAACCTTGAGCCCTAGCCTCTAAACCCCAACACCAATGTGGGATTCCTTACTGCGGTCTAAATGCCGCATTCTTTGCGGGTGCGAAAGAGTCCGTTGGCAGCATGTACGGATCTTGTAAGCAACTCAACCACATGTGTAGCAGCGATAGCTTAAAGCCTCCTTTTCATGTGGAGTTTTCGTGGTTTGGTTAGGCAGTTGGGATGTTCGGGCTTAGAACCAGCTGTTCTCTCGAAGCACAGACAGACTGCTTGGAGGTTCATGGGTAGCTATATGGGGTTACATGTCCCTTTTTGGGGGTCATAGTTATTGTTACCCTACTTATAACCCTACTTATAGCTACCCATGGACCTCCAAGTGGAGTTCCCAGGACATGGTGCTAGCGGCCATCACGGACAGAACAAAATGCAGCCCGACTGCAGCAGGAGGTCTGCACTCAAACAATCGCTGGGCTTTGGAGTACCATACATTAACATAAAACTTAAAGGAGCCATTATGAAATACACTAAACCCCATAAAGTTGGAAACCAGATTAAGGCCAAATAGAGCTGGGATTCCCTATACATTACTCTTAAGGATTGAGGCTATTGGGTTTCCAACTTTTGGGCTTCTACTGTAAAAGCGTATACTTTTGTCTCCCTGGCTACTTAAATCCCAGCATGGGGGGCCTCAAGCATAGATGAATCCTTGAGAGTTTGCGGGTTTGGGGTTGGCTTCAGAAGTGAGGTTATAAGTACCTTAATTGGGGTTATAAGTATAGTTACCCTTAGTATAACCTTAGTTACTAAGTCCCATGATCCTGACTCACTTTCTTTCCCCTGGAAGCCAATGGGCTGTTTGCGCACTTGGAGGTTCATGGGGTAGTTATAAGAAGGGTTACATATACGTAGGGTAGCCATAATTATAACCCATATAAGGGGGACTTACTTACAGGATCATGGGACTTAGTAACTAAGGTTATAATAAGGGTAACTATACTTACAACCCCAATTAAGGTACTTATAACCTCACTTACTAAGTCCCATGATCCTCCAAGTATAACCCCACTTATAACTACCCATGAACTTCCAAGAAAGCGACTCAGGCAATGTAAAGGTATTTAGGGGCCTGAGAATGCCCATTATAAGGACCTAATAAGCCTTATTTAAGAAAAATTAAGGAAATGTAGTCCCCTACCCCCCTTCCCCTTACCCCCGAAGAGTCCCTCTGGGGAGTCCTCGCCGCGTACTTGTAATGGCAGCAATCCTACGAGTCGTGATGCGATCGGCGGGGCTTGCCGTGAGGATCGATTTTCCAAGAGAGGCATCATACGCCTGAAGCCCTCTAACCCACCTGCAGAGGCATCAATACCTAAAGCCGAGGGGCTAGCATAATCAAAAGTTTTGCGAGTGGAAAACGCCCAAACTCGTTTAAAGTCACCATAAGCATCCACAGTCTGAAGTCCTAAGCCCGAAACTAGCCGTGCAAGAACCTTACGGAGCCCTCAGAGCACTAAACGCTCCCGGACTCACAGACCCCCAAGCCTGTACGAGAACCCAGAAACCCGTCATGAGCTCCAAAGCATTGAGACCATTGCATAGAGCCTGAAAAGTATCATAAACCCCAAAGCACCGTATGACGACTACATCCTGAACCTGAAAACCTTGAACTAAACCCACCCCTCAGCCCTCACCCCTTAATGAACGAGCCTCACAGGCATCATAGAGCCCAAAGCACTTCAAGACTACAAGACTACACCCTTTTAAGATCTCACAAGCCCTAAACCCTAAAATCTCGAGCCTGAACCCTCGACCCACCCCTACTGCCCTCTAATATGCAAAAAGCCCTTAACCCTAAACCCCAAAAAAGCCCCTGAACCCAAGGCATCATGATTCCCAACCTTGCCGGGAGCAAGATCGACTGGGCCGAGCTCCGACCTCAGCTTTCACTTTGCCAAGAGCCAGGGTTTAGGCTTTAGGGTTTAGGGTTAGTTTACAGGGTGCTACAAGGGGTACTCTAAGAGGTACTATACTTGGAGGATCATGGGACTTAGTAAGTAGGGTTATAATTAGGGTAACTATACTTCTAACCCCAATTAGGGTACTTATAACCTTACTTACTAAGTCCCATGATCCTCCCTAACCCCTAAACCCCTATAGATCCCTTGAAGGAACCCTATAGATCCCTTCAAGGAGCCCTTATTAAGAGTCCATGATCCTCGAAGTAAGGCTTGTGCCCAAGCCTTCCGGCTTTCAGGGCTCAGCGAGGTTTGTGGCGTTTCGCATTTTGTTGAGCTTCTTGTTAAGCCCTCTAAACCCAAAACCCCTAGACCCCATTAAGCCCTCTAAACCCAAAAACCCCTAAACCCCGTTAAGCCCTCCAAACTCAAAACCCCTAAAGCCCATCCAGCAGAGCGAACGCAACCCTGAAGGTTGTGTGTCATCTCTTGAAACCTTGCCTAGGGTCTTCAGAGCTTGCGCGGAGCTATACTGTAGGGGTCTTAGTAATTACCTATACTATTTTGAGGGGTTCCTTCTTACAATTATAGTATACTGGGCCCCAAGCCCCATTCTAATTCTTAAGGCCCCTACATGAAGCACAAAACAGCCCAACGTCTTAAATCAATCGAACCGTGGGAGCTCCGAAGCTTCAAGCCTACCCCTGAGCACCAAGCCTTATTCATTAAAGTGCTCAACCTCACCTCAAGCCTTGAGGCAATAAAAGCCGAAAACTCCGGAAAGCTTCAATCCTCTCAAACCGCTGCAGAACTCTTAGAAATGCCTTGCAGAACCCGACGGGAAAACGCACCTCTAAACCCAAAGCCCCTTAACCACCCTTCACCCCTCAACCCTAAATCCTACCCCTCCCCCCACTTGCAACCCTGAACAGAACCCCAAACCCCGAGCCCCAAATCGTTAACCTTTGAATTCGTTAACCTTTGAATGCACCCCGTACACCCTAAACACATATAGGACCTTGAAATTTCCCGTAAACGAGCCCTTAAAAGAGCGTTTCGGGTCTTTCAAAGGGTTTCTTTAAAATCGTCGGTTGAGGCTCCGCCGCCGGGTGCCGAGCGGAATTTGGCTTTTCGAGGACTCGGAGTAAAAGCTCGGCTTTTGAGACCTTCTCGGGGTGTATTTTTTTTGGGAGGGGGGCATTCGGGTTTAGGGTTGAGGGTGTACAGCTTAGGGGTTTAGGGGTTTAGGGCTTAGGGCTTAGGGGGATGATAAGGGCCACGGAACGGAGGGCCATTTTCCGGGATACTTCCACGAATACGAAACGGGGCATACTGTCAGGGTTACTACGAGCTACTGAAGGGGGTTACTAAGTATGACGCAAGACTGAAGCTGTGCGGGTTTTGGGTTTAGGGTCTTGCCGCCGTTTGCATATCTGCCATGCGACTGCCAGGTTTGCGGCTTCAGCTTGCGATGCTGAGTATGCTTGCATTGGCATGGGGTCATCCATCCAAGATGTGGATATCTGGGCCACCGGCTCAAGTTCTCAGACTCTCTTGAACGATTATGGTTGTGGTGCGTTCTGCTGTCATTTGCTATCATGGCATATCATGGCATTAGTCAGGTAATACTGGAATCTCTCAAGTATCCGCAAGGTTAACCTTCAGTGTCTTTAAGGAAGACGTCCCAGCCCATGCTTCCAGAGGTTTCCCCAAGCCGGAATGCAGCTGCATCGCTGCAGATGTACAGTTGGGGTCTAGGGTTTTGGGGTACTACCTTGAAGGGTTTAGGGTGTTACGGGGTTTAGGGCTTTTACGCTATGGTGGTGTAGGGTTTGGGGGCTTCCGGTTGAGGGTCTTGACCCGGCCAGGACTCGTGTGACACAATCACCTACACAGCCGACTCTGACGTCTCTGTGATCTCCTTTTATGCGACCCAGCTGAACCAGTCACGGGCACTTTTTGGAGTCGGTCGCAACATCCGTGGCCCCAGGTCCAAGTCTTAAGCCCAATCGACCGGCCTTGTTTAAAAACCCCGAGCTGTCGCACTGCTGCATTTCCCTCGCATAGCCAGGCTACTGCCAGTTGCAAAACGACGAAGTAAAATGTACAAAAAAGCTTAGATCCCCTAGAACCGACCTTAACCATAAACCCTATTTAAAAAAAGAAACCAGCCCCGAAACCGACGCGATCAAGCAAAGGCCTCGCACATCATTACTGCTGGCGGCTTGGGAGGCCTTGTGATGTTCAACGACGAGAACCTGAAGAGGAATCCTGGCCTTAGGAAAGGATCCCTTAAGGGCTCCTTTAGGGGGCTCCCTCAAGGGTTCCTTTAAGGGCTCCTTTAAGGATCCCTTGAAGGATCCCTTCAAAGGAACCTTTGTAAAGCCGCCATTCAAGGAACCCTCAAAGGGACCCTTAAAGGGGGCTCATTGTAAGAGAGTTTGGGGGCGAATAAAAGGGCGGGCCACTTTAAGGCTCCAGCTCCAGGAAGGTTTCGGGTTTGGCGGGTTGTGTCAGAGATACTATGGGAGTTTTCGAAAATAGGGGCCCCCCTACAAAGTGTTACCATAAGGGTTCTATGAGGGTTCCTTTAAAGGGCTACTATAAGAGTACTATTGGGGTCCCTCTAGAGGGCTTTCTCAGGGTTTATGGGAGTTTCCGAAAATAGGGGCCCCTAATATAGTACCCTAAAATTGTAGGATCCTGACTATAAGGACCCCAAAAATAGGGCACCCCCTATTATCGGAAAGGGGTCCTGGCTTTGAGCGCAAATTTTGGGGCTTTAGGTCGGCAGTGGAGTTCATTTTCTTTGGAAGAACATGGGATGAATTTAGGGATTTGAGAGTTGGCCGCAGCTTGTTGGCCTCCATTTGGGGTGTGTTATACTTAAAGGATCATTTGACTTATTAACCAGGGTCATAGTTAGGGTAACTATACTTCTAACCCCACTTAAGGTACTTATAACCTTACTTACTAAATCCCATGATCCTCCAAGTAATATCTTCCCTTTGGGAGCCCAGTGTTGAAGCCTCAGGAAAGCGCTGATGTTCCGAGATTGGGGCCGGATCGGAAACAACTCCGAGGACCGCTGGGAAGCTCTGGGGCCTGTCTTGGACTCTTAGGGGTTTGGGGGTTTAGGGGTTAGGGTTTAAGGGTTAGGGCTTAGGGGTTTGGGTTTGTGGGTTTGGGGGTTTGGGGGTTTAGGGGTTGGGGTTTAAGGGTTAGGGCTTAGGGGTTTGGGTTTAGGGTTTGGGGGTTTTTGGCAGCAGCAGCAGCAGTAGCAGTAGCAGTAGGCAGCAGCAGTAGTAGTAGTAGTAGTAGCAGCAGTGTTTGACACTGTTTCTGTGGTTGTTCTTACTTCTGTTCGTCTGTTCTTGTAATGTATTTCTCACTCATTTTGTTATCAACCCTAAACCCTAAACCCTAAAACCCTAAACCCTAAACCCTAAAACCCTAAAACCCTAAACCCTAAACCCTAAACCCTAAACCCCAAACCCCAAACCCTAAACCCTAAACCCTATTATTGCTATGTTCGTGGTTGCTGTCGGGCCATGGCCTGGGCCTTGCGCCCCAGCCCAGGGCCCGAAACGTCACGCGGAAAAAAAAGGATCAAGGGACTTTATAGGTACTTGGAGGCACTTTTGACCTATAAGTAGGGTTAGTAAGGTGGGTTATGGGGATTATAATGGGGTTTCTAGGGGATACTAAGTAGACTTACTAAGTCAAAAGGGCCTCCAAGCAAGGGACTTCATAGATAGGGCCTACGAAGGTAACTATAGTTGTAACCGTTTATGGTGATAAGTAGATACATTTAAAGTTTACGAGGTAGGGTAACTATAGTTGAAGCTGTTTATGGTTATGAGTAGGTAGGGCCTACGAAGTAGGTTAACTATAGTTGTAACGGTTTAAGTTGGCTGTAAGTAGGTTAACCATACAGGTAATTATGCATGATCCCAACAAAGGTACTAAGAATCTACTTACTAGGTCGCCTGACCCTCCAAGTGTCAGGACATGTCGGAAAGGTTTGGCCACCAGGTGGATGGCATTGAGTACGACGCACGGCTGATAATGTAGGGTGGGGCTGCTGCACCATACTTGGGGGTTCATGGGACTCAGTAAGTCAGGTTATAAGTACCTGAATTTGGGGTTATAAGTATAGTAACCCTAGTTACTAAGTCCCATGATCCTTTAAGTATTCACAGCCCATATTTCAAGCTATACGGTTGACGATAGAAATCCTGCATTACCTTAAGGACCCTAAACTATGGGAATTATGGTATATTCCTTCTTATGAGTAATGCAGGATTTATATCATCAACCGTATGGATGGTTCTCTAAAGTAGGGTCCCCTTTAGGGTCCTGTTTGTGAGCGTGCCATCTTTTGGGCTCCTAAAGAGGAGGGTCTTGGCTTTTAGTTTCCGTTTGTGGGTTTGGGTTCAAAGATTGAGGATCTCAGAGATTCATCGTGTAGTATCAGGTTCCCTCCAACCGCGTGTGTAGGGAGTCCATCAGCTTGTGTTGGATGTTTGCTGGTGGAATGACTGGAGCTCGGCTATTCTAGGGCTCGTTGCATGTCAAGGCTGGGGGCTAAGATGAGGAGCCTGCAAAGGTCTGCAGGCTCATGTTCGGCACGCCCCAGAAGGAAAGATCCTAAACACGAAGACTCTCAGGCTGAGACGCCAAAGCCCTGAATAAGATAGTGGCCTTTATCATTAGTTACCAATACTAATCCGGGCGTTCCTTAGTATAACTAGAGTATAATGAGCCCATAAAAACACTCTTCGAATCATTAAGGCCCTTATATTACAGAACCCTACTATAGATGCCTTACAGTAGCCCTTTCAGGATCCCTTTTTTTCGGAACCCTACTCTAATCATTAAGGCCCCCTACGTTCCTAAATCCTAGAATCCGGGACTGCTCCCTCACAGACGAAGTCCCTGAGGCCCGACGACCCTGGCACTCAAAACACCTACTTGGAGGATCATGGGGCTTAGTAGTTTCTTTAAGGGTACTATAGGTTCTATAGTAAAGGGCTCCTTAACGGGATCCTTAAAGGGATCTATAAGGGTTCACTTGGAGGATCATGGGACTTAGTAAGCCCAGAGAGCCCAATGCACCTTAATTAAGGAATGTAGCTCAAATCATAGTGTGAAGCCCCTGATAATTTAAGGTATATTGCTTACTTACGGGGTGTTGGGCTCTCTGGGAGTAAGGTTATAATAAGTACCTCAGTTCGGGTTGTAAGTATAGTTACCCTAATTAAAACCCGACGTCCCTGTGGCCCGAACCCAGAGACTCCAATACCCCTTAATGAAGGAATATTCCTTCTTTAAGGGTTCCTTTAAGAGGATCGTATCAGGATATGGGGTTTATGCTTTAGGGGACTCTAATACCCCCTTAATTAAGGAATACTCCCTTAAACCATATTAGGGATCCTACTATAACTTAAGGTATATTCCTTAAGTGATATTGGAGTCTCTGGGAAGACCCTGGCACTCTAAGACCATGCAACCCTGAGACCCTCAAAGCCTCGTTTCAGAAAAGCTCATGAAAACTCTCTGTCTTCTTCTAGGGTTTAGGGTTTAGGGTTTAGGGTTTAGGGTTTAGGGTTTAGGGTTTAGGGTTTAGGGTTTAGGGTTTAGGGTTTAGGGTTTAGGGCCTTATGTCCACTTTTAGAAACTCCATTCGTGGAACATCATAAGGCAAAGAAATCCCTAAAGCCTTAACTCCTAAACCCTAAAGCCTTAACCCGAAGACTTGCAAGTGCCTTGGAACTGAGGACTTCAAGTTCCTCTACGGTTGCGTGGGCCCCTCTCCTGAGCATTTTGGGGCAGGGGGGCAGTCTCGAGTTGATCATAGGAACCCCTAGTGGGGTAGTGGGGAGGCGGGTTGGGGACTATACTTCCTTAAATAGGCCTTGTTAGGTCCTGGGATCCCGTGGACACTAACACCAAAAAAAGTGCCTAAACCCTTCACCCTAAGCCCAACAAACCCTGAACCCCAGGAAGCAGGACTTTTCGTCGGAAGAGTGCTTTGTGTTACATCCCGTGCTCTAAGCGTTCAGAAAATGTTAGTTTCACTACCCCGCCCCTATAGTCCCTACGTAATTATATAGTTATGGTATCACGTACCCCGAAGCCCCACCGCAAATCTGACCGTAGCTCCAAAAACCTTGGGCCCAGAATCCTAAACCCGGAGCCCTTGGCCTTGGAAGCTTTGCAGGAATCCTGCCGCAGAGCCACGGTTTGGGGTTTAGGGGTTTAGGGTTTAGGGTTTAGGGTTTAGGGGTTTAGGGGTTTAGGGGTTTGGGTTTAGGGATGAGCAGCAACCCAGTAGCCCTAAACCCAAGGACCAAGGACCAAATTGAGAGAAACTGCCCAAAACCGTAAACCCTAAACCGACTCTGTTGAATTCGAGTAGACAGACTGTGGGTTGGCTCCTTGGTCCTTGCGTTTGTTGTGCTTGGTGGATCATGGGACTTAGTAGTTCCTTTAAGGGTACTATAGTATAGGGTTCTATACTCGGTCTCCTTAAGCGGGGGGTCCGTGAAGGGATCTATAAGGGTTCTATAATTATGGAGGGTCACGGCACTTAGTAAGTAAGGCTATAAGTACCCTAATTGGGATGATAAGCATAGCTACCCTAATTATACCCCGAGATACTCAGTCCCATGATGCCTTAAGTACACTATTGTAGAGCTTCGATCTAGAAGTCTAGAATCTCAACCCTAGATCCGAAATCTTGGACCCTAAATCCTTGTGTGTGTGTGTGTATATATATATATATACCTTAAACTACCAAACCCTACGTTTTTGTAGGTTCTTATTATAAACCCTAATATGGAATTTATAGGGACCCTACAAAAAAGTAGGTTTTGGTAGGTTAAGGTATATATACATATATAAAAACCCTAGACCGTAAAAGCCCTAAACCCTAAGACCCTAAACCTGAGCCCGAAACCCCCTGAACCTGAGCACAGCCCTTCTGGGCTTCGTAGCTGAGTTTGTAACCTTTAACCTACTGGGGTTTATATGGGTGGTTGTCAAAAATTAGGGTCCCTCTTTGGGTCCCTATATTACAATACGGCACCTATTATTTACGTAGGGTACCCAAACAAGGGCCCTAATTTTGACAACCGCCCATATACTCCTACCATAGTTCAAAAAGTTAAGCTGTTTTGGGCTAGGAAACCTTTCTAAACCCTATAAGCCTCTACGCTAAATCCACATGCCCCCCCCCCTGAAATCCTAAACCTAACCTAATGTTCATGGGACTTCATAACTAGGGTTATAAATAGCGTAACTATACTTACAAATATGTACAACCCGACCCGAGTTAAGGTAGTTATAACTGTTCTTATTAAGTCCCACGAACCTCCAAGTACCATATCTCTAAATCCTAAACCTATAGATGCCTTAGTGGAACCCTAATAGTACCCTTTAAAGGAACCCGAACCCCTAAACCCCAAAACCCATCTTATAACTGCCCATGAAGCTTTCTAAACCCAAATCCGAACCTTAAACCCCCTGACCCCAAAACCCTAAGCCCTAAAGCCTAAAACCCTTATAGTAACCCTTATGGTAATCCTTATAGACCCCTTTAAAAGGAACCCCAAAACCGCAAACCTTTGGGCCCCTATGAGAGGTTGGAACACCCCCAAACCCCTTAAACCCCTGAACCCTAAACCCTATGGTACCCTTGTAGTGAACCTTATATCACTTAAAGGAAACCCCTGAAAACCGCCCTTCTGGGTTTCTATCGGAGGTTGGAACATGAAAGCCTCAGAGATGAATGCCGCCTTTGGCCTGGCGCAGCTGGAGAAGCTGGACCGATTCAAGGCGCCCGGGTTTAGGGTTTTAGGGTTCCTTTTAAAAGGGATCTACTAGGATTTTGTTCTATGAGGTTTAGGGATTCGGGTTTAGGGTACCGATTCAAGGCACCGCTTGATATAGGGGTTTTGGATTTAGGGTTTAGGGGTTTAGGGTTTGGGGGTTTAGGGTTTAGGGTTTTGGGTTTAGGGTTTAGGGGTTTAGGGTTATAGTGTTAAGTGCTATGATAAGACACCCGTAAATTCTGCTTGGAGGATCCTGAACCCTAAACCCTTCGTTGTTAAGGTTCCCAGAGACTCCATTATCCCTTAATCAAGCAATGTACCTTAAATTATAGTCGGATCCCCAATATGATTTAAGGAGTATTCCTTAATTAAGGGATATTGGAGTCTCCGGGTTCCGAGTAGCAGTACAATGACGGGGGTACTCAAGGACCAGCCGCCGCAGGCCGTCCCAACACCTCAGGTGTTCCACAGCATTGCATGCGGGGCGCAATCGTAAATGCAGCAGCTACTACTTAAAGGATCATGGGACTTAGTAACTAGGGTTCTAATTAGGGTAACTATACTTATAGCCCCAATTAAGGTACTTATAACCTTACTTACTAAGTCCCATGATCCTCCAAGCAGCCAGAAGAGGGCTCAGGACAGCCACTGGAAAGGGACCCGGAAAGTCAAGCGGAAGTACGTGCACGGTGACTACAGCGTGGTTGCCCAGATGAGTTCTCATGGTCGATGGCAAGCTGAGGAGGTTCAGCAGCAGAAGGTGCATGAGTGGTCCGAGCGGCAGTGTCATCCTCGGGTCAAAGGCGCTATTACCCAATACTCCGTAGTAATAATAACAATAGTAGGAATAATAATAATAGTAATATCAGTAATTATACTAATAAAGATAATAGTAATAATCAACTATTTATCTTTAAACTATCCGGAGGCTTTTGGTGTAGGAGGCTCTCATCAAGAAGGTATGGTGCAGCCATGATGGGTTTCAGGGTTTAGGGTTTGGGGGTTAGGGTGAATCTAGCTTTTGGGTGTATGTCCCATGAGCAGTTGAGGGTTTAGGGATATAGGGTGTAGGGATGCCCATCGTTTAGGGTTCCCTCAATCCTTGCCTAAGCTATCTTGCTGGCCGGATACGCCTGCTGAGCACTCGAATGCCCGATGAACCCTCCCGTCCACATGCATAACCCTAACCGCTTGAACCCAAAACACTAAAACCCCAAACCCTTAGACCCTTGACACCTGACCCTAAAGCCTTCGACCCTTAACAACAGTAGTCCATAGTGATAGTCGATATTAGGTGGTAAGTGGCCAGGTACTGGAGTTGCCTTGGTTCTTTCGAGGGGGTGGTTTCCGGTGGAGCTACCTCCAGCAAATGGTAGCAGTCTTTAGGAGCTTAGAGTTTATGGGTCAAGGGCGTAGGGTTCAGGGAACCTTAAACCCTGAACCAAACAACCGTCACGTCGGGTTGCCCTATCTTTTCTCTCTGCACTGACATACTCTCGCCGTAGATAAGATAGGGGCCTCAAGAATTACCTGTACTAGCTGGGGGCTCCTTATTATGACTTTCGTATACTGGGCCCCAAACCCCTAAGGCCCGTATAAGAGGCATCTTCCAGATGCACACGATCTCGAGATTGCCCAGACACAGCTAGGTTCCCCAGTGGTATCCTTTTGGGGTTCAGGTAAGGGGTTTAGGGTTCAGAGGCTTAGGGCTTAGGGTATCTTGGGGTCTCTTTGAAAGCCGGCATTGCGCATTCCTCGTTTGTGTTTGAGGGTTGTTTCCTCCGAGGCAATCCGGAAGCGCAACATCGCAAGATATTGCCCTTCGCCGGCTGTGTCGAAGGGGTGTTGGGGTTTCGGACTTTGGATCAGCGATGATTGTCTTGAGGGGTTGCCCGGCTTTCCCCCTAAAGCAGTGTAACGAAAGCTTGCAACGGCTGTTCGTGATTGTAGTCACAGTTCAGTTTCAAAAACTACGAGTAAGCGAATGGCTGACAGACCACGTCTCACACGTTGCAACAGAAGCGTCTCCCTAAGCCCTAAGTTTCGTCATTGCCCGATGCCCGAAGACCCCGACCTGCAAGTTCAGCTGCAGCCGTCCGGTTCAACTCCACCTGCTCCTAATAATATTCATAGTAATCATAACAACAGTAACCATATTAACAATAGCAACACGAGTAACAGTAGTACTATCAGTATTATAGGGTTCAGGGTAGGGTTCGTGATGCCGGAGGAGTTGGATTTAGGTGTGTGGAGCTGCAAATTGGGGTAAACTTACAGCATTCTCGCGGCATCCGTAGTCTCGAAGTGTAGTGAGGGTTCAGGGGCGATTTAGGATCCGAGTTCTATGGAGAATTAGATTTAAGGCAGCTTCAACTCGAAAGACCCAAACCCTGAGGTGCGAAACAGTACTTGGAGGTTCATGGGACTTGGAAATGGGGTTTTACATGAGGTAACTGTACTTGTAAATGCTTATAGCCCCATTTAGGGTAGTTATAACTGCACTTACAAAGTCCCGCGAACCTCCAAGTATCCCTGATCACAGAATCAGAACGTAGTCTCAACCCCCATCCCGGCGGAAGTGGAAGGGCCAACTGTCCCTGAGCCAAGGCGAAAACCTCGCGAGGGCGAGAACGCGCCTCCAGATTGCAACGGATTTAGTATAGAGGCCTCATGTTGTATGCCCCGCGGTTCAGAGGTTAAGCTAGACAGCCCTAAACTCTAAAGATCAAAGATAAGCGTACTGTAACAACAACATGTAACCCCGAAAAGAAAAGCCTTATGCCCCAGTCCATGCCCGAAAAGCAGCCCGCAGCTTCAAGCACAGAGGGGTATAGGATTCCTCTGGGCTATCAGAGCCTGGGTTCCCTAGTAGTACCCGTTTACCCTGTTCTGTTTCAGGGTTTAGGGTGTTGTTTTGTTTGGTGGTTTCCTTCTTCAACCCCAATACTGAGAAAAAGGGGTGCCCCTCATCAATAAGGCGCCACTGGGGGAACCTGGGGGTTCAGTCGATATTTCTTGTGGGCTGCTTCTGTTTAACCGCTGGAAGCCTGGTATTGTCGGTCAACCTCTAAATCCCAAGCTGCGAACCTAAACCCTACAGTAAACCCCAGAAAGTTGGAAACCGGATTAAGGCCGAATAGTGCTGGGATTCCCTATAGAGTACTCTTACGGACTGAGGCTATGGGGTTTCCAACTTTTCGGCTTCTACTGTAAAACCCGAACCCTACTAAACCCTGAACCCAAAACCCAGAAGCCGCGAACCCTAAACCCCTAAATCCTAAAGCCTCCTGCCTGAAGCTGGGACGCGGCTTCTCTCAGGCTTTGTACTTCCAGACCGAGCTGATGACTACGAGCCATGGTGAGGGCTTTGGGTTTAGGATTTATGATTTCGGGTTCAGGGTTTAAAGGGATTTAGGGGTTACGGGGCTTCGGGGTTGAGGATTTAGGATATCTTGTTTCGGATTTTGAGGTTTAGGGTTTAGGGGTTTAGGACTGAAGGTTTGGGCTTGGGGGTTTAGGGATTTAGGGGTTAGGGGTAGGGGCTGTGGTTTCGGGGTCAAGGCTCCAGGGCTTCGAACATGCTTGAGCGAGCGATTCACCTGCGCCCTTTCATGCATCGCCGCATCTTAAGCCTGGAAGCCTGCAGTACTCAGTAGCCGAGTAGGTAACCTTTAACCATTCGGGGCTTAATTATATACAATACTACCATAACTGAACCGGTTAACCTTTGTTGGGCTAAGATACTCAGCCCCTATGAATATGTGCTATTCGTGCCAGGAACACTAGAATCTACACTAGAATTACCCAGTAGCCTGCAGGACACGTCATTAGCCTTAGTACCTCTACCTAGAACAAGCATGAAGTGGTCGACCGCGGTGCGTGCGCCTGCATCCTGAGCTAAAGGCCTGAAAAGTTAAACATCCCATGAGCACATACAAGCAACCAAGCATCAGGTCCTGATGTATCCCGGTGCAAAAATGGTTGATACTTATGGCTTGCTATAAACCCGGAAGCCCCGAACGAAACCCTCAAACCTCCCGAAGCCCAAATTCCCAACACTTACGGCCCTAAACCCTAAATCAAACCTCCCCAAAACCCAGATTCCCAAAACTTACGGCCCTAAGCCCTAAACCCTAGACCTTAAGGCACCAAACCCCTAAACCCCAAACATTTGGACTCCAGGCCTTAAGCCCTAAAGCCAGCCTGAGGACTGGCTCGCCATGCCGCTCCTCTACCACGACCGCAAGGGCGTGCTGCGATTCCTAGAGAGCAGCCTCGTCAGAGGGATTTTCTGGGATCTGGGTTTAAGGCTTTAAGGGCCTATAGGGTTTTGGGTGTTTCCGGGTTTGATTAGGGTTGTAGGTTTTAGGATTTATGAGATTAGTGATGCTCTTCGCAGTGTTTCGAGGGTGCCACGAGGCTTCTACTGAAACAGATAAGATACTAAGGGCGTGAGTTTGGAAAAAGGCCTTCCAAAGCTTGTTCGCCTGCTGTCGGTGAGGGTCAAAGAGCTCCCAAGGTGGAATCAAGGTAGGCGGGATATTCCCTAAAGGATCCTTTATCCTACCTACCTTCATCCCACCTTTTGAGGCCTCTGAGAGGGGGCCAGGGGCCGTGCGGGGCGGAACGAGGCAAAGTCGCTAGGGACAGGATGGATAGTCTAATGTAGGAACCTGATGAAGAAACCTTGAGCCCTTATTAAATTTCCTTTTATGAATCCTACTATCTTGGGGTTATAGGCCCAGGGTTTCTTAATCAGGTTCCTACATTAACATGAAGACTCCTCCACTACCGTTCCGAGTTAAGAAAGCCATAGAACCCTATAGTCTATGCCCGTACAAAACCCTTACACACCTCATGGAGCCCTAAACTCACCCTGAGCCCTAAACCCAAAACCCTAAACCCCTAAACCCTAAATTTTAGAAGGCTTTCGCCTAAGTGCGCCAGCGCCCTCAGCCCAGTACGCAGCAGCCTCGAGTTGCCCAGACAAGGTAACAGTATACCCAATACCAAACAGGGAGCCCTTTTTTTTCCGAGGTTACTGGGCATCCCAGTACTTCGTAAGATACGGGGCAATCAACTTGTGAAATTGCTCGGCTTGCAGCAATCAGCACTAAAGTTGCCTTGCTTACAGCTTTGCCTTGCCCCTTCAGCTGCTGGTTCCTCTTACAGTTCTGAACTGTAAGAGGAACCAGCAGCTGAAGCAGCAGGAGGTCCCTACCAACTTTTTGCAAAGTCTTGGAACCAAAAGCTTTGTATGGATGTCGATCCGAGGCAATGAAGTCCAGATCCGCGTTTTCTTTGCAGGCCGGTGGTTGCACGCTGTGTTTCAGGGTGCAGGGCTTAGAGGTTAGGGCATCAGGGTTTTAGGCAGGATTCGAGGGTTCGGTGTTTAGGCTTCGGGTTTGGGGGCTTTTGTCTGAAAAGGGTTTGAGGTTTAAGTTTCTCCCCCCGAGCCCGAGATTCCTCCATTCTCTCTAGGCCCTACTTAAAGGATCATGGGACTTAGCCACTAGGGTTATAATTAGGGTAACTATACCTATAACCCTAACTAAGGTACTTGTAACCTTACTTACTAAGTCGCATGATCCTCCAAATAATCCTAGTCCCAAAATAGCTCTCGGGTGCCATTCGGATTCAAGATTTATGGCTGTATGAACCTGCACTCTGCACCCTGTCAGTTAGCTAGCGAGCTAGTGTAAGGAGATATGATATGAATTTTCTATTTGTTGCGTCTGAAGAGGGTGTGGGTTGTTCAGGCCTGCATTTTGTGCAGGTTCTGTCCCCTAAGCCCCAAGCCCCAAGCTCCTAAAGCCTAAACGAAAGCCCTAGGTGGTCCTAAGCCCCAAGCCCCTAAAGCCTAAACGGAGATTTTGTGGCTGGTAAGGCGGGGACTGGAAGGGCTGAAGCATAAAATCTCTTTGAAAAGGCATGGTACGTCTGCTAAAAGCCCTACCTGTGGCCCAAAAGACCTAGGTGTTGTAAGGAACTGTGTGTAGAAACCATGATAAGGAACTCTGAAGCGGTATGTCTTGTCTACAGGTAAACTCTGAAGCCCTTGTCCGCAAACCCATAGACTGTAGACACGCAACCGCCTGACCTGACAGGAAACATCACGCGGCATCCTGCCTACCGGCACTATCTTCAAGCCTTTCCTGGGGCAGATCAGGTGATGAAGGCCCATCGGTCCGAACCCAAAGCCCTCCAAACCCACATGACCATGGTTAAGAAACCCTGCGCCTATAACCCCCAAAATTAGTAGGATTCAAAAATCAAAAAAGGAACCCTAATAGGGACCCAGGGTTTCTTATTCAGGTTCATACACCAAACCCCCCCGCCAAAAAAAAAAAAAAAAAATCTTATAGTGCCCTTATGGTACACTTTAAAGGAACCCTTATAGAACCCTAAGAAAGAGCCAACATTACCCCGAACCCCAAAATCCAGTGCATCCCCACATATTTTGGATCTCCGGCCTTAAGCATCCCTAAGCCATGAGCCCACCTGAGCCTTAAATGTTGTCTAATACAGGGGCCTAAATAATTACCTATGCCATTTTGGGGGGGTTCCTTATTATAAGTAGAGTATAGTGGGCCCCAAAACCCTATTCTGATTATTCAGGCCCCTATATTAACCCCAGGCAGTATTGAAAAATTAGCCGAGCCCTACAGCCTACAGCTGCGCCCTGTTCCTGTGGATTTTTTGGCAAGGATAGAGGGTTCGGGGCTTTAGGAAACATGACGACAGCAACCACCACCATCACCGACACACCACGACTACAGCCTACAACGACGACGACGGGACGACTGCTGCCGCTGCTGCTGGTGCTGCTGCTGCTACTACTACTACGACGACTACTGCTACTTCTACTTCTTCCACTAGTTCTACTACTTCTACTACTTCTAATGGTTCCACTTCTACCTCTACTTCTAATCATGACACTAAAAATAACATGGATAATAAATGACAATGCTGGCTGACAAAGAAGCCTCCGACACATGTTTAGGAACGCGCATGGAAGCATGATGATACCGTAAGACTGCCGTCCACTGAAAAGCTCCTCTTTCGAGAGTAAGATCCCTGTCATAAGGACCCCTCAACAAACCTTCTACCGCATTACAATTACCTATACAACTCTAGTAGAAACCTAGCAGGCCTGTGCGAAACCTTTAAGCCCAAAGGAAGGGTTTCTCATCGGGGCCCACCATGGACTCGACATCAGCGATGTGGATCGCGTTTGCGCGCTGCTGGTGGAGCTCCCTGGCCTGGGAGTACCAAGGGCAGGAGAAGGGTTCAGGGCTCCAGACCAGACCTTGGGGATTTGGTGATTTACGGTGCAGGGTTTGATTTTGGAGATTTGAGAGATGGGAGATAATGATCACAATCTCAAAGCCACGCAGACTATAGGTTTTTCGGACCGACCCAGTTTGATTGTTCAGGGCCCTCCCACTAGTTTTCGAAGAGATGCGCGTGTGGCCCCATCTCAGCGTCTGCTGAGACCTGCAGCTCCGACTTATGTACCTTGAGCCCGAAATAATTTTGAATTTTCGGAGTCGAGCGTGTCAGACAAAGAACCAAATAGGGCTCTGCAGTGTTTCGCTTGATGACTTGATGATACATGCAGATAGACGTGCGAGATGTCCGAATCACGGCTGACGTCTGGGTGTAAGAGTAACAACGGTGTTATATGTCACTGTCGTCACCGCTGTTGCCGTCGTCGCAGTCGTACGAGCAGGGGTACTAGTAATACCAGTACTCCGAGTACGACTAGCAGTACCAGCATTACAAGTGCTACGAGCACTGCTAGTACTACGAGCACCAGTAGCTTTGCTACTGGCACGATCTGTACTACTTGTGCTACTGGCACTGCTAGTACTCTTAGTACGAGTAACGGTGGTAGCAGTGGTATTCGCAGAAGTCGTCGTCGTAGTGGTAGTGTACATAGTAGCATAAGTAGGAGTCGGAGTAGGAGTAGGAGTCGTGGTAGTAGCAGCGGTAGCAGTAGTAGCAGTCAGTAGCAGTAGCAGTAGCAGCGGCAGTAGCAGGGGCAGTAGCAGGGGCAGGAGCCGTAGCAGATGTAGTCGTAGTCGTCGTCGCCGTGGCAAGTAGTACAGTAAGTAGCAGAAGGAACAGCAGCAACTGCAGTCATATAGCTCGGCAGGTAGAGCTTTTTCAATTGAGGGCTTGGGCGTTCGGAAGTATGGTGCAGCAATTCGATCAACCTGCCGCAAGGTATGATCAAAAGCAGCTCAGCTGAACAAAGCCTTCGTCAAACATTGCTCAAAGGCACCCAAGAATGAGGACCTCCTAAGCCGGTAGCCTTCGCTGAAGCCTAAACCCCTGAGTCCTAAACCGCTCAAAGCCCCTAACAACTCGAAGCCCGGAACCCAAGGCACAGATTTCATGTTCAAGGTTTCCTAGGCTGTTCAGTGGTACACTTTTTTGCTTTCAGGTTTCAAGGTTCCTAGTATAAAATAAGAATATTTAAAAAGTATATACTTTTTCCCAGTGTGTTACTGAACAGCCTAGTTTCTTTTGCAATGGGAAAGAGGCCTGGGCTCAGGGCTTTGAGGTTTCGAGGTTTCAGGTTCAGGAGTCACGATCGCTGAGCTGAAAAGATCCATGAAGCTTGTTGTGCAATGCAGCGGGGAGTAGCCGAAACTCGACTGAAGCAGTATACTACAACATACCACAAACCCAAGTCCAACTGTTAAGGCCGTAAACCCAAACCCCTAGACTAAACCCTAAACCCCATTTAAACCCCAAACCCTAAACCCCATATTCCCCGTCAAAAACCGCAACAGCTCGGAACTCAGGGGCTTGAGTCGGCTCTGCTTGGCCTTTCGTGAACATTTTCGCACCAAACCCTGATAACTGAAGGTGTAGAGTTTAGGGTTTTTCAGGTTTAGGGTTTAGAAGTGTATAGTGTTTGGGGTTTTAAACGGTATTGTTCGAAGCTGTGTTTTGCATTACATCCAAAGCCGTGGCATTTCAGATTTCTGACAGGAAAGAACCCTTGTCGCACCCTGAAAAGTATGCGTTTTCTACCCTGGCAGAAAACCTATAGTACCCTTATAGTGACCTTACAGCAGCCTCTTGTAGTACCCTTATAGTCACCGTATAGCAACCTCATAACAAGCTGATATCATCGTACCCTTATAGTATAATGATATCACCCCTAAACCCTAAACCCCTAAACCCTGAACCCCTAAAACCCTAAAACCCTAAACCCCAAAACCCTAAACCTTAAATCCTAAACCCTAAGCACCTAAAACCCTAAGCCCTGAATCCTAGACCTCGTATGGTATGGCCTGTAGCTGTGCACTCTCAGGGGTGGCGGCGCTGTGGAATCCCTCAGCAAAGCCGGGGGTGGCGAGGAGAGACCCGGGCATGCTCGGTTGGGGGCCGAAGCCTTGTTTAGGGTTTAGGGTTGGAGAATTGGGGTTGTGTTATTAGGGTTTAGTGTTTAGGGTTTAGCATTTAGAGTTTATAGGATTTAGGTATAGGGTTTCCATCCTTGCCCCAGGACGTCAGCTCCATTTCTCCGAAGCCTCCGGCCTGAATTCCGGCACAGGCTGCTCAAACTCAAGATGCCGTGCAGTCGTTCTTCTCCCGAAGAAAAAACGTATGTTGGTCAGGACGGCCACGTAAGAGAGGGATGACAAAAGCTCAACAACCCCCAGGTATGAAGTTCGGTGATCCGCGGTTTTGGTTTGGGTTTTCGGCTAAACCTGATCTTCGGGGTTGGTAACTTTTCCGTTCAAAACCTAGACAGGCAAAATTTGCGGGCCGCAAAGATCCCGATCAGCTGCATCAGCCGTGACGTTGGATGACCGGCGCCGGCGCTCGCAGTGAACATCGCTATGCCGGCGACCATGGAAGTGGTGGCGATGGTGACTACAATGATAGTGCCAGTGGTCGCGACAGAGACCACATGCCCATCCGGATGATTATTAACTGTCAGGTTTCTCTTATGTTTCTGCTCTCTGCCTAGGACCCAGAGTAGGCCCTTATTCCTTTTTTTTAGGGTTAAGGTTCCCCTATAACCTCCTTTAACCCAAAAAGGGCACCCTTTTTATTCCTAGGTTACTCTTAGGTCTAGCTGCAGTCTCGTCATATTCATAGCTGCTAATTACTCCCAGTTATTCTTGCTTCTTTGGCATGACAGTGAAACTCATAACCATCCGCCCCTAAATGAAAAACCTACTTGGAGGCTCATGGGCAGTTACACGTGGGGTTATAAGTCCCCTATTATGGGTTATGATCATGGTTGCCCTGATTATTCCGCTACTTATACCTACTCGGAGGTTCATGGGTAGTTATAAGCAGGGTTATGTGTCCACTAATATGGGTTATAAGTATAGTCACCCTGGTTGTAACCCTAGTTGCTGAGTCCCATGATCCTTTAAGTACCAATGAACCGCCAAGTACAGGAGCGCGACTCAGTGAGCCTGGACCTGTGAAAATAGAGCCGGTCCGGGCCCATGGCATCCTCCGTGCTGTGCTGTCCGTACAAGTCACCATTGTTCTCAGGTACTATAGAGGCCTTAATTATTGCCTATACTATGTTGGGGGTTCCTTATTATAAGTATAGTATGATGGGCCCCAAAACCCTATCCCAATTCTAACCCGCCTATATCATGGTTTGGGCTGTTCGGTTGTGGATGCCTCAAGACTTGTGGCCTCTAGGCCTAGCACTCGGCTGTTCGTTATTCACACAAACTGGTGACGGGATGCCTAATTGGGAAGTGTGGGAAGACCCCCCATCTATGTTTCACACTTGCGCGCAGTGGGCACGTGAAATTCCACCCGTCTGGCAAAGCAGCAGCTTCTGTTAGATGTCACCCTAAGCCGTAAACCGTAGGGGTACTTAGAAATATTTTTATTTTTTGGTTATTACAATCCCTAAGAAACAGCTAAAATTATAATTGTTGCTAGGATTCTAAGTTCAGTATAGAAACCCCAGTAGATGTCGCGATTGAAGCTTGAGGTTTTCATAGCTACTTAAAGGATCATGGGACTTAGTAACTCCGGTTATAATTAGGGTAACTATACTTATAGCCCCAATTAAGGTACTTATAACCTTACTTACTAAGTCCCATGATCCTCCAAGTAGGCCTTTAAGATCATCAGCTAGCATTCACGGCTTCCGATTTCCACAGTCGGGAAGGTTTAAACCTTCAAGGGCTTAAGGGCTGAAAGGTTTAAACCTTCGAGACCTAGAAGGTGGATTTCGGGCCCGCAAACCTTAAGGTATCGGGGCTGCAAATTAGTGTGCCATGACGGCACCGGGGAAGCATCCTTGTCGCGAGCTTTAGCTGAATTTCAGCAATAGTTCGATGTACCAGCGGGCTCTCCGGGCTCATAAGCTACAGTCCCAAGGAGTTGTGAAGATGCAGAAACTGCCCTTTGCTTGCATTTTCCGCTCAGCTTCGGGTGAGATGCTGACCTACGTGCTGTCGAGCCTAAGAGAGCAGGAACTCTGCGAAGCGCTGTGCCGAAACTTCAACACCCAGCAAGCTTCAGCTTGCTTAAAGGATCATGAAACTTAGTAACTCGGGTTATAATTAGGGTAACTATACTTATAACCCCAATTAAGGTACTTATAACCTTACTTACTAAGTCCCATGATCCTCCAAGTAGTACCCTAAACCCTAAACCCTATAGATCCCTTTAAGGAACCCTATAGATCCCTTTAAGGAGCCCCTTAAGAACACTTACTAAGTCCCATGATCCTCCAAGTGGGGTTTAGGAGCATCGGGCCCCTGAAACTCGAGATTTGATGGCCAAGGCGGCCCTTGAAACTCTGTAGCCTCAAGCCGTAAGCCATACTTATCGAAGAGGATGCAGAACCGGCTTGAAACGGACCCCAAACCCTGACACCCTGAACTCCTAAACCTCCTAACCCTAAACGCTACGACCACAAGTCCTAGAAGAAGTGGAATGCAAAGGAATGCTCCTTACGGGTATTCTGCTGGGGCCCTTTTTTCTGTTCGAAGTCGCGCGGTCTAGAAGCAAACACTTCAAAAAGGATCCACTGAGAGGCTTGTAGCAGCGTCTTAAAGGGTCTACTAGGGTTGATAATTGGGTTTAGCGTAGCGATTAGGATAGGTTTTAGAATACACACGTTGTAGGGGTTCGGACTTTCGGAAACCAGAGCTTTGTAAGTCGGTTCGAGAGGCTTTCTTGTAAGCTCGATGCAGAGGTCTGAAGAACTAGCAAAAACAATGCTGAAGTTTTCTCCACATGATCGATACTGTATGGGTGGTTGTCAAAATTAGGGTCCCTTTTTGGATCCTTATTATGATACGGCACCTATATAATATTTAGGGTACCCAAAAAGGGACCCTAATTTTGACAACCGCTCATATCATGTACTCCAATATCCTGATCTAAGTGCAAGTTAAGACAGCTTGGGGATGAACATATCCGGGCTGGCGGTCAAGTTCATGCCCCTTGGCTCCAGTCATGATAGGAGTGCTTTGCCGCGCCGGTGTAGCCTGAGAGACAGATGGAAAAAAACGTGGGCTGAGGATGAATGTCTCATAGGGACTTTTAGGGGGTGGGGGGGGGGGGGGGCTTACGGGGCCTGAATACCTATAATAAGGACTTAATAAGGCCTCCTATGAATGTCAGATTTGTTTAGATTTTCTAGTGCTCGGAATGTTGCACTCATGAGCTGCTCTTGACGTGTTTGCATGGGTAGTTGTTAACTTGGATTCTGTGGAGGGTACAGGTGAGTGTAAGAAGACAGCTGTTCGTTCACGTGCCTTGGATGTGGTGTAGGACATCAAGTGCCTGTCGAGGTTGCTGCTTTCCTTGCCTTCCCTTTTTACAAGGGTGCCATACTTTTTTGGGGGACCTAAAAAGGGACCTTGATTTAGAGAACTACCCACACACTTGTTTGAACTCCTGCGGATCGGCTTTCGAGCCCCAAGCCCTTTTAACATCATGGCCATGTCATGGGAGCTTGTTGAAAATCTGAGTTGCATTCGAACTCTCAGAATTTCAGTGCAAGCTGAGGAAGTTTTGCATTGAGGTCTTTCAGGTTTAGGGTTTAGGGTTTGGGGCTTGTCGCTTGTGGCTTTGTCTCTCGCCCAGTCGTTTTAAAAAATGGCATGCCTGGCACTGCTCGGGCTGCAACTGCTGGCTTTGGTCTCCGGTGCGGAGCGGTGCGGTGGATCGTTGTACCTTTGTCCACTTTACTTACTGTAGAGACCTGTTTATGGTATTATGGTAACTAGATGATTATTTAGTACAGATCTCTATTATGGTAACTTCTTTGTCATAGTTGGGTAACATTTTAGATTTTTATGGGTACTTAAACCCAATAAGAAATAGAAACTTAGATTTGAAAACCTATCCCAACCGTGAACTAGGTACATCTTCTGGGACCGACGCTGTGGGCAGGAGGATGGCACCCCTCCCATGTGGATCCTTTCTCCAGAGAGGCCCGATCCGACAAGGCTACGGAACCTTATCGAAGAGGAGGAAGGATGCCATGCTTCTGGGTTCTTGTTAAGGGATTGAATGTAAGTTACCAGAATAGGGATCTATAGTATATAGTAACATGGTTTCCTTAATACGGCAACTTCAATTAAATCCTTTTGGCAAGAACCCAGGCTTGGGCCACTTGGGCGACGGAGCAAGAAGCCGTTGCTGGTGTCCACAGCTGGACGAGCTTTGATCCTTGCTGCACGTCTCGGGCAGGTACGCAGTTCCAGGCAAGGATAGTGAGCTTCGAGAACGACAGCATTCAGGTGTAGTTGTCAAAATTAGGGTCCCCTTTTGGGTCTTTAATATAATACGGCACCTAATATTTAGGGTACCCAAAAATGGACCCTAATTTTGACAAGCACCCAGGTGTCCGGACTTTGTGATACTGACGGTGGCATGAGGCTTGTGAACCGAGTGTTCCGAACCGAGGGTGCCGCGATCACAGGTCGATACTGGTACCTTCGTAGCTGAGAAGGTAAGCTTTCACCCTTTGGGGTCTATATAATCCTACCATAACTCCCTAAAAAAACCCTAAACCCTAGAGTTCCTAAAGGGTTTATATAAAGCTACTATGATTGAAAAGGTTAAACCTCTTTTGGGCCTAGGATCCTCAGCCCTTAAGGTACTCAAGCGAGTGTTCCGACGAGCAGTGCTACTACGAAGTGGAGATCCCACGGGACTTCGAAACTCATGCCCAGGAGGACGAACACAACTTCGCGGAGGGGGGAGAGACGCGAGGGCACGAAGATGAAGGCGTCGAGGACGGAGATGATCTGCTTGTCACCGCACATCTCATTTCCGGTGCAGCCCTCCTGGCTGTCGGCACGCTACAAACCCTGCTTGCCTGTGGGCGCCTTCAAAAGCGAAAGCGCAGATTACCGCTGCAGCCCGGGGACGCAGAAGTGCTATCGCCTCGGCGACGTGGAAGTGGTAGCGATTGGCACCGATCCGTGCCGCAAAGCGCCTGGTGTGTGACGCTGGAAGACCTTTGCCAGTTTCGCCGCCTCGTGATGCATGCAGTTGAGACGGGAAAGATTCAGCCGCATGATCGTGATATGTTTGACACCTCGGACTTGTCCATAGGACCCTCTGTGTACACAGTCAACGATCAGTTCATTAAGCCCGTGACAGCTCGTGCTGGCAACATGAGCTGGGCTCTTCTCAAGAACCCCGCTGGTGTGAGCTGCGACGTCTTCGTGACACACTGCTGGGCAGAGGGAATTTATGAATTCATCGACAGGGTAGAGCACTCTTGGCCTCGAGGTGCACGTGCCGCATATGTCTGCTTCTTGTCGAACCCGCAAAACCTGGACATTGCCGGCCTGATTGCAAGTCCTCGTGAATCACCTTTTGCACTGGCTTTGCAGGCAGCTCCTAGGTACGCCTTTGGGATATGTGCTATTTTCCCTTCTTGGGCTTAAGACGGAACCTGATTAAGAAACCCTGGGCCCATAACCCCAAAATAGTAGGATTCATATAAGGAGCCCGAATAAAGGCCCAAGGTTTCTAAAAATCAGGTTCCTACATGATTCTTAAGGGATACTATAGGTAGGCCTTTGAGATATGTGCTATTTGCCCTTATTGAGCTTAAGAGGATCTTATTCACGAACAGTTTTGGTACGGCCCCCACTCAGTAATAGTTGAATAACATTCATAATATAGATATATGAGGACCTTAATAGTAGCCCTACTATAGACTCTTGCTGTATGGGGGGCAGTACCTAACCCACACCCCTCTTAATCCTAAGCCTTAAACCCCATACCTTTTCAACCATAAGCCCTAAACCCCCGAAGCACTGTAAGCCCTAAACCGTAAACCTTAAAGACCCTAAACCCTATAAGCCCTACAAACCCTATAAGCCCTAAACCCAATGCCTCCAAGCCCTATACTTCCTACCTAACGAACAGTTCTTTCAAGGCTTTGAAGCAACGGCTGAGGCTCCCATCATGTTGGTTCTGCCGAACCACAGCCTTAGCATCTACACCCGGCTCTGGTGCTGCTACGAGGCGCCGGGTCAGCCGAACATGTTAAGAGCCTACGGATTAGTTCTAGGGTTTAGGGGTGTCGGGTTCTACTGTGCGTAAGAGCCTACGATCAATTCTAGGATTTAGGGGTTTCGGGTTTTACTGTGCGTAAGCATCAGCAATTTTAAGCATCTTTGGAGGCACGGCGGTTGAAGAGCTGAGCTTATACTAAATCAATAAATGTTGTCTTCACTTCAAAACGCCCCGGTGCCGCCCGGCATTTACTGGGGAGCACTCGATTGAATGGGCGGTAGGTTGATTGTGTTAAATGATAAGCCCCGAAAGCTAAATTGCTCTAAACCGTGAACCCATGCACTGCCCTCGACCCTTGCTTCAATTTTAATGGGTAGTTAGAAGTGGGTTTTTAGTGGGGTAACCATTATTATCACCCATATTACGGGACTTATAATGCCACTTATACATACCCTAAAACCCCAAACCCTATAGAACCCTTCAACGATCCTTAAACCCTGACCCCTACAGAACCCTTAAAGGAACCCTAAACCCCACTTATAACTACCCATGGGAACCTCCAAGTAAACATCAAGCCCCAAGCCTTCTCGTGGCCGCAGACAGTCAGGGGTTCCCTCTAGAGCTCCACTCAAACCCTCAAAGGACCGACGCGCACAGACATGCAGTTTTGAGTCTAACCCTAAACCTCTCAAAACCCAGAAAACCAGAAAGACCAAAAGAAGAAAACAAAAAAAACAACATCGCAAAAGGCAAGCTGAAAACGCTCTTGCTGATGTGGGTGTTACATATAGCTTTAGAAGGATGATGGTTCTAATGAGTGTGGTTTAAAACGTTTGAGAGCCAAGCCTTCACAACCCTAAACCCCTGAACCCTACTTAAAGGATCATGGGACCTAGTAACTTGGGTTCCTTAAAGGGCTCCGTTAACGGGGATCTACAGGGGTTCTATTATAAGATGGGGTTTATAGGGTCTAGTGAGAGGATCATGGGACTTAGTAACCAGGGTTATAATTAGGGTAACTTTTTTTATAATCTCAACGAAGGTACTTATAACCTTACTTACTAAGTTCCATGATCCTCTGGCAAGTAAACCCCAAGCCGAACCCTTTCTACCAGAACCAGCACCAGAAGCCCTTAAACTCCCTCGCCCCCACCCCCCCCGACAGAGACTCCAATTTTCGCGTAGTTAAGGAGTATACCTTGAATGATAGCAGGATCCCAAATATGATTTAAGGTATATTCCTTAATCAAGGGATATTGGAGCCCCCCAATATCCAAAGCCCTACAGATCTCTGAAAGGAACCCCTAAGTATTCCTTAATCAAGGGATGTTGCAGTCTCTGGGCCCTCCTATCCCAAGCCTGACGAGGCTTTCCTCGCGTATTCCTGGCGAAAGACCATCCGGGTTGCCAGGTTCACAAGTGGTAGGGTTTAGGGGTTTAAGGTCTAGGGTTTAGGTAGTACCCTTTTGCACTTTTCATTTGGGGGTCTCCTTCCTAAAACCAAATGTACCCTTTTTATTAAGGCGCTACTAGGGAACCCTGAACCCTTATAGGAGCCCTTCCAGGAACCCTTTAAGGGGCTACTGGGGAGCACAGGTTGCAAAGCGGCATCATGACGGACTTTGGTGGTGCATGCTCCGCCTTGGCGGCTTGCATTACGGCTGCATCACAGCTATTCTGCTATGGTACGGTATACTATAGGAGTATAGTATATCCAAGTCAAGTAGAGTGGAGTACAGTATAGTAAAGTATCGTAAAGGATAGCATAGTATAGTATAGTGGAATTTACGATGTGAGTATTCAATTTCACTGCGTGGTTTGCGTGCTGCAAGTCCAGCATCAGGTACGTTGCAGCCGCCGGGGCGATGTGCTTGTTGCCCATGTGGGTCGGTATGGCCGTCATCGGACAGCTGAACACGATTCTTTCGGTTGTTGCAGGAAGCTCGCTTAAGTTAGTACCGGCACTGCATTTTTTGTTCTGGAAGTTGCTGGGAAAGGCGTGACATGTCTATCATTGTCGATTGGCAGCCCAACCCTGAACCAGCAAACCCTAAACCCCAAGGCATCTTCTATGTTCTGGCAGCTGCATTTGTGCAAAAAGGGATCTTTGGGTCACTTGCCTTGGTGATGAACGCAATCACCTCCATCTGTTTAAGTATTGGCCTGCTGGGCGGATACATTGCTGCCGTGGGTCTGCAGCGTGAGATGTTCTACTCTGGGCAAGATCTGGGGCGCCTTCTGACCTGGCTCTGTGGCCTTGTGACTAGGTCCCGAAGTCGTATCCATATGTTTTGCGTGCGTGTGTGCAGGCGTGGGTTTGTTCAATTAACTTGTTCTTATTCTTTCAGATGAGTCTCCGGATTAATACTGAAGAATAAGAAAAGGGGGGGCCCTTATTGTTGAGTGACCTCATAAACACCTGCAAACACTTCAAAAACGGATACACATATCCTTGAAAAAGCCGCTATCCAGCTTGATGATATGATTCGTAATTATGATGTAGGGTCTGCTTATTTAAAAGCCGTACACACTCTAGGTCATCACCTACTGCCTGGAGTTTGACCGAATCATGGCCTCGGATGCGTCGCTTCGCAGCAAGCTCCTGCGAAAAGACTTCTCCGGCAGACTACTGGATGCAAGGTGGGATCCATTTAAGGGCTCCTTTGAGGGTTCTTGTTCATAAGGAGTTCTACTTGGAGGATCATGGGACTTAGGAAGTGAGGTTATAAGTGCCTTAATTGGGGTCATAAGTATAGTTGCTAAGTCCCATGATCCTTCTTAGTATAAAGGGGCTACTACGAGGGTCTATCTGATTCGAGGGGGTAGTTTCAGGCGAGGCTGATTTGAGCGAAACCGAAGCCCCAAAATCCTAAACCTACTGAGCCCTGAACCCTACAGCGTTGAGCTCTAAACCCGAAGCACTGAACCCTGAATCCCTGACACCCTAAACCCTAAATCCCTAGACCCTAAAACCTTAAAGCCCTAAAACCCAAAAGCCCTTAATCAGGTGCTCATCGGACTCCGACAGAGAGAGTATCTTGGTCACAGTTGCATAACACCTTACATTTTTATGGGTACTTGAACCCAATAAGGAATAAAGATGTGCATTTTTAATCCTATCCCAACAATGAACTAGGTATCCTTTAGAAGCTGCCCCCACCCTGTAATAGTGGTATAATAGGAATATAATAGGGCCCTAATATAATACTATATAATCCTTATGGTCACTATTACAGGGTGGGGGCCCCTTCTAAGGTATCCTCGAGGAACTGTCGCAAAGCGGTAAGGCGAGGGAAGTGGAGCAGGCTGCAACTGGCTGGAGAATTGGGGGACTTATGGGGAGTTTCCGAAAGTTATGGGCAACTTAGAGGGATCTATAAGGATCTGTAAGGCTTTTGAAAGGGACCTATAAAAGCTTGGAGGATCGTGGGACTTAGTATGTGGGGTTATAAGTACCTTAACTGGGGTTATACATGCAGCTACCTTAATTAGAACCCTAGTTACTATCTATACGGGTTCCTTAAAGGGCTCTACAAAGGTTCTATCAAGGGTTTAGGGTTTGGGAGTTTCCGAAATTTAGGGGCACCTTATGTTGGTGTCCTTGTGGTAAGGATCCTACTATTTGGGGGTACCATATTAGGGTCCCTTCTTTTCGGAAACTCCCTTCTAGGGGCATTGCGGTATTTTAAAGGTTCTACAGCGCCTGATGTTCTACAGGGTTGGCTTGTCGGGCTTTAGGGTGATTATAGGGGACGTGATAATTACCTATACTATTTTGGGGGGTTCCTTATTATCGTTATAGTATAGTCTACCCCCAAAACCCTATTCTAATTATTACGGCCCCTATATTACTTCGAATCAAGGTAAAGTTCCTCCTGCAAATGAACCTCATGACGCCTGAGCTGCAGCGCACCACAGCACTAACAGGCGAGCTGGGAGATGTCTCCCTCTTCAAAAGCTCTTGGGTTGCCGTGGGCGTCATGCTCCCAGGTAGGCCTTTGGGAGATTTTGTATAGGTGTTCCCTTTTTTCCAAGAGGATCTGATTGAGATTTTGTTCGGAGGCTTGAAGAGGCCAACCTAGGCTCTGGGTGGCACTCCCCATCCAGACGTTGACGACTCCTGGCCTGACCCCGCTGCAGCAAGTTCCTGCTGCCGCGATGCTTGTTCCTTAGTAACTGAGTGGATACACTTTACACTTTTTGGGATAGTATTACCCACTATGAAACCAAAAGTGTACACTTTTGGGGGCCTATGAACTCAGCAACGAAGGTTCAGGGATGCCTCTGGCTAGCGTTCTTCCCACGCCTGAGTGCTGAACGGAAGACTTTTGCCTCCGTCACCCTGAACTTTTGGGAACTGCTCGGTGCCTGTATCCTCGTGGTCTTCCTGATCGAAGGCTCTGCTCATGTCGACTGGTACCTAATTCCAGGCGCTCTCATCGTGAGCCCTTTCTGCCTGTCCCTGTCGATTGCCGGGCCGTCCCGCATTGCTCGAATTCCCACCCTGGGAGTTCCACTGGTGCGGTTTTTCCTCGGTCAAAAGCATCGTCATCTTTGTCCTGGACGGCAAAGCCGTTTGCAGGCGAAAAGCTCTCCGGAAGACGTCCAGGACGCGACCGTGACCATGGACATCTGTTCGGAGGTGCCCACACCCCGCAACACCCCCCGAAAGCCCAAGTCTACAGCGACTTTAGGGTCCAAGTCTTCGGCAGCTTGAGGCCAAATGCCGCAAGAAGTTGCCGCCACTGCTGTACAGAGAGGCTCAGCGGAAAGCCAAGAACGAGATCAGCCAAAAGTTGCAGCCTTCTGCGGTGCTTTTGGATAGGGATGTTTGGTACAACAACTCCAACATTTTGACGTCAGTGGGTGCAGCACGCAAGGTGCCTGGTGGATTAGAGAGGTGGAATCAAGTAAGCTTCCAATTTCGACACAAGGGTTTGCACAGTAGTCTTCGCCGTCGTCGTCTTCGCAGCAGTAGTAGTGGCAGTCGTCGTAGTAGTGGTCGTAGTAGTGGTCGTAGTAGTAGTAGTAGTAGTAGCAGCATTAGTAGTAGCAGTAGCACTACTAGTAGTACTAGTACTAGTACTACTACTACTGCTAATAGTATAGTCGTCGTCGTAAAGTCGTAATAGGCGTAGCAGTAGTCGTCGTCGTCATCGTAGTAGTAGCAGCAGCATAGGAGCAGTAGCACCCGTGCCCCCTCCAGCACCAGCACCAGCACCAGCACCAGCACCAGTAGTAGTAGTAGTAGTAGTAGTAGTAGTAGCAGTAGTAGTAGTAGTAGTAGTAGTAGTAGTAGCAGTAGCAGTAGCAGTAGCAGCTTCAAGCTTCAAGCGCAGCGGATCCGATCCACCAAGCGACAGACAAAGTAGCGAGCAAGCCGCAAGGCCCGGCAGCTCAATTGGCTGCACAACACAGTGGTTGTCTCTTGACCCATACTACTCGGCACCGTCTCGAGAGACCTAAGCATACCGAGTAGGAAAATAGTGCATGGCATCACTGTTAGAATGTGGTTGTTCTCTCTCGTCAGGTGTGTGCCTTGTGTACATCAGCACGTAACAGCTATGTTTGCTCCATTCAGGAGAGGAATCACAGCGGCGAGAGCCCCTATTGTCATCGCAGCTCCAGAGTCCACTGGCCGAATGTAGCAGAGCTTGGTAGTGTCCTGCTCGAGGATGCTGCCCGTGATGACAGATGATTGATGCAAGTCGGTATTTCACAGAGCCCACCTGAAAGTTGGCATTCTCATAAACCGGAATCCAAACAACCTCATCTATGGTCACGGATGTGTGAACTTTGTGCACTTTGCCGGCTACAACCTTAAAGCGTCCAAGTTGTAGAAGCAGAACTGAGGGAGCAACTGTAAAGGCATGTGTAGCTTCTTGAGCATACCATGAATCAACCAGTGATTGAACCTGCAGCTCCGGGTGCAAGACCCGGTGGTCTGCTAGGCATTGCAAGGAGAATGGGCTGAGTACTGAGCCCCGCATCTCCTGGTTGCCCCACCCCATCGACGTAGGTTCGAGCCTCACACTCTCCTGTCACCGCTTGAACTCGATGTCGCCCACAGAAGAATGATGCAAATTCAGCTACATCATGTTGCTGTTGCCAGTCCTGCCACCCTGTAATCAGAGATCGCCACATGAAGTCCTTAGTGAGATGCTTGATCTTGGGGACTTGTTGAAGGAGCTGTCTGAAATATTGAGCGCTGCTCCCCATCGAAGATAGTGAATGCGAGGAGGTCTCCGCATTCGTTGTGACGGCCCAGGCCGATCAATTGCAGGACGCAACTGCCCTGCAAGGTGTGCATGATCTCCCAAGCTTCCTGCCCCTTGCCCCGGCTCGAGAGGTCGAAGTAGAAGGAGGCCTGAGACTCCATCGTTTCGGTTAACCTTCTCGTGCAACTGAACCTGGTGACGATGTCGCATTTGATCGCTGCATATAGACGTTCCAACAGGGCCTTTATGTCCTGGGTGCTCATCGGCGGCCTCTCCCGGTCTTCTTGAAGACATTTTAGCTGAGGGTTCCAAACCTGAAATTTCCATTTCATTTCCGTGGTTACCCATCCCATGTCCACTGCCTCCTTCCGTTTGGCCTCGTCCTTCTCCACCATCTCGATCCTTGTGGCCAGTTCGCGGAAGAGTGCAAGTGATAAGACCACTCGGAGAGGTTGGAAGGTAGCTCCCCAAGTGGGAGACTCCGGCTGTTTGGAAGAGGTAATGCAAGATCGAGTCCTTGCCTGGTCTCATGAACAGCATGAAGGAGTGGTCCTGCTTCAGGACCTGCAATTCCTCCTCCTGTTTGATTGCCAGCCTTGCCAAAGTAATGACCAATTCGTCCTTGCGCCCCCCCGCTGCCTGAAGCTGTGACTTGCCAGAAGTCTCCTCGGGGCGTCTGCGCTTGGCCGTGGGCTCCTGCTTCACTTCCCCGAAGAACTCGTTCATGTCCGGATCCTCGAACATCGCCTGTCAACGGCTTTTGTCCCCGGGCCCGTAGGACCAACACTGAACATTGCCACGCCACCGTGCATCTGCTGAGGTGCTGACGCCAATCTCGACAAGTAGCTCCGCAGTAGTGACAGGTGGAACTAGCCGTAGCTGTGCGAGTCACAAGTTGGCTAATGTGGTTCGCCCCGAGCTGTTGTAGCAGGTCAGCATGTGAATACTGATAGTGTATTTTCACGGTGCGGTGAGATGAGCACCATTGTCCACACAGTCCACATGTTTGTCGTAGGACCGTAGTGATATGTTTAAGAGGAATGAAAGCGTTGATGCCCTTCTCAGAAGCTTGGACCACGTCTGGCTGTTGGCATATGGTGGCGGAAATGCTGTCATCTGCAGCTGCAACAGGCATGTTTCGAAGTTCACCTGTTTTGTCGACCGGCACCGGCTGTCGGATCATGTTGGGACAGCTGTTCTGGTTGATGTGATGTGCCAGGAATTGCCATTTGGAGAATTTCTTGTGGCAACCACTACATGTAGGCAATCCACCTTCAGAATGCAAAGCTTTATTGAAGACGATGGGATGTTCTTCAACAATAGAGTGTGTGCGTCTGGCATGTGTCTTCAAGGCAGCTGCACTCGTGAATGAAGCCTCACAAATGGGGCACGACCAGATGTTGTCTTCCTCGTCCGGCGTGTGGTCGGATGTCCTGGTGAGCAGTTGTTGTAGTAGATATTGTTGCCAGTCTGCACTCCACATCCAGTCCTGATGCAAATCGGCTGCTCTGGCTTCGCGTTCCTGTGCATGTCGCAGTAGTTCAGCGAAGTGTGGTATGTTGAAACGTTGCATGATCTGTTCGTGGGTGTCACCCGTTAAGTGAGCCTGGCTATTCACAATGGCTCTGACATGCTTCATTTGTGCTCGTTGTGCTTCTTGAGCTTGATCACCTGTGAGTCCACAGCAATGAAGCCCGTACGTCATGATGCTCAAGACGCAACTGCGCCAGAATTGAAGCTTGTAGCCTACTCCCATCTTCTTGGAGTGAAGTATTGATGCCATGGCCCACCTCCGGCCGTTAGCCTTGGAGACTCTGTGACGGAGGGATTGAAGCTCGAACGCACCATAGGATATGATGAGTCCTAGGTACTCGGTCTGGGGGACCAGCGGTAGCCATTGTTCGGGATCCCGAGGTGAAAGTAGTAGCCGATCGGGTGTGTCCTTGCCAGTCTTGCGGATGTACTCCTTATAAACCCGAGTGCGCATGGTACCAACGACCTTGAGGATGGCTTTGGTTTTCTCGATGTTGATCTGGAGATTGAAGGACCTGAAGACATTGAGAGCAATTCGAACTTCCCGCATGGTGTGCTCGAAACTGGGAAAGCTGAAGAATCTCCAGCGAAGGTGGCTGTCGTCTGCGTACAAAGTAGCATGTTTGCTCGTCCATCCATCGCCCAGCTTGGCCTCTAGAGTGATACACAGCAGAGATGTAAAAGCTGACCACAACAGTGGAGACGCGGTACAGCCTTGGCGCAAACCCCATTTAGGGGTGACCACATCGGACTGATCACGGTGCCAGAAGATGTAGCGCACCTGAACAAGCCATGTGAGGAGAATCTCCTGTAAGAAAAGAGGAGTGCCTGCTAAATCAAGTGCTTCCTTGATGTGCTGCCACCTCAACAAATCGAAAGCTGCCGACAGATCGAGGCTTATCTGTAGTCCTCCACAGCACTGTGCTTGAGCTCTACCGTCCTTACGTTGGTGAATAGTCAGTCGTTCGCCTTGGGTCATTTGTCGTACATCACGACAGTGACTGAAGACTTGTCGTAGAGCCGTGCTGGTGCTCCTTCCAGCAATATATGCTGTTTGCGGGAACCTCCGGATGAGATGTGAGATTTCCTCTCTGGCCTGCTGGATGAGAATGGACATGATGCCTTTCCCCAGTGGATCCTGAAGACCAATAGGTCGAAGATCAAGTGGAGTATTCATGCGACCATGAGCTTTAACCAAGAGTGCTACTTCAGCATCTGACCATCTGTTATCCACTTTGGTGGGTGTTTGCAGCCATTGCGAGCTAACATCGTCTGCTATGATGTTTGCAACATGGGCACCACAGGCCTTCCAGAGGAGAGCCGGTGCCGAGTCACGAGGAACCGCCTTCCGCACATTGAGGTGACTTAGAAGGTGTGCAAGTTCCGAGGCTTGTACCAGGGGGTACGGAGCAGCATGTCCTTGAGGCTCCCATCCTTTGTCATTCGTGCCCATTCCGTAGCGATCTCCGAAGGCCTGTACGATCCATGCAAGTTCGTCGGCTGTGTTCAAGATACATCCGTCCCTATGTAGTTGTAAGCGCCTGCGTGGAGCCTTGGGAGCCAGCTGCTTCACCACTTTCCACAGGCCGAAAGTGTTGCCCTTCTCGGCTGCTTGTTGCGCCTGCGCAAGAAGTTCATCTCTTTTGTCTCGCGTACGACGCCTGGAGCGTTGTTTGTGCACTTTATGAGCCTGCTGAAATCTGGTCCACAGATGCCAGGCAGTCAGTACTCCCTTGGCTGTGCGTTTTTGAGCTTTCATCTGTCTGAAGATGGCCCACGTATGCTTCGCGCAGTTAGCTAAGGCTGCCGGCTGAGATGGTGGTGTTTGGGGTCGTGGAGGGGTCGGGTAGTGCTTGATCGCCGCCTCAAGTAGTACTTTGTTTGCATCCTCTGCACCCTGAATACGAGCAGCCGCCTCTTCTCGTAGAGCTAGCAAGGCTGGAGTTGGTTCCATCTGCAGGTCTTGCTGTAGCTGTTCTTTATCAAATCGCGCAGGTTGAGGTACCGACTTGGTATGTAGATGTCGAACATTCCGTGGAACCTGAAGGTATGCTTCGACCGGGTGGTGATTTGCACCCTCCCTCCACGCCGCCACAGGAAAATTGGCTAAAACCTGAGCTCTGCGCGCCAGTGGGGTCGCCTGCGTTTTCCGCATCATCACATAGTCAATCTGCGAAGCAAGTTTGCCAAAGGTGAACGTGGCCAGTTGCCCATGTCGTGGGTTGCTCCATGAGTTCAACACACAAAGGTGAAGGGCCTCGACGACATGTTGGTGGTCACGGAAGTCCTTGTAATGCAAGGTGTTATGAGGCAAAACACAGCGACCACAATGTGCCGCATTTGGCTCGAAGGGGCAGTTAAAATCTCCTGCCAGGAGCAACGTGTTGCGTGCCGGCAGTCCGGCCACAGTCCTCTGCAGCTTGGTCAACAATTTGTGCCTGTTTTCGTACACACCTTCATTGTCAATATGATAATAGTTGAGAATGTCAATGTGAGTCTGGCCTTTCGGGAACCTCACGTGTAGAAGACGGCCATGATGCAGTGCACTGTGTTGGATGTCCCCGGCCTTGGTGTGTTTAACCGCCACCATGACTAACAGTCCAGCCACCTTGTCCTCTTTGTTGTGGCCCTGGCTGTGTATGAAGTGAAAAGCGTCCGTGGACCATGTTGAATCATGTCGCCATTTTGTCTCCTGAACAAGGATCAGGTCGTAGTCTCCTGCGGTCGCAAATGTTTGCAACTCCTGGAAGACTTCCATGGTGAGGCCTCCTGAGTTCCACGACAGTACCCTCATCGAATGTGCCGTAGTGGTCTCCGACTTGGTTTTGCCAACATACTGCGGAAAAATGTGCCTGGGAGTAAACCACTCCAGTGGTCGCCATTTGCCCCGAAAGGGCGTTCCTCCCATGCGTACTGCCCGCGCATATGCCCTGTTGTAGGTGCGCTTGCCTATTTTCAAGGGTCGTGGCTGAGTTTCGGACCCGATGGTCCTCTGTGCTCCACTGTGCTTCACCGGCAGGTCATACCTGTCAGTTCCAGATGCCGTCGTGGACACAGCATCAACCCTCGCGTCTGTGCCTGTGGATCTGACTGTCTGAGCTAGCATGCACAACATCAATGTACGAAGTAGAAATCTGGTTGCTAGCCTGCCACAGACACCGCCGGACTTGGGACCGGCGCGGCTGCGAGCCCTTTTGGAAGGAGGAGAATCTTTACCTGAGCTGCCAGTGTGATTCATTGCAGAGATCTTTGCAAGGTAGAGCAACAGACAGATGGTAGTCAAGGTCGAGACCATTTGTGTGACCGCCAGGAAGAGCAGCAGGTGGTTCGTTAGAATCCTGGAGACCACAGTGTTTGTGTGAGTTCGATGCATGTGTTTCGCTGTTTCACTGTAACACTGTAAGTCACCCGCCATATTCTCAGAGAAGAGGTCGGTCACGTACCTGGCCAGCCCAGAATAGTCTGATTGCATATTGCAAGGAGTGCATTCACCGTACAAAATCTCAATCTCGAGTGACGCAATTGTTTTCCCCGGCGTGTGCCCACAGGTCGAGTAGATTCGAAGGGCTCGAAGAGCCAATGTACAGCCACAACCATAAGGCATGGATGCCCAGAGCACAATTCTACCCTTTGGGTGGGAGCTACTCAGGCTATGAGGTTCGGCGACGCCTAAGCGGAGGTAGGGATGTTTATTGTTCAGCAACTGCAATTTGCAAAACAGCATTGCCGATTGAGTCCCGAGCTTCCTGTTGGAGCCAGACGGGGTAGAGGCCACACGCGTGTTGCCCCTCCATGGTGCCGTGGCCACTGCGTGCGCCGCCGTTGCTGAAAGGCCCGACACCGATGTGGAAGCCGAGCCAGCCTCTCCTGAGTCTCTGGTGCCTGCTTCTTCGTCATCTTCATCTGCCGCCGCGGACATGTGGCTCTGTGGGATAACCGAACCCAGGAGCGTAGTCTCTTCGTTGCTCATGAGGGATCTTCCCTCCCTGTCCATGGCAGCTATGATCATGCGTGCCACCTCACCCTCAGCACCTGCCCCGGCCAGCCTATGGAGCTTCTCCATGTTCGTTTCGCCCTCCAAGGCCTCCTCCTCGTCACCTGCGGGGTTCACGGTCTCCACGGTCCCTGTGGCCTCCTCAACATCCGCCTCGACCTCATCCTCGCTGGGGTTGGTGATCAGGATGTTCGGGTGGTCCGCCCAGTTTGCTGTGAGGGGCTGGAACTTAATCACCAGACTGTCCATCGTCCGGTAGCTTTCCGGGATCAGCGCCAGCACTTGTTTGATCTCGACGCCCTCCTCGGCCATGGCCTGCGACACTGCATTCGCCACACGGAAGGCCACAGGCTGAAGCAGACGAAGGTCGGTAGGAGGGGGTGGTCCTCTCGGCAGTGGTGTGCCATTCGGGGTGCGCGGAGCTGCCTCATCATAGGCTCGGATCTCCTCCTCCGTGTAGTTCTTCATGATTTCCTCGCTGTCGGAGGGGTGCACCTCTGCCTCCACATTTGCCGAGGTTGCCGTAGAGGATGCTGCCGCCATGTTCCTTCTCACAAGAACACTGCCACAGTGGCTCCTGTCGACACTCGTGTGGCCGGCACCGCTGAGAGCCAGAGATGCAATCACAGGCAACGTCAGTGCTTTGTGACCACAGGAGAGCATGAGCCGTATGAAGCAAACGTGTCGAATCTGAAACTGCCTCACTACCGAGCAAAGCAGGAAATGCCAAGGGCACTTCAGGATGTGTGTAAAGCCCCAATGCAGAGTTCGATAGGTCCTGTAGCAACATCGCTTCCTGACAGTCTGCCGTTTACGTCGCCTACGTCTGCGCCTGGAGCGAGCCGGAGAGAATCGAAATCTCCATCTCCTCCCTCTGCGACCCACACATTGGCCGGGAGAGGTGGTCCAAGGCTTTGCTGTTCTAGTCCATACTGTGGAGATCAATCGATTGGGGTGGCCCTGCAGTCCAGAAGTGTTGAACCCAATCGGGGTAGTGTAATCTACACCATTTATATAGCTGTTCTTCGTTGGGTGGGAACCTGGAGCAGCGAGCAGCTTGCAAGGTACGACCCGGGTGGTCCTGTTCCGTCCATTCCAGGCTCCACTTTGTAAAGAAACTGACATGGTCGATGTAGCCTCCATACCGCCGTGCAGTGAGAAGCATGGCCTCGCTGAGGGCCAGGTTGAACTGCAATCGCTGCAGTCTGCGCCCGAAGAGCTCCCGAGCATACTCCGCCGAATAATCCAGTCCGACTTTGTTATGGTTGTGTATCCATACGTTGTCTGGAGTGCAAAGGGCTCCATGTTGCATATACTCGAGTGTGTCCACCATATCTGCAGCAAAAGTAAAAACATATAAAGCATGCGTGTTGCCGCCGACCAGTGCCGGAAATTCGTGTCTGTTCGTGAGCACGGCTAGTCAGAGGCGTACAGCATGGCAGTCCTCCTATCTGGGGGCTAAGGCCTGAGGCCTCCAGCCGAGACGCTTGTAGCAGTAGTAGTTATGAATATAATTATTGCGCTTCCGTCGTCGTAGTCGTCGTCGTAGTCGTCGTCGTAGTAGTAGTAGTAGCAGCAGGAGTAGTAGTAGTAGTAGCAGCAGTAGTAGTAGTAGTCGTAGTAGTAGTAGTAGTAGCAGCCGTAGTAGTAGTAGCAGCAGTAGTAGTAGTAGTAGCAGCCACAGTAGCAGTAGCGGGAGAAGGAGCAGAAGCAGTAGCCGGAGTAGTAGCATTAGTCTTGGTCGCGGTAATAGTAGTGAAGTGGTGCCAGTGGTTGTAGTGGTAGTGGTACACGTGAATCCGGCAGCAGTCGCTCTTCAGCCTCGCCCCAAGACCCACCCTCCTTCACGGTTCGATCACAAAGCTGATGAGCAATCTAACCCACTCTAAACCTCAAAAAAGTCTCACATTCCCGCAGGACTTCAAAGCCCCAAAGCCCGAGTACTGCGCCCCAAACGCTATGACCCCCAACCTGAAACCTGTGGACATATTACAAACCGCCCACCCCGAAATAGAGAAACAGTAATGAACCGTAATGAACCCTGAGCTTTGACCCTCAGGCCTGGCTACCCCCCAAACTAGACCCTGAACCTTGATGGTGCCTGGCCGTCCGCGTGCTCGCCCATGCGCGGGAGTCCCAGTAGAGATTTTGCGCTCTCCCTTACAGTAGGTTCGATGTCAGGAATAGGGGATGGATGAATGAGTGCAGGTAGGCAGGCAGGCGCAGGCAGGTAGGTAGGTAGAAAAGTATGACATGTAGATGCATGCATGTGTGTGTGTGTGTGTACATGAATGTATATATATATATATGTATATATATATATATATGTATATACACATAAGTAAATACATACATACATGCATGCATGCATGCATACATGGCATACATACATACCTACAGACATGCATACATACATACATACATAACATGTGTGTGTGTGTGCGCGCACGTGTCACCACCCCACCTTTGCTCCCTCCCCCCCCCCCCCCCCCCCCCGATCTGCTCGTCTTGACCTTCCACTGGCAATGCAGTTCCTCTGGGTGCTTGCCTCTTGAAACAAGTCTATGAAGCATCTTTGGGGGAGGAGAGGGGGTGCAGGGCGGGGAACCCAGGAACGCACAGAGTACGCTTGTGCACCGGCTGTGTGTACATGCAGTCTAGGTCATGAGAGCCGATCCGGGTTTGTTCTTCATCTGTGGAAAGCTGCATAGAAGTTGCAGTTTCCATTTAGCAATTGCTAGGGGCGCAGTCAAGTCGCGAGTGCCTCTGTCAAGGCCTGTCACGAAGCTCCTTTTTTGATGACTAGACTAGGGTTCCACCCATCAAGCTTGGGAAGCCGTATTGGGAACCTAACATCCGGATTCAGTCTTTCACCCAGAGGATGATTGAAAATGAACGACTAAGATAAAGTTTATGTGTGTATACACATATACTATCATATATGTTTATATAGCTGTACCATCTAGCTGTATACACATATGTGTAGTTCCCTTTCACTTCCTTGGCATGATCGAAACGAGAGATATTCCTTTCACTTCAGGAGCTCCATCTGTTTGATGTCGGTGCTAGATTCTGTGACTCAAACCTCATAGAGCCCTTAAAGGAAGTGTTAAAGGAACCCTCAGAAAATTCGATATGGCAGTTTCCGAAAATCGGGGACCCTAATATAGCACCCTACCTAAATAGTAGGACCCTTCCTTATTACACGGACCCCAAAATAAGGTACCCAGAATTTTCGGAAACTCCCAAACCCTAAACCCTTTCAAGAACCCTTATAGATCCCTTTTAAAAGGCCCGTATAGATCCCTTTAAAGAACCCTTGAAGGATCCCTCCTTCTTCAAACGGAACCTTCTGCTCTGCATCTGAGGCCGCCAGGGTGCGGCAGAGGACGCCGAGCTGGGTTGTGCCTCCGTGCGCAGCGCAGATGTCGAGGCACCGGCACGGATGTCCCACTTTGAGGTTCTAGAAGAGTTCTAGAGCGTTCCGCCTTGGTCTTACGCTGCACGTTGAACAGCCGGTCCTCCAACGGTTGCCTTGAGGGTTGCTTGCTCTAATGGTTACCAAAAACTCGTTCAGGAGTTTATGATGCAGGTTCCGAAACCCTGAACCGCAAATCCTTCGGTGAGGAGACTACCCGTACCAGTTAGCACCATGAAGAGTCTACAGTACAGGACTTGGCAGGCACCCTCCATGTTTGACAGAGTCTTTGACTGTTACGAGCTACGGTTCTGAGAGCTTATGTACGCAACTTTCAGGAGACAAAAACAGAAGATCCTACTTGGAAACGCGCAACAGTAGGGTCCTGGTCATTCCTGACAGGCATCGCAACTCAGCAGCAAAGAGTCTGAACACCCCTCGTACCTAACACTGCTCATCTGGCTTGTTCTTCATCTTCTGGCTGCCCTCGGAGACCCTAAACCCCCTGAGCCCTAAAAGCCCTGCACCTTTGGCCATCCTCTGGATCCTTTGGCATTTTGAGGCAGCGATTCCTCGGTCCCCATTACTTGTGGATACTATATGGGTTCTATGGAGGGTTCTACAACGGTTCCGGAGTACCATACTTTAGTACTTTTTGTTGCCTCAAAGGAGACATTATAACCCTAAACTCTAAACCCTAAGCCCTAAATCCTAAACCGGTGAAATCAACGTCTATACTTTTTCTCCCTTGTTACTTCAAAGCCGAGTAACTGCAAGGCGCAAGTCAGAGCTCGAGACCGGATGAGCCTTTTGATATTCAGAGTTTTAGGGATTTGGGGTTCGGGGTTTTAGGGTTTTAGGGTTTATGGTTTCAGGGTTCAGGCTTGTAGGGTTCAGGAATGCAGAGTCTACAGGATTTAGCGGCCGAAGTTTAAGCATTTTCGCTTCACTGAACCAGCCTGTCAGGCCTAGAGGACCATGGTGGCCAGAGTAGTTACTAATACTATGCCTCAGGTATATGGTAAACCCCATAAAGTTGGAAACTTGGTTAAGGCCAAATAGTGCTGGGATTCCCTACACCATATTCTTAAGGATTGAGGCTATTGGGTCTCCAACTTTCGGGCTTCTACTGTATTGTTATCGATCATATTCCCAAACCCTAATGAAATTATTAGGGCCCCTGCATTATGCGTCGACTCCTAGCTAATGCTTACTGAGGCACTTAAGGCGCTTCTTCCGCGCAGCAGCCTCCACGACGCGCCGTTGTGGAAGGAGCTAACTCGTCTCATTTTGGGCTTCGTGACGTGAATCCCAAACCCTACAGCCTAATTCCTTCGGTTCAGAGGCTAACCATACTAATTAACCTCCGTGCAAAGGGGTTTTGCATCGTGAGTCATGGAAGATCCTGACCACAAAATGAACACTAAGCCCCTAAACCCGTAATCCACTAAACCTAAGCTCCTAGACGCTACACCCTAAACCCCTAAACCTAAATCCCAAAGCTCTTGGGATCCAGGTGGTTGATATTGGGTCGAACGAAATATTCAGGCCTACCCTAGTGGGCGTTGAGAACTGGACTAGTGTTCTTTCAGGGGTTCTTTTTCAATTGGGTCTGGAAGGCTGACTGGAAGGGTTACTGCTGGGGAGCTACTAGTATTAGCAACTGTTCGGACTTCTAAAGGGAGTTTCCGAAAATAGGGGACCCTAATATAGTAGCCTAAATAATAGGATCCTTAATATAGGGACCCCAAAGTAAGGTACCCCTAATTTCCGGAAACTCCCATATTACGTGCTATACCGAAGATATGATCCTGGCCGACCTTACTGGATTCTAGCCCGGCATCTTTACAATTCACGCGCGCGCGCCCCCATAGATTTCCACAATTACGCGGCGCTTGAGCCCTAAACCTTAACATCTTGCTACTCCACACCCGCAAGCCTCAGACTTGTAGCACCTACGTACATTGAGCCCTTTACCTTGTTGCCGAAACCTTCCAACCTCTAGCCCTTCAAAGTGTTACATGAAAATCCTTTACAAAGCCCCGTAACCACCCTATTCAACAAATAAAGGACCTATAACCCTAAACCCCTAAAGTTTCTAAGACCTAAACCTCTAAACCCTAAACCCCATAAACCCTTAACCCTGAACCCCTAAAGTTCCTAAGGCCTAGCCCCCCTAAACACCATCTCGGTGCTCACGGGCCTTGCTTGTGCTTTGGAGTAGAAGCTGCAGCAGGAGCCAACA